GCCATAAGCTTCTTCTCTCTGGTCTTCTTGCACCGATTCAATCATTGGAGCAACTGAAACTCTATTGCGTTTTCTAAGCACGCTTTTCTTCTCTGCTTGTTTGGCTCCATTACTCTCATCATTCTCATCACCACTTTTGTCGTCTCGCAATACTTCAGATAGCATCTTTCCGATTTTGTGGCCTAAACCTTTGGACTTCTTTTTCTTCTTGTCACATTTGTTACCATTCTTGCCCTTAGTTTTGGTTTCCTCTTCTTCGCCAGTAGAATTTGGAAAGAGTGCGTTTATATTTTCATCGTAGGTGGCTTTTGGCTCGTCCGTTTGGTTCGGCACTGCTTGCACCTCTTTTTTACCTTTTCGTTTTTCATTTTTCAAAAGCGCACTACTTTCATCTAATTGTGAAACATTTGCTTCTTTTGCACCTATTTCCACCCCTTGTTTTTCTGTTATGTCCATGACCTCATCGCATTTTTCTTGTTTTTGTTTGTCATGTTTCTTATCCTTCTTTTTTCCCTTTTTACCCTTCTTCTTTTTGTCCTTATTCTTCTTTTTCTTTTTTGACGATTCTTCTTGATCCACGGTGCTGTCCCCCCATGCCATTTGAATTCCATTTGTAGTATCCGGAATCGGGGGTAGTGCCCCAAGAACATTATCCTTAATTTCATCTTGCTTATCCTTCTTCTTGCTTTTCTTTGTTCCCTTTCCCTGTTTCTTCTTCTTTTTACCTTCATCTTCCTCCCCCCAAGCAAGTTGCTTCTCATCTTCAGCACCAAGAAGAATCTTATCAATCTCTTGTTTATCTTCCTTCGTCAATGATTTCCCTTGGTCTTTATTCTCAGGTGGCAACAAGGGTGCATTTGTAAGTGGCGAGGCTGAAGTCTTAAAGCACGTTGTACCAGTGATAAGTAGACCCAGGTCCTGAGCATCACCTTCTTTTTCATCTCCCTTTTGAGGACATGTTTGCACCTCCTGTAGCTCTTCAATATCAGACTCAACTGGTTCCATTTTGTCAAGGAAAAAAGAGCTGTCTGGTCCAGCATTGCTAGGATCTCCGGCATTTAACTCGAGTGGTCGATTGGGATTCGAAAATTGCTCTGTTCTTTCAAACCTTTCGTCATAAATATCTTCAGAGCTCCCAATTTCATTAACAACCAAGTCTCCTTGTTCTTTGCCTGAGGGGAGTTTTACCATTGGTGTTTTAAATGGAGTTTGACATCTGATACTGTTCGCCTTTGGGGTCTTCTTAACATCCTGTCCACCTGTAGACTCCTGGTCAATTTTATCCGGTGCTGGGCCTAGGGTCCTTGTCTTTGATCTCACTGGAGAGTTAGATGCACCTAAAGAAACATTTGTGAACTATAGCTTAGAGGAGAGCACCACGGGTAAAGATACACCATGTAATGACGATGTAATGACTCAGTATTCGAGATTGAATTTAAGTAAAACTGTGCTTTTTGGAAGAGAATATCGCTGAACTTGCTAGAAACGTTAGGAAGCACAGATGATATCTGTAGATATAGCAAAGAGGGCGAAAATTGTATTCAAGTCTATTTTTTCAGCAATTGTATCTGTGGTTACTTTTATCGATGCCAGGTTTTAATGGAAGACTTAGCTACCTTGTTTGTTGACTGTCTGTTGCTATTTCCTTTAATTGTTCAAACTAATTTGTTTCATTGTTATTAAAAAGATAAATTCAAGTCCAACATATTTGACATACCTCCAGTAGGTCTTCGATCCACATCGAACCGCGATGTCGAGTCCACTTGTCCGGGTATCGAGTCTTCGTCGTCACTATACACATCCCATCTTGAAGCGTCGTTTTCGACAATCCTGATAACCATGTTCTCACATTCACTATCTTCATATCCTTCTTCCGAACTGCTCAACTCCTCGATATCAGTGCTGTTCCATGACTCCACCGCGTCCGGGCTGCTAACGCACGGAAAACAGCTGAACAACGTATTGAAGAATCTGCAAATTCGCCGCAAAATATTGCTCCGCGGACGAGAGCGGCGACGATTGCGGCATAAAAACCTGTTCCGTGGTAAAACAGGCATCTTTATGACTATCTCAACGAGAAACCAAGAAAACTATGCTTTCTGGTTGAAAAAATAACGAAAATCACTTCCAGCTAATTTGCGATGTTACCTTCGAAACACTTCGAAAATTGTGGCGTATTTCTTTCCAATCTGATTTGTTATAGTTTCAAATTTGACGCCATATCACAATTATGATTGTGACGTCACAAACTTCAGCCTCCTTAGCCAACTCAGCTCAATATCAACATTTTTCATTCCACACAAAAATGGAGCTACTCTTGAGCAGTAGGCGCACAAACACCAAATGAAATTAAAAGGGTTTCTGAGAAACATACAGAACTATAGATACAGAATATAAATGGCCAATCCGATATCCAAATTTAAAATTATAAAAACTCCTAAAAGTCCTTTAATCTTTTGAAGCAAGATCAAATTTTCATTGAGCTTGCTTTATTTTTCAGTTATCAGTCATAAATTACCCGTTAATTTCAACGTGAATACAGATAGTGTTTAAAATTAAAGTGGCTTATTTTCAACACAGGCTTTTTTACGTACAGTACCGTAGCACACCAATTTTAAATGGCTTTTTGAGCCTCAGCATGGTTTATCAATATCGATGCCAAATTCTATGAAAATCAACAAATCGTGCCAAGATCTCTCATTTTTATTTGAAATTTCCTGATTCATGATATCGATATTGGTAATAATTTCAATCCTATAAAGAAAGTGCATTGTCTCACAATAGTTTTAGTTGTATAATCTGTTGGGAAACTTTAAAAAAAATATATACACATTTTTTCAAGTATAAAGCTGTAGCAAAGCAATAAATACTTTTTTAGGATTAATATCATCATTGATGTTGATTACAAGGTACACTGTTTTTATTTTGTCAGTATTTAATAATGGCTTGAAAAAAATCCACCAGTGAATTGATGTTGATCTGATTCAATATCAAGCCCCCTTTTCTATTTTAATTGACTGTTATGTATATGATTCTCCATTTTTTCCTCGTTGTGTGTAAACATTCAAAGATCCATGAATCATATAAATTGAAGGTGATCGTAGCAGTGTTGTTATTTACCCCAGTGAGGACTCCACCGGGCATTCATCAGTGGGGTGAATTCCCAAATTATACATTTTCGACGGAGATCAAATAAAAACCGGTTGGCGGAGGGAACAGAATTCCCAAATAGTAGAAAATGTATAAACTGCAGGGGCGAGGCTAAAATTTTTTTTAGAGAGGTAAAGAGGTGATTTTTGCTGACTCTTTTTGAGGGTTTGGTGAAAAGATGGATACACTTACATGCTGCTTTTATGCGTTCCTGTTTAAAACTTTGAAAGTTCAACTACACACAAATGTCAATATGTTACAATTGTTGCAAAAAGAGTACATGTTGAGTACAAAAATTGCTTCTTTGGCCCGGCAAAAAACCTTAATGTGCCGATAGACAAAATGTTGGGGATACCGCACCCACCACCCCCGTACCCCCTTTGGCGACGCCCCTTGATGCGACTCGGCAAGGGAGCAAAGATTTTAGCGGGGAGAGTAACAGAAACCGGGCGGGGGCATTTTTTCTACTGAACCTAGATTGGGAAGTATAATCTCTTGTTGGGTCATCATTTTGCTATAGCAAGGAAGCTTTATCGCGGACTCGTTGTTAGGAGTGGTTCTTTTCGTGAAAAGGTCTGTCTATTGATGATAACATCTTCACCTGAGATTTTGAATGCATTGGAAACGTTGAAACACCATATCGGCATGCTGCACTCAGCAATCATCGGTGTTTCGAACGGTTGTCTGTGATGGGTTGCCCACGAAATGATATAATATATTTTTATTTTGTCCGTAAGAACGTTTAACTTTTTAAGTATTCCTGTTAATTACCAGGCTTAAGTCAATGTCGCTGAAGTATAAAATAATCTTTTTCCAGTAAGTTTTTGTCCTGATTTGGTCGTCTCTTTGAAATTAAATTCTCCACTGATAAGACGAAGCTTTTAGTTTGATCTCGAGTATCCAGGCCCTAGTCTAACTTTTATGAGCAATCGTTCTTCTGATTTGGGCTAACGGGAAATAAAGTGGGGCTAAAATTTCTAAAAGAATAGAGCAAGACAACCTGTCGTCTACCTTTAAGTACACTTTCAGATTTTTCCACGGCTTGCATTGCCGCTTAAGCCACCTGCTTCTGTGATCCTCTGGCAGTAGTATTAAGATACATTTGATCAGATATATGTAATTTCGGCTTCATCGACCAACACTTTATTTACAGTGGTGCACAGGGGCATCGCCAAAGGGGGGTATGGGCGGGGCGCTTGTACTCCCACCCGAACACTTCGTCCGTCGGCACAAAAAGGATTTTTCTGCCGGGCAAAAGAAGACGTTTTTTCTCACCATGTTGTATAATTGTGAGCCTTTTTGCAACAATTGTAGCGTAGTCACATTTCTGTAGCCGTTGAAAAAGTATGAAATATTGAAATCTATTTTGAAGTAAAAAAAACGCATAAAAGCAGCACATGAGAGTATTTATCTTATGACCATATTTGTTAGCAAAAATATGTGCCCCTCCAAAAGCATTTTTTGAATTCGCCCCTGGTGGTGCAAGTAGTAATTAAATGCATCTTTTTGCTACTAATACATAAGAAGAATAATAGAGATAAAATATTGATATGGAAATGTCGCAGCCCCAAAAAACTTTACTCACCATTCATTCTTATTTTCACGAAACCTTAAGACGATGAACTCATAAATCACAACCGTGAATCGGTTTTGGGACGATTGAGAAATTTTTCTGTATCTCTACTGTATATTTACTTAACTTAACGGTGAAGGCAGAAAAAATTATGGATTTTTTCCCTTCGAACAATAACCATACCAAGAATGCCAGCAAAAAAAAGACAAATCTTGTTAAATCCATTCTTTATGATGATTTTTGGACTATTTACACTTTACCTTTTATCCTTTTGAGGGAGGTAAAATTTTTGCCGTCAATCTTTATTGAGTTTACAAAATGTAATGATGGGCTAACATATAGTTAATGAAAGGGAAGAATGCTTATATTTACTTTATAAACACGTGTGTAATAAAGTTCACACAGGAAAAACACACAGCAAAAAATATTTGATTATCAAATGGCATTAATTAACAAAATAATTTCTTAACTTTTGTGGTGTATTAACATATCCTTCCTTTATTACTTGGCTACAAAATGCAGCAGATTTGTTTGTTCAAGGACAGATGCTTAATTATTGAGGAGTTTTCATGTACAGTTCTGTTTTTAATGCTTTCCAGGAAATATTGGGGAATTTCGTTTTGAAAAATTCAGCAGGTCTGCAATACAACATGGATTCTGTGCAAATTCAAGACTCATTTCAATGTTTAAAAGTTATAATAGTTCCTGACAGTCTTGTCCACTGAGTAGTGGGCCTTGTTCTTCTTGATATACCAATCTTCCACTCAAAGCAGCTAATCTTCTTGAAAATGTTGCTGCTTTATTTTCTACGACTTGACATGGCCCTGGATTAATAATTTCAGTTTTTCTTGTCATGTAGCATAAAAGGACATCTGACATCATAAGGCTTCCTGGTACTATAAAAAGTGTCTTCAAACCAAACAGAAAACCTAATTGGTTGACAGTTTCAAAGATTCCATTGAAGCCATCAAATTTGTTGACTTGTTGTTTTTATCTTCACATGAGACCCATCCCTGCACCAGAAAGACCAAGTTGCTTATCAACTGGTGGTCCAATCTCCATGAAAACAGCCATGAGCCGGTGATTTACATTTACCATTTTCCCAGAACATTTATTTGTGCATTCAATCTAAAATACAAAAGAACTGATGTTGCTACTGAGTAACATAAATTTGAGTCTTCAATCAATTCTGCTTCATTTTCATTGGAATTATGTTTTGCAGGCTGCTTTTTTATATAAGATATTAAGTCCAGAAAGGGCTACTCAAAATCATTCAATTTTCAAAAGCAGTTGCATTAGTCAAAAAAACACAAATATCAGGCTTGTTGGCATAGCACATACTACCCATTTCAGGGGGCTTAGAACTTCCTGAATGGAGCCTGAAGTGTGATAAATCTTGCCTGATTAGGGGGTCTTGCTCTTCCAAGCCCCTATAACTCCTACCCACATGGACAGGGTGGACACACAAAAACACATGGTTTTTCAACTATTGGCCTATCCACATGTTGTATGCCTCATATTGAAAATGGGCAAGCTTGAAATATGGGCATATATATAATCAAAACTAACATAGATTGCATTCACCTGACATTTTTTCAGAACAAACACTGTTTAACTGGGAACGAACCCACCAGAGTCAGATGCGGATCTAGCCAAAATCTTGACTTTAATTTGGGGGTGCTTTTCCCTGGTACCTCTTTGAATTTTCACTACCAGTGCTCTTTTAGCAATATCTATGTACCATAAACATACAGGGCCCCATGTGTACCATTAACAGAAAGGTGTGCTGGTAGTGAAAATTCACGAGGTTAGGAAATTTTAACTTGTCTCCCTTTCTCTAAAATGTCAAAAATAAACTCTGTTCAGCATGCCCTTTGATTGATCTACTTGCAACTTCAATTTCAATTACCATGACATATTCCAAAAAAGAAAGTTTAGTCCTTCTACAAGAGCTTCGAATCTCATTTGCATCCATATTTCATTTTGTGTCAGGTTGCGACATATGATTACAGAGATTCCACACTTTGGAGCTTTGGATATCAATATTGAATAATCTTTTATGCATTGGTTTTCTTCGCATAAAAGAAACATATGGGCACTGGTTTTCACAGGTTTTTAGCAAACAATAGCCATCAGTTTCAATAGTGGAGGATAGATGGCATACTCCAAACTGTCACTTCGAGTGGCAACTAATTTCCTCGATTTGGAATTCCTTGGATGCTTTGGGATAAAAGACGAATTGAGAGGCTGGAAACTCTGTTAGAATCTTTGCAACAAGAGAGAGCTGTCCATACGAAACTAGGAATTGTGTGGGGGTTCAATTCAGTATGTAAACTGGAAGTTTAGTCAGCCTGGGACTAATGCAGCAATGTTGCAATTGAAATTTTAGATAAAAATTCAAGATTCCATTCAAAGAGAAATATAGCCTTGACCGATCTTCTTAAACCTATGCAACCTGTCTGAATCCACACCTGAGAGTGGAGTTGAGATAGTCAATAGTCAACCAAGAGTGATCTTGGGTTAGCTGTGTTCACATGGAAAAAACTGGCCCAGCACATTTGGTTAGAGTTGGTCTTAAATTAGAGTGATGTCCATACTTTGAGGAGAGTTGAATGACAACCCAGTTACAACAACACTTCTTAACACAAGAAAAGTTTTTTATTGTCTGTCACTTTAACCCCTCCCACCCTCCATATTATTTAATCACATTTATACAAATTAGAAAATTGACCTTGGCCAAAAGTGGGGAGGATGTCAGTCCTCCCTGTGGTGTCTCCAAGGTTTAAAGGAAGTGTTACAGAAATTTTATAAATCAAACAATCATCTTTAAATTCCTGAAGCACCTCATTTTCTGTTAAGGTTGTTTCATTGAAACTTGTAACACAATCTTGGAAGCACTTTTCTGCTATCTTGTTGTAAAGTAGGATGAACTCTTTGTACTGTAAAACACAAAGTTTCAATTAACAATTACAGTAAAGTTTGAAATACATCTCATGGCATCAGATTTATTGTATCACAGAGGTTTTGAGGGGATCTACAAATGTTTTGTTCATATTGGAACTTAAGTAAATCTCGTGATTGGAACTGGTTAAGTAAATCTCTAATGGGATGTTGGAACTGGTTAAGTAAATCTCTAATGGGATCTTGGAACTGGTTAAGTAAATCTCTAATGGGATCTTGAAACTGGTTAAGTAAACCTCTCAAAATTTTACAGACAGGTGCATAGACAATTACATTTTCTATGCTAGTTTATCAACCTAGCATTTCTAAATCACTCATTATTCTATACAAGAACTATAAATCATACTACTGTACTAAGATCTATTTGAAATACAATTTACTGAAATGACTAATAGTTAGATTTAATTTCAAAAATTTGAAAATTTCAAGTTAAATCAAAGATAAACCCAAGAATGAAATACTAATGCTTACATTTTGGGCCGCCAAGGATTCCTTACTAAATGCTCCTTGAGCTGCCATCTTGTTTCACGTGGGTGAAGCAACGCCAAGTGCGGTCTATATCGTCTCGGATTCTTAATCAATGCTGTCCGGAAATGATCATTATCAACGATGCAGAAATTACAATCTTATATCTTTTTAAATAAAGAACTTAGTGAAAGTGAGAATCTAAGCGCATTTTCATAGTATATGCTTCGTCCTTGTTTTCCTTGATATTTACCATCTGCTGAGCCCCAGACCGGGTATTATCTTTGGATACCGGACTTCTGGACTGTACTCCGGACTTCATGTTTTCACGTGGCCGGCCGGCTGTTTCAATCCTTTGGATTTGCCTGATGTGAGAGAGACTGGCCTAAATTACTTGTCAAATTTTACCAGAAAAACTGAAATCATTATGGCCACTGGAGAGCAAGTAGACCCAGAGCTACAACAGTTTCTAGCAATAGAAAGCCAAAAGGCGCGATTTCAATCACACGTGCACAACCTTACAGACATTTGTTGGGAGAAATGCGTGGAGAAGCCAGGATCAAAGCTAGACTCTAAGACCGAAGGATGTCTTGTAAACTGTGTAGAAAGATTCATTGACACCACGAACTTTGTCGTCAACAGGTTATCAGAATCCAGGGGGAGATAGTAATTGCTTCATTTTAACTGATAGTGCCCTAGTTATTTTCTCTAATGTACTGAGTGGATGTAAAGGAAAAACTTGACGATGAGCATCATGAAGATCAAGTCCAAATTTTCCAAAACGAAGACTTCAGAGGGACAATTAGTATCCTCGTTATATTTACTTGACGTTCTGTGTAATTTGAAGGAAATGTATTGCTTTTATAACAGAACCTTCTTTCATTTGTTCCCATTTCTGCGTCGTGTGCATCAAATTGCATAATCTTTACTCAAGGAATCGTTCACAAGTCAGTTTTTATATATATATGCCCCGATTCCTAACTTTAACATGAGTCTTAGCAGGGCCCTTGAAGTGGGAACTGAGGTATATTTGTGCTCGTGCTCTGAAAATGTTCTTTAAATTTACAATTAATTCCTGAATTTGAGTTGGCATTGTAAATTTTCTTTCTTCATATTAGCCAAAAATGGATCAAATAATTGGAATCTTCATGTTGAGATTAGCTGGTGTCCCAAATTTCATGTTGTTTGGACAGTCAGGCTGCCAGTTAAGCTGTTTGAAAAATTTAGCTTTTCCTTTACATTTCACTGGAATTCGCTACATAAAAAAATTTCACTGCAGCAGCAAATTCTGGTCAAATCTTAAGAGATGTCTAGCTGGCCAAACAACAAGAAATTTTCAATAGAGACTTATTTAAACAACCCTCTCAACCCAGAACATGCTTGGTTGTCCTGAATTGGTATACCTTTGACCAATCCCATTCTACTGTCACAAAGTTCTTTACTGAGCTAGCAAGTTCAATTTTTTTAGAATCCATTGATTATATCTTTAATTTCATGAAGGGTGTTTGACTGTTAACTAATTTGATGAGCTTGTTATTGTTTGCTGTCGTTATGGTTTGTTGGGCCATGCTCCCTTGCATTTGTTTTACTAGTTTATATGCAATACAGAGGAGTATTTTGGCTTCCTGTGGATTTTATTATTATTTGTAAAACAAAGGTTAGATGTGTGGTTCATAGCATTTTCATTCCCTTGGTTAATCTATGAGTATTTGAGGTTGTGACATAGTGTGGGTGTCACTTTGCTTGGTGAAGCCTCAATACAATTGTGTTGTTTATTTTGCCAGCCCTCCCTCCCTTTTTTTTTCTTTATATGTAAACTGCTTTTTGGTATAGCTGTGCACTTTCAGTTTCTTTTTATGGAATCATTAAATCGTTTTATACCTTTATGCATCTTATATGCTATTTAGTATTTTTTATGCTATTAGGTAGGACAGGTGCATTGTCTCTTAGTGGTGAAAAAGGCTTTTCTTGTCAATTCCCTCCTCTTTATCAATCAAATTTAGGGGTTATTATGTAACTTATTTTAGTAACACCTTCCTGTTGGTGGTTTATGGAGCGATTTGCACCAATTTACAAACAATCCAATTCGCTCTCCATGATGTAGGAACATAGCCTTATGACTCGACTTTCTGATGTCTATGCCCTGTTTTCTTTAGGGGGCTTATTGCCTTCTTTTATACTGGTATTTTATTCCAGAGTTAGAAAATTAATAAATCCTTCTTTCTCCCCTATAAGGATTCAAAAGTTTGAAAAGCACCCTTGGTCTAACATAAAAGGAATAAATTGGTTTTTCATCATAAGCTTTATTTGCATGACAAGAAATTTGGCATATTTTCTAATTAGGGGGGCATTAAAATAAGTTTATTACACAGGTAAACTAAAATATTTAAATAGCTAATTGTGAAATAATTGCACAATTCAGCATTGCCATCTGCCTTTGTCTTCTCTTGATAAAATGTTGTTTGCAAAAATGACAAATGTTTCCTGTACATCATATTGTTACATCTCTGTGTTTGAATCAGTGTCCCTAAAATCATTTCTTCAGGGTAACTGTTTGGGGCTGTTTAAGGACTAAATTGTTTTTGACCCACTGCATAAGAATAATGTCTTGCAATTTAAAGACCTAATTTTTATTTTTCCTATTTTCAAATGTGGTTCCAGAGAAGTAACAATCAATAAAAAATATGCATGCCAATGCAAGTAACCTTTCTTAGTTTTGGGCCAAGTCCACCAAGAATGTGTTAAAGAGCCAAAATGCAACTCAGTTTGTGCAAAATCATTTACATGTTGAATTGTTAATGCAAGAAAAATATGCCTCTGAATGTACTGTTGAAAGTTTTCTGAACAGAATTTTTACCTTGCCAAACTTTCTTTTAATTCAGGAGCAATTTCAACAGAGACAATTTGTGTGATCTTTTCATTTGTTGAGACTGGTACCAATCAGCTTCCACTTTTCAACATTTAAATTTGTTTTTTTTTAAGAATGACAGGATAGTCATGCAGCTCGATTGGATTCTGATTATTGAATAAATTTGATAACTTTGTATACAAACATATTTAACCTTAAACAGCCAGGTCCAATTTTCATTCCCATCAAAAATCTTGAATCATAAAACTCTTCAGTAAATATTCATTTATTGTTGCAAGAATAAGTTTTTTTAAAGAAACATTACATGTTTTTAAAAAGCAAATCAAAATATGCATGCACCAAAAATATTGATATTTTCATTCAAACTTATTATCAATAAAATAAAGGGAACAGTTGAAACTCTAGCAATGGTCAAAAAACTTCACACTTGTGCATAAAAACATATTTTAACATTTACATATCGACACAAAGTAACTGGAAGCAACAATTTATCAAATGTTGTTCAAACAGATACAAGTTTTTAAGCCATAACAAGGAATGTAACATATAATGCACTTGCCACTAAAAATTTCTTGCTTATATGAGAACAAAAGAATGGGTTTTTATGAATCATCATGAAGTACTTGATAGCTAGATAATTTCTTTACACAATTTAAATTGTTGATGGGTTGTTGTGATTGATCGGGGCTTGGCAACAGGATTGTTGTAAATCAAAAGATTGAAACATGGTAGATGCCAGCCATGAAAGCCTGCACATGCTCATAGCTGTATTTTAATTAGACACTTTTCAACTGGGGTGAATTTTATCCACAGCCAACAAATTTGCATTACATGATTGTCTTTATAGGTACATAAAAGTGAATTATAGAATGATTTAAACCCAGGGATAGCTGTTTATTTCCAGTGGCAAGACAAATTTTTTTTTCATTATTTACAATGCATAACAAATAACATAAAATGCAACGTTTACTTTTAAAGTCAGTGCTATAGAGTTAGGTGAAAACCATCACCACGATAATGGTGAAATATATCCGAATGGAGTATTGATTACAATTCTCGATGAAAATTTACATCAGATTGTAAAGTTCAGAATGCAAAATAGAAGCTATAAAGCAACATCCCTACTCTTCAACTCTCACTTTTTTCCCTTTACTGTTGTATGCATCCATTTCTTTCAAATACCTCTCTTTATCTTTACGAGCCAGTTCTTCATATTTACCCTTTTGTTTTTCTGTTAATTCTTTCCACAATTCAGATAAAATTTTAGCTATTTCAGCAACAGATAGACCAGGGTTGGTTTCACGTACTGCTGCGCGTTTTTCACCACAAAAATGGAAGTATGATGACCTGCAATGCAGAGGAAATTTAAAAGTTTAGATCTAAAGTAATACTAGAACGAGTATATTTGTCTCAAACCTGTGAAGGGCCTTACATAGTTAATATTCTTGCCTCTCTGAATCAGATATGGACTAATATTAAAACTAACTCTTTCTTAGCAATAAAATCTCATGGACATTTGAAAATTTTCTGGGGTGAATTGGAAAAATGACAGGCATTGTGGAGCTGGGGCCATGCGAGAACTCGAGCACAGCAGTAAACGCAGTATGAAATATTTTCCCAACCCATGGAAATTTAAAACATCCATGGAAGAGAATAATAAGCACATACCAATAATATAGTGAATATAGTTTATATACCCCTGTTGAAATGGCAAGCGGATATTAGGCCCCTAGGAACGACATGGCGCCATGTTCTTTATTGATAAAAATACAAAACTACAGCGAAAATTCTACATACATATTCCTCTTGGGTTGATTTGGATCCTTCTCTTTCTTCTTTCTTTTTCTTTTCTTTCCATCATCCTCGTCATCAGAGGAAGGTGGAGAGTAGTCAGCCATCTCCTCTTCGTACCTCTTTTTGTCTGCCAAGGCCAGCTTCTCGAACTTCTCTTTCTCCTTTGCACCTAGATGCTTCCATTCCTCCGAAGTCTCCTTTGAAAGCGTTGGAAATGATAGTTTTTCATCCTTGCGTTCTGACCGTCTCTCCTCAAGAAAGAAGATGTACGCTCCTTTCTTGCCCTTTGGCTTGTTTGGGTCCTTCTTTTTCTTTGATACCTTTGGCATTTTGACTGGTTACTATGATTTTGTTTTACCGCCTTTTCTCCCCAACTCTACTTTCAATGTGAAGACTGTTAATACAAGCATAGCGTGGCTTTAGTCAACGCAGTCAAACAAACCAATCATATCTCAAGAATTCAATCACGTGCTTTATCACTTCTGACAAAAGGGCGCGAAAGTATGAAAGGAGGTCTGGGGCGATTAAATCTGGATTGCTCTTTAGGGAAAATTAGAAAGAAATATGGTCTACCCTTCCTGTAAGCTATTGTGTTTAAAATTCTCTTAAATATACCCTAAGCTAAAGTTTCGTAAATTGGGGAGAAAACATTAGCAAAGGAATTCCTTGAATATAGATAAAAGACACGTTTTTTATTTTATAAGATCAGCATCACTATTTGGATCAGCATCACTAGGGTAAGCACTTAATTTTTTTAATTTGGCCTTTAAATTCTGTCGTTTTAGTACTAAAAGTTTCTTATTTGTTTTCTTTGTTTGGGACCTAAAGTTGCGTTGACTTGAGCCTTTTTGGGAATATAAACGCAGATCGTCACGAAAAAACCCACACATATCAAAATAAAAAGTATGCCATCTTTTCCAAAACAAAATCAACAAAATAAAAACTTTTGGACTCTTTTTTTTAAAATGGAAGTTTTTCAGTTTCTTAATTTTTCTTGTGCCTAGTACTTAAGTTTTTTGGCATCCTAGAGTTTCTCACAAACCAGATTTGCAGGGCAGGGCAGGGCAGGGCAGGACGTGAGTTTGGAATATCCAATTTCAGTTGGAAGGCCTAATTTTTAGATTTTGAATGTAAAATACGTAGACCTTTTTAAAATTAACAGGGTAGAGCGGACCCATCCATCAATTGTTTTCCACTAATCGTTCACTTTTTATCATTGAATATATCTAATGCTCGTTATGCTTAGATGTTGCTTTTCTTCTTACGACAAGTTTGAATGTTCGTGTTACGTTAATCCAAAGTTAGATATTACCTTTACCATCTCTAGTGTTTTTATGCTTAAGGCTAAAAATGACGGTTATTATAGAGAAACTAGAAGTCTGGAATTGGGGATATTTCCAACTATCGATTCGGTAGGTACAGTAGATTTATAGGTCGAAAGAAAAATTCCTTAGGAAAAGTTGGAATTTTCATCCTTCCATGTCCCCCCAAAATTAGCCACTGTTTTCGTCCCTGTTTCAGAAAAATCATATAACAATTCAACTAATATGTCTGTGAAATCTACTGGGATGCAGGCAAAGATTAAAGTAAATAACAATTGTACATCCTTCACCCTATGTTCTACTCATTCGCTCAATTTGATGGATTTGGTCTGCCTCCAAGTGGTTCCATTCATTTATTCCCATCAAAGATAGAGAAAGTGCATGCTTCTTTTCAGCTTGCACATATTGCTGAAAGATAACAAAAAAGTTACAAAGAGCTAGTTAGGAACTCCGGCCCGCAGCAAGTTTCTATTCGGCCCGCAGCAAGTTCATTATAGGGATGGTCAGAAATGCATATAGAATACTTGCCACATCAAGTTTGTCGAAAGGAAGATCCTAGGCAATACATGTAGTTTACAATGGGAGACATTTAAAACTTATTCATTTTCATCCAGGCCCGTAGATTGCTAAACTGGATTGAGGGGCATGGATAGAAATATAGCTTTTTCTTTATCTGCCTTACGAAATATTGCGCTTATAAGATCTTCAAACACAATTTTGGCGAATTATTGGGAGGGGGCATTGCCCCCAGTGCCTACGGGCCTTTTATTTTGCAGAGTTCGTCAGGGCAAATCTCGCATGGTTTTCGCCACGTCAGCAAATTTCCGAATAAAAAACTAGCACAGTCAGACCACGCCAATGGAATTATGTCGAAATTTTTCCGAAGAATTACACCAAAATTTGGTGTAAGTACCGATGTTTTATGACTAAATCTTTGGCGAATCATTCATGTTTTATCTAGGAGCAAAGTATGGATGTACTGGAGCAAAAATTTTGTCAGAGCTGAAGGGGTTTTGAAGGGGTTGAGCCCTTCTGCTGTTTTGATCTATACTACCAAATCTATTTGGTTAGTATTAAAATAATGTACCTTACTAGAAATTGATCCACAAAATTTGTCATGTCCTTACCACCTTAACCTATGATTTAATGAAAACATTTAAACTGAGGGCCCAAAGAGAACATTTATCAGATTTTGGTACTTCCAGTAAAGTATCGTGTTATTGCATTGAGCCCTGGGCCCAGGATTCTCTTTCTTACCATGGGGCCCAAAATTTTGGAAAATGCTTTTCCAGTACTTAAATGCTGCAAAGTGATTTTCTTATTCATTCTGTATCCACTAATCTTGAGAGGGTCTTGGTGTTATGGCAACAAAAGAGGGCTCCTACCAAACAATATGAGTTTTCATTTAATAGCAAAATTAAGAGAAAATTTCAATAACTTTGGGAGGTAGCCCGGTAGCCCGACTGGCCAGTCCGCCCCTGTCAATGCACCGTGTTTGGGATACGTGCTTTGCTTGGGATATTGATCGAAACAAACCCATCCAGAAAAGCATGGTAGCAAAGCCAAACGATGAGGTTTCGTTAAGCCTGTCTCACAAGAGCTTTTTGTTAACGGAAAAGCTCTCGAAAACACCACAAAAAGAGAGAATTTCAGCTGCATAGGAAGAAAGTTTTTAGAAAGTATGAAAAATTGATTTTTTCTCTGAAGGTATCGTCAAAAAGCTTTAAACTTTGATTCTTTCGATGATCCTGTCCCGCCAAGAAAGAGAACAAATGCTATTTATTAAACTGTTCACGTATTTTTTATGGTAGAGAAAGATTTTAATAAAGAGAAAGGTACACTACCCCCTCCTTGCCAAAGCAATTGTATCAAAGTATCGACTTTTAAGTTCTAAGCATGATGAATCGTTTTTACAAATCCTGAAAGTTGTTTTAATTTTATAAATTCATTTTTATTGGGAGCGCTTTATTCTCGAAATTTTTACTATCTTCTATTTTTAGTTGATTTAGTTCTTCTGTTGATGTTCTTATCTTTATATTTCATTGTTAAGACGTGCCTCATTTGTTTCTCTTCCCCATCGTATTTTGGTCCTTTGTTTAATGTAAACAATTTTGATAGCTCGTTGAGTCATAAGATTATTTTGAAACTTTGCAAGACCTTTTGAATCATTTCAACATTAAAATAAATCGAACTTTTAGAAAAAGTAATGAAAGAATGTTGGTCAAAATCGATTTTGGATGCAGTTTCTGGCCATTTTTAGAATGTTATATTTCTGAGATGTTTCTTACCACCAACTATTGTTAGCTTTTCCCGTGCCCTTCCCCAATCTTAGCAGTTTGGCCCCCTCACTTAAAATATGTTCCGCTGACCCTAAAATGTTCAAAAAAGAAACTGTAAACTAAAAAATCGTTTTTGAAAGCTTTAGAATGTATCTACTCTAAAGCCATGTCAGATAAGTATGTATTCAAAAGAAATTTTAGTGAAACGGGAATTTTTTTGCAAATTACGAAATTGTTGGGGTTGGGGTATATATTTTGCGTCAATTCGTTGTAAACGGTTAAAAAGGTGGCTTTTAACTGAGCAAACGTATCGAAGAATTAACGCTAGATCAGGCATGAGCTATGGTATTTGCAAGAACCAGCAGAACAGATCGCCGTATACTGTGAATGTGAATCATATACTGGAACTTTTATTTTGCAAAATTTTACCTAACTTGTATTTTTGCCTAACGTACAAATTTTCGTAAATTGCAATAATATTTTATCTGAACCAGTGGCGTCACGCAGTTTAGGGTGCCTTAATTCAATACTAAAGGCTCCCGATCGAAAGAGGCCTTCGTTGGAAAGGTGCCCCAAAATATATGAATATATCTATGTTCTTAAGGTTTCTTTAAGTATTTATGAACTATGTTGAAATTTTTTTTTCAAAGACTTTCATTTTTTTCATTTTTGCAAGACGCTTTTCTGTTTAACATACTATACACCACTGGATGGGCCTCCTTTCAGCTCATAAATTGGGGCCTTGTTCCGGTTTTATTCTAAAGGGCCCAAGGTGCCTTGTTTACGAAAAGTAGCCTTCATTTAGTTTAAGAAAAGAAATTTACGTAGAAGATTGATCTATGTTTGGATTTTTTTATGCTTTTTATGGTAATTTGTTGAAAAGATATGATGATTAATAATTCTTTAAGTCTGATCTCCTTTTTACAACAATATCGTATATTTAGAATTGGTTTCTTTGAGGAAAAAACACCGTAAGGATTTCAAGGGCGCAGTGAGATATTTCAGGGAGGGCGAATTGTAGACATTTCTAGCTGCTGAGTCAAAAGGGTTATTGCCTGTTATGTTTTCTCCTTGCCTACTGGTCTGCTACCCTGAAAGGTGATTGGTCAGACAAAGCTCTCACGAGGTCCCGCGTTGCTCGGCTGGGTTTCTTTTGTTTTGTTTGAACAGCTATTGTTCAAACTGGATTAAAAAATGGTAGACCTAAAATGGTAGCCTAGAAGGGGAAGTTGCGTTGGCGGTTTGTCTGAGCTAGCTAGTAAACATTCAGAATTCACCTGAAAATGCTCAAGTCCAGCAATTCTCGCGAGCAAGAAAAAGAAAGTGGCAGAAATGGTGATCTGTATTGCTGTCTTCTTGAGGACAGAGAAAAATGCCGTAGGTGGGCTGGAAACGCCAGCTTCAACTTCAGAGTTCAGAAACTCGTAAAGCAGAAAAAGCTGGGACTAACCCTGAATCCTGATGTTAGTAAAACCAATCTGCTTCTTCAATAGACGTACCTTTTCTTTGATTTAATTTTTTTTTAGTTTTAGTTTTCTTGATCACATTTACTTAGCTGTGGCCAATCTATTTACTGTTGTGGTAGCGATCACACCTTGAAAGACCTTTGATATGGCCATTTTGATAACAACAGCCGTTTACTAAAATCAATTCAAATAGATTTCATTGTAATTCGACAACAGTTACTTGCAAGTAAAAGCTTGCATTAAAATAATAAATTTCCATTTTTACTTCAAAAATTTTACAATACGTATTCTTGATTAGATACCGGATGGGACTAGGATATTTCGACACGAAAATTAGCTAAGCTGTTTTCGGGCCCAGAACCAACCTCCAATGCTGTTATTTTGATGAATTTGTGTGTAAGTTTCGTAGAACCACAAATCAGAAACTAAAAACTACATATTTTCAATTGGACGACTTCTGGGTTCCCGATTGTATTTTTTTGGGTTATGACCCTTTGCTGATATTTGTTGAGGGTCATGATGAAATTTTTCGGACCTCCTACAACTTTTTGCTTGCAATTTTTTTCCAAACCTTTAATCCTCGAATCAACCTTGGGAGCCTGTTGATTTTAGACTTGACTATATGGGAGTAGGGCCTTTTTACAGGTACCCTGTAATCAGTTATTGTAGTCTCAGCCCCCCTTGTTTGTGCTTGGATATAGCCAAAAATAATGTAACATAAAGAAGGCTATGAAGAATTGATACTGCACTATAGGTCAGCTATTGACAACTAAACCAGAAATAGAAAAGAAATACAACTGATGAATTTAGACGCATTGTAAGCACAAAATATATAGATAGAAAGTTCTTCAATAATTTTGTACTGAGTATACTGGTTTGTTATCATGCATTTAGAAATGGGGTTAATTGCCCCAATTCAAATCCAACCCAAAGATCATTAATATTAAAAAGAAAGTTTTTCCTTATCCATGCTCTTAATTTTTTATATTCATTCTTAGAATGTCATATCTCAAAATTTTTCTTGATGCTAACCATGGTGGTGGTTTTAACTAAATCAAACCCTTGAGCAAAAAACACCAACCCTCATCATTTTCTAATTGCAACGATTACATGACAAGAACAGCATACATATATTTGTGATTAACTTAAAAATTTCAGAGAGCCCCATTTGATAAAATTTTACAACTAATAAACCCCTTCTTGTTATGTTTCAGTAAATGGGTGGCTCTGAATCTCAATTTTTTAAATTGATTTACCTGAGCAAAAAGGCTGGTTTTAAAAAACTTTCAGTTTGCTTAAATTCAATTTGTATCTTTTTAGTGCAAACATACATATATTTGTGATAATCATAAAAATGTGATTCAAAGAGCCAGGAACAAAAGGAAGAAGTCACCACATTCTGAAGATGAAAATGAATCAGCAGATGTAAGATTTTTAAATGCTTTTCAATAGCCACAATAACTTTAGAGATAATTGATTTTTTACCTGAATCTATTGACTAATTGACTTTTACTTACTTTTAAGTTGCAGTTTACATGATGGCCTTGTACTTGCATTGTGATTTGTAAAAATAAACTTGAAATGCTGCAGGGCAACTAGCCTTCCAGGCTGGCCCATCAGTAGGTAGGACTTAGATCGACTGAAAATAAAATTTTTCATGTCCACATTTCTAAACTGTGCAGCATTGTTTATGTTTTTAGTGAATTCCATATGAAATGAAATCACACAAGTTTCAGGAAAACAGTATTTTTAACATTTTTCAAAACAATTGCTATCAAATACGATTTATTTCAAAATTTTGAGTTGTTTAGCCCCCCCCCCCCTCAGACATTATAATTTTGCTAGATATGAATCTTGTGTTGTCTCTGTTGACAATCAAATTAGCATTCACTACTAATGTTTCAAGATGCACAGACCTTTTTCGTTTGAGTTGCCAAATTTTTTGGAAGTCCTGTTAAATGCAGGATTTGTTATAACTTAGCCTAGTTATTTTGTTTTGAGGGATAGATGGAAATCTTTGCCGAAAAAATCTCAAAGGTTTTCAACTTAAAATTCCTGCATAATTCTACAACAATGAAGTTAGATATTTTTTCATGCATTCCAAAAGTCAAATCACATAAATTTGTAAATTATCTGCCAAAGTTGTGATATTTGTTAAATCAGGATTATCTTCTTTACTGTTAACCTACCTCCACTTTCTTACTTTGATATAGATAGCAAAAGCTCTCTTGATAGTTTCTTCAAGTGGAATGCCTCTATATTGTAAATCATAAGGACACCTTGTTATGTCATTCTTTTACAGTCAGGTGTTACCAAACCCCTAAAGATGATGCAAACATATTTTAGTCATTTGTAATGACGTAAAAATCAAAGTTGAATAGCTAAAGCTGAATAATTTCTATGCTACATATATATATTTTTATATATAGTTACAACATTTCAATCTTATAATAATTTGTATTGCTTTCGTAATACATTTACATCTCTCTTTCATGTGCTGTTTTAGCTCGAATAAATGACATTTTTCATGAAAATAACTAGACATTTTTCCTTTTCAAGATGGTTGATTTTTCCTCACTACAAATCAGCACTTTGCGGAGATATAGACGACATTTCAAGTTGCAGAATAAAGCTGGGATGAATAAATCTCAGTTGTTGGAGGTTTGTATTTAATTTATTTGTTAAAAATCTATTTTTACCTCCAAAGTTGTTTGAGCCATCTTGTCAATGTGCCATCTTTTCAGTATTTTTTTTCTTATGCACATTCTTTATCATGATAAATAAGCAGATAAATTGATTTATGATTTTGGCATTCAGAATAATCATTAATAGTTAGATTTTATCAGAACATTGCAGCAGTTTATTTTTCCTTCTTTTCCTTCCATCCCAGACAGAATTTATATATTTTGAATTTTATTCTACAGACAATTTCAAGGCATTTTAAAAGTATTCCAGTTCCTGAAAAAGAAACAATCACATATTTTATTTACATGGTTAAAACACACAAAAGCAAATTGGACCAAAGACCACATGACACTGCTTGAATACTTTGCTAATAAATGTAAATATTTGTATATATTTTAGCAGGGTTAGCATTCATAAGTAGTTTAGCTTAAAGTTTAGGTTTGTTAAGGCCTATCAAAGCGAAAAAGTGTTCTGGAAAATCTCATTTAATGCTCAAGTTTACTTGCAACTTCTTCTTTTATGCTGATGTCAAATTTAAAGTGTCAACTTACATTTGATGTTTCTAACGACAGCATTTCTTGCTTTTAGTCAAGTTAATACAATTATAACTGTTGAGCCAGAATTCTTCTGTTTTTATCTTCATTTTTGTTTCCTGCCGATTAATTATGTTGGGAAAGTTTTGATAATTATTTCTCAACACAAAAACAAGAGCAATTTGTAAATTTGTTTTATGAACTGTATGCTTGATTAACTGTATGCTTTGGCTAGCACAGTTTTTGTTTTGTATGAAGTTGTTTCATAGAAAACGTTTCTCAGCCCAAACCCTGTTTTTTTCTATCTTCCTAAGAATTCAGGATATGTCAAAATCAGCCATCAAATATCCTTTTAGATTTTTATATCCATAAAATATCAAAATATCCAAGAAATAACAATGACAGTTTTTACGCCCAGTCTGTTGGATTACAAATGTGTGCCTATAGAGCTTGGTCCCCATACCTATGAAAAATCAAGATGTGTTTTTATGCTTCTTAAAGGTATTTTACTCTTATTCTAGCAAATACTTTAATGTGTCACATTAAATGTGAAATAAGACAATATTCTTATTTTTTTAGAATGTACAAGTAAATTGTTTAATGTCGAAGTTTCATGTAGAGATCCCCATTTTTCCTATGCGTATATTTTTCCATCTAGTGGACATGGGAGTAACTTACAGCCGTAAAAAAGCTAAAACAAATACTTGGCACCTGGCCTTAGATCTGAGACAATTCAATTAGTCACAATAATAAGACTCGAGTCATGACTGCCCATCGGTTCGAAATATGATCGACTATTCAGTAGGGCTGAAGATAAGATCGTTAGAATATTTGTGCTAAACAATGTTTCGACAATTTAGGTTTCAAATGTATTCGAACTTTCCACCGAGCACAAACTGATAGATTATAGTAAGGTTGTTGATATTGTTTCAACCGAAAAAAGAGTGTTTATTTTTTTTTCAAAAAAGTTTCTTTTTGCTAAAAAGCCTGTTCAGCCCCCCCCCCCCACTTTTTCAAAAATTAAACATTTTTGACTGTCTTTTTCAAACTATTTTTGAAAATGGAGTATAACAAAAAACAAACTGAATTTTACTAATTCATTTAGGTACATTCCTATTATTTGTTTATTATTTTTCATCAGTTCAGTAGATATCTGTCTGTATCATTGCAATGTCTGCATTTTGGATGTGTAAACATGGCCTCCTGAAAATACTCGAGACGAAGTAGATGCACATGTCTGCTCAGAAAGTAAAATTCTCTCAATCAATGCAACAGCTTCTTGTTATTCACATCGAAGTACACTTTGAACCAAATGTCACTCTTTCTTTCCCAAACGTCTGTCACTAGCGCTTTAGCATGACTCCTCCCCTCCCAAAATTTCTCGAAAAATCAATAATCAATATTTTTCGAGAATCGTCGAATTGTCTGTTCTGAGCGGTATAGTAATTTGTTAAATTTTGGCCTGGGAGATGCATTTTTAGCCATTCTAGAAGGCCGAATTTCAAAAAAAAATTTTGCGCTTGTTTCTCAGAATATCTAGATACCCCGAAGTCTATGCCAAAACTGGCCTACGAAACTGGCATTAGGGTACATAAGAAAAGTGCAAGTCTTCAATAAGCCATTTAAAAGGGAGCGTTACCTAACGTCCAAAAGTGGGTGGTCACAAAATCGACCCTCAACTAGACCCTCCAGCTAGGCTCGAACTGGTCACGTTCGCTCACTACGCTAATGAGGGTGAATTATTTGTCTTGATCCCATTTGTCTTGTTAACTGTTATCAGAAGGAAAAATGATATATAAAAGAGAGGATTAGTCTGGCAGCTTATAATGGTTAGATGAGTTGGGTTGAAAAGAGCTGTAATTGCCGTGTAGGAGTAGAGATAATGGCAAAGAACGAGGTATGGAAAATGACTTTTTAGGTATATTGAAAAAGGACAATGAGGGATTGTACTTGAAAATGCAACGATGAAAATGACACAAGAGAATAGACTGGTCACTACACCCACATATACCATTTACCAAAAAAAGTTTTGGCGCTGGCGTTACCTCCCAATTTCATGATGACGTACGTAGCAATCTTAACGTTGCCACCTCTATGTTGTGCTCCTGCAGTTTCTCGCCGAGCCACGGGTGCGATATCAAGCTGATTTAGCCCTTCCAAATCAGTTTGTATCCCCATATCACAATTTTGCCACTGTAGTCGTTAGAGAGGGATCTTTTTCTACGGACTGAAAAGTGATGGAAAAAGAGCTACAATTTTCGGATGAAACAAGCAACTTTTCGGCACAGTTTAAAGATAATTGTTTCGAGTTTACCATGTGCAAACAAGAATCTGTCAACGCCTTGTGTTTTCGCTATTAGAAGAACATGTCTTGGTTTCCGTGAAAGTGGAAGAAAACCTGCCCAAATCCCATTCTATTTCAAGAGGCATTTGGCGTTGAAGTTTGTTCAGTTTCGCACTTTTTACCGGCGTCTTGAGTGGATTTACTAAAGGACGGCAGTAAGAAAACTTTTATTCTATTTCTGAAAGTTTGAAAACATACGAATATTGACAATAATTTTCGGAACAATAAAGCCTATACGCAATTATATTCCAGTTTTCTTTGTTATAATCGCTATTTGTTAAATATTTTGAGGTAGATCTTGTTATAGTAACGTTGATTGTTGAAGATGTTTGAATCTGGTCTTTGCAATCATGAAACTTGATGCGGAAGGAAGTAATAACTTTCAGGTCCATTTCTGTGTTTATGATAACTGGGAAAAGTCTGAATTCAATTTGTAATATGTTTCGTTTTGGAGGCACCATATAGTGTAGCTCAATCCAGTTGATGGTCTATTTGGAATTTAGTTGGGGCTGTGTGCAAGAATGGAATAGTTACATGCATGTATGGACAGCTTACATGAAGCTGTTTGTCATTTTCTAATTACAATACAACCATATACAATTAATCCATTTATTGAAAAAAAGAAAAACATTTTATGCAAAGGGTCAGCGACGCTAGAAGAGCTGCAGTGCAGGGAGGAGGCGAAGCGCCAAGAAAAAGGGCAAACAATAGCAAAACAAAGAAAATTGCTAAATTTCGCGACGGCAAAGGGCAACCGCTTCCCCCCGTACCCCCGTGCTCCGGCATCCCACCAGAGAATCCTATCTTGAAGGCTGCTGCTGGAATTAATCAAAGTAACTTTCAGAGAAAAATTACTAAAGTTGTTTTATTAATAATTCACTGTCTCCATGTACTTGTGCCTTAACTTGAAAGAAATCATTTTTACGTCCATCAGCTTCTTCGAATGCAGTGGCAGCGCCATAGTTTTTTCATCTATAGTACAAATTTCTCTACTTACTCTAGAATGGCTGGCCTAGCTAGAAGTCGAATATTTGTAAACCACTAGCTTACGTTGACGTGTTTACATTTTCTATTCAAACCAAATAATGACGAGGACTTTTATCCGTTAAATTTTGGATGTCGGGTTCGAGATGTTATTTGTCGGTATTTTTTTTATGGGTGCGTCGCAATTCTGTCCTGTATCGTTGTGAAATGCACATAGTACTTTTGTTTTCACCGTATGTGACGTCATTGTGTAGTCAGGGTAATTAACGAGAACTACATTCCAATTTCTATTTTTTTATTCTCAGCATTCGAGTATTAAACCGCATACTCTAAGCCGTCTGAAACTTTTACTCGATTATATCTATGGACTTCGAAATAGACAGGTTAAAACCTTTTATGCCCTAGAAAGTTTAAAGGGCGGTATCATTTATAGAAAGAGCGGTTGAAATTATAACATAGAAAGAATTTTATCCAACATATTTAACAAAATAAAAGTATTTTCCTTATGCAACTCAAGTTTTTTTTGGGGGGAGGGGGGGGCGGTATCCCGGTCCTTGATATCTTCTGAAACTTTTGTAAGCATGGCTGAAATTTCTAAAAATATGATCTTGTGATTTAGTTGTGTATGTTCAAATGGATATTTTAGTTGCGTTTATTCGTAACTATTACAAATAATTTGCAGGAATCTTCAATCTTGAAGAAAGCTTGTCCAGGATTATTTTTTTGGTCTGAACTTACCTATTTCAGTCAATGGCCGGTCGGTTTTGTGACAGGCCCAGATAGTTGTAACCTACCCTAAGTGATAATTTTCCCTAGGTATTTTTGTGATAATTTCCTAGAAATAATTCTGTTAAGAAAATTTTTTAGGTATAGTTCGTAACAAAAATAATTCTGAGCTACAATTTATCGGTAGTCCACGGAGCTCTTGTTGGAACATATTTTAGAGACCGACCAACCGTTAGAATTTTGAAATTCTTTAGTCGAGTAGAAAGATGGGTTTTAATCAGAGGCCTGGTGCCCAAAAGGAGGGATGGTGTGTACATTCTAAGTTGCATGGCACTTGTCAACCCACGAAATTGTGATCTTATGGACTTTGTGATATATAATTGAAAGACTGAAATTCCTTGAAATTCAACTTATCGGTATTTGATGATTCATTATTTGAGGAGAGTTGCACTTGTCGAATGGGGCCTGGCTTATTTCGGCTGTGAAGTATTGGTTGGATAGCTGATACAATAAATCACATTGAGTTTTTCTTGATTAGGTAGTATCCTCGAGGTAAAATGATTCAAAAGTTACTTTGTATTGGGTAAGAGAGAATCTTCTTACAATCAGAACCAAACGATTTCCTACTGCCTATGTCGTTTACTTCACGTTTAAAGACGAGAAATTTTGTTGTTGTTATTCAATTTTGGAAAAAGGCGAACAATCGAGAACTTTTCCAAGACATAAACAGTGAGAACAGTGAGAAGAGACAAACAGTTTGAATTAATGCTGTTACAAGTGGCAGAGAACCAATACAGACTACTGTGAAATCGAGATCTGATATTAAAAAGGAAAGCAGCCATGAGTGATGAAGGCTTTGTAAGTAATGAATCCAGAAAATGATTTACATCTTCGATAAGCATTTTCATGTTTTGAAGACTTTTGCAATATAACCCTACCAGTTTAAATGGGCCTAATTATAGATATTGCTGACCGTCAAGGTCGGTTTGTAAACTAACTTGGATGACCAGAAATAGCAGTACAACGTACCTACAGTGTATTTGAAATAGAATTGTAAATTGTTGCTTTTGGAGAGCAGCAGTGATGTTTTGCTCGACAGAAGCACTTTGTATATCTAGTTGTGTAGATCTGTAGACAGTATCTTAGAAGAAATAAAAGAAAGTTTGATGAAAAGTTGATCTTTTTACCACATGCTGTGTGTACAGCTGTCAGAATAACTGTATCACTTAAGGTTAAGGTAAGACCAGGTGAATGATAAAAACAGCACTGTCTATAGTAAAGCACATGTTAGAAGGGGTTGATAAGAAAATGAAAACCAGTTTATGGGACTTGGTTTTATTGCTGCTAGTATTCATGAACGTGATTGGAATAACATGTTTACTTACACTAATTCCACAATTTAACTAATTCCACAATTGAAAAACAGGCTTTTCATTTTCAGTGTAACAAAAATTATCCTTGAAAAAATTATCTCAATGGCTTTGAAATTGTTTGAAAGGAGAAGTGGACCAAATGTGTAGGGTATAAATTCAAAATACTGATGTAGTCAATCTCAAAAGATTGTTCTGATTAAACTTTAGCTCAACCGTCATATATTATTTTTAGGGCTGAAATAGCCTTTAATATGGAATGGACAATGATAAGCAAAGTGTTATTCTTTTGTAAATAATTTAAATACAAGATGTCTCTTTCCAATTTTGATGCTGCCTATGTCAAGGAAAGTCTCTTTTGTTTTCTGATTTCACCAGGCTACTGTGGTTTCCTGATAAGCCATTTCTCTTAGCATGTATTTTGATTAGATTATTCTGTTGTTAGTATCAACAAAGAGCTTATGCTTTGGTGATTCCTAGAACACTCACTCCATGGTAAAACCGTATATAGATGTTTCATTTTCTTCTTGAAGGGGAATACTAGTTATTTCATGTTTCATTGGTTCCATTTTCTTTGTGTGAGAAATATCTATAGATAAGCTGTCTGTGATGACTTACCAATAAATTTTTTATGCATTTACTTCTGAACATTATTCTGAGAAAATCCGGCATAAATTTAGAATGTCATAGCTTGTTTGGTTTGGTCAGGGGCTCTAGTTTAAGTCATAGATTCATTAAAAAGTACCTTTTGCAAACACGATACCCTTAAATTGTCAGTTTTCCTGTAATAAGCATCCTGCTTTAATTGCCTGCAGCTAAAAATGATCTTGATTCATAGTCATTATCAAGAATATTCAGTTAATTTTTACCAAAGGGGAAATTGGCACGCCTTGTGCAATGGAAGAAATAGTGATTGTAGGAATCAATGTTCAATATTTGAATAAATTTTAATTGTAAAAATGCTGTCTGATATCCCTAACATACTCTATGAATCCATTTTCCAGCATTGGTTAGCCATCAATTAGCTACAATCTTGGCAAAAAATGCTGAGACACTCGCAAAAAAAGAAGCTACTTACAAATATCCTGCCCCCTTCCCTTCAAATCAATGTTGTGATTGGATTGGTAATCAATCTAGTAATCCCCACTTATTCTGTAACCATCTTAACCAACATTGACTCTGGGGGGAAGGAGTTTAGGTCACCAGCACATAAAATATGAAGATATAGCATGCAAATTCCTTTTTGAAACAAATGTCTCAGCAATTTTTTGCCAAGATTGTAGCTGGGTTACAAATATTTCTGGGTATGTTTTTTTAAATTAGCACTAGGTTGCTACATGGGTTGCTTTGTGTAACTCAGATAATGTATCTCTTTGCATAACAACATACCTGTCGAGTTTGTGTTTCTGAATGTGTAAAATGTGTTGTTTGTCTAATTAGTATTACAAGCTTTCTATTGTTCCACCTCTCTTGAATGGAACAGATCTCATCTAAGATGCATGGATCAAATTCTGATCATTGCTTTTCTATTTAGCTCCACAGAATAACAATGAAGAGCAAGAAGCATAAGAAAGATAAAGACAAGAAAAGAGACAAGACCATAAATGGACCTTTAGGTGATGACCAACATCAAGGAGCACAAAATGCCCAACCAGAGGAGGCTTCACAAAAGGAAGAGCTTGAAAAGTTAAAGAGGCTTCCTGAAGATGAGTTTAACTCAAAATTTGAGAAGATGTTGGTAAGAAGTTATGCTGTAACTATTTGTCCATCAGTGTTAGAAATTTACACCTTCATAAATTTACATTGTCTGCATAAATCCCTTTGGATAGCACTGCCATGCAATTTTTTCTTTTAATAGCTTGCCTTGATTTCATTTTACAATGTCTTTCTCTGTAAGGGTAAGAAGTGGCATAACTTTCACGTAATAACAGTTTTGTTTTGTCATATAACCCCAGTCAAGTATTCAATAATCTTAGCATGAAATTACTTCCTGACTCTTATTTTCTACTGCTTTTCAGCTTATTTCAATCGTTTTCCATATCCCAAACATAAATTCAAATAAATTTTCTGCCTGTTTTCTGTCTAAGAGGAGCGTCATTACTATATGATGCATAGAACAATCAAGTTAATTTTAGTCTATTATTTACAAACTTCAAGGCTGGGTAGTTTTGCCGTATTTCTTGTACACTTTTTTCCATCATAAGAGCAATGTCATTATTTAAGAATTTCTTGGTGATATTGTCCAGTTCTTGAAAACTTGCTCAGATATCCATTTGTTTGATTTTTCTTTTGCTCTGGGTGATGTGTTTTGAAGCTTCCTTTGCAACTGTGAAAATTGCTACAAAGTACACTTCATTACTGACCATCCCAGTTTTAGTCTTTCTTTACTTTCACTTAAAATTTATGTTCTAATAATGGTTGAATAAACTCTACAAAAACTATACAAGTTGATATTGGGGTATTCAGAAATAATTTGGGGTTGTTTCAAATTTTGTTTCTCATACTGCCTCTCAGTAGATTGCCTTTTCCTTAAAAACTTTTTAGGTGGATAAAACAAGCATGGTCTGTTTCTCCAGTCTAGCAGCTCAGTCTATCAGAATGAACTGGTATTTTAATTTTTGTCTATATAGAGCTCTTACGTTTCTCACTTTTTATGAGGTGAAACACTTTGGCAATTATCAATATAAGTATAATCTATCTTTCTTTTGCCATCAATCCAAGGAATTTTACATCTTTTCTTTGTATGTAACTTACACTTTGGATTTGTTATTATTCTCAGGATGAAATGAATCTGAAGAATGAAAACCTGAGGGTCCCACTACGAAAGCAGCCACACGACAAGAAAGTTGATATGCTTTTTCAATTTCTCAAAAGGCAAAATGCATTGGTAATGAACATTATGTGGTTCTAAATGTTTGCAGCTGAAATTTTATTCTCATTAATGTTAGGAGCTCTTAAAAGTGTTGGAAGGGTTCATAGGGTAGATTAGAAAAGTCTTAAATAGGATAAAAGGTTAGGTAGGGTAAAAGTTTGAACCATGTATTAAATCTAAGTTATCAAATTTTATGCCAGTCCTTTTGTTTTGAAGTATGGGTTTTAATATTGAATGTTTTTGCACAAAGCCATTTTTTCTTGGGTTGATACCATTCTTCAAGGTACCACTCTTTATAGCTAGCACATAAATAGAAGCATATGAATGGTATTATGTAAACAAACTAAAACTCAAGCCCATTTTTGCTCAAGTCTATTTTAATAGCTTTGAACCATCAAGTCCTTATTTAAAGAGTTTTCAAGGTTGCATGATCTAATTTAACTAGAGTGGTTTACCAGGGAAAAATGTACCTGAAAGATTAAACCATCCCTAATGCCAGTCCCATTGAATGATAGTACCAAGAATATCCCAACGATTAATTCCTTTATCTTGAATCTGCTTTTGTAAATAAGCAAAAAGTCTACAATGCTCTCTCAAAGTGTTTGAACATTCTTATCATCTTTCCTACTCAGTGTCTCCCCTCCACAATCTGAAATGATAGAATCCTAAAAATAGTGAAAAAGGGAACAAAAACAGTGTATAAGTTGTTTAGCAAATGTTTGTCTTTCCTTCAAATATTGTCTAAAGGGGGAAGGGGGATTGTTCCACTTGAAAAAGGAAAATAATTATGCATTAGTACAAGCGCAATCTTTTTGCTCCAATAAATTTTGGCGGCCATTGTAGCCTATATTTGGCCAAAATGCAGCATTTTGAAAATGCTATTCACAGGAATTGAAATTGATTTAAGACAAAGATTTAGGGAAGAAACAGGATTTTTTTAATTGGCATTTACCTTAAAGTTTAATGTTTTGTTGAGGCATTCACCTTAAAGTTTAATTATTTTTCTATTGGAATGTATTTTGACGTGAATTATTTTGAAATTTCAGCGACGCAGCTCTGGCCTGGTGTCTACAGCCGACTACATTAGGGAACTTTCAAAACTTGAACATGGCGAAGATCTCTTACAATGCCTTCAGTCTTTGCGAGTGTCACTCACTGGTGGCTTGCTAAGGTATTCTTGCATTGGAAAAAAATTTTGTTTTGGACTCAAAGTAAATTAGATGCTTGTAGGCAATGGCAATACCTATAAATAAACGAAAATCAACGAATAAGTGATTGCTTTGGGTGTAGCTCAAGTTTTTTCTGTGTTTAATGCCCTTTATTGTTGGCCGTGTGGCTGTCATGTTTTCTGGGGCCTATCTTTAATCTCTTGAAATATTCCCGGAACGCCTTTTTTTAGAATAACTGCACCCATAATTTCCTTATTCAAGAGCCCCCTCTCAGCCTATATATTTATATAGTTTGTTTTCGACCAAAACGTATCCAAGGATGCAGCGATAAAAACGCAAATTTCATAGAAGCTATAGAACAAAACGTAGACTACGGCAAGAGGAATGTTCTGCACAACCGTTTCTCGAGCGCTTTCATTCTACTACGTTATATGTTGTTTATATAAAACGATGCGCGACAAAAGTCAAGAAGAGGATAAAGAAAAAACTAAAGCTATTTTTAAAGAGTCAGAGTAAGGCTCTTTAGACACATTTGTTTGATGTAAAATTCACTCGATATATTTATATTTCCGATCCCCTCTCATACAACCATGTTTCTAACCCCAACCCTCTCTTTTTCATTAGATAATTCAGAGTAACATATTTATATGCCAACATCGTGCCCGGTAAAGCAAATTTTTGTCGCTATAGGGAGATAGCACATTTGGGTTAAGTCATAATGTCAATAGCTGAAAGTTTAAAGTTTTAGAGTTTTTACGTATATATATTTTTTTTCATTTTAGTTGGATCAAAGAATTTGGAGAAAAAGGTTTAGATTGTTTGCTGAATATTCTACGTAGCTATGTTTGCAGGTATGTTTCTTTTTCATATTTTCAACCCTAACAAATTTTTGAAGCTCCGATATTAACCTGGGCTTCATGACGGCAGCTGGTCGGCAAGTGTTACAAATTCTTAGAGTAGATAGATATTGCTTTTCCTGGTTCGTGGTACAGCGATTTCTAACTCATTGCAGTTTGTTGAAGTATATGAAAAGAGTGATACAAAGAAATACAACCATTTATTATCGAAAGGAAATTGAGTTATTTAAAAGTGTTTAGCTGTCAAAATCGCCATGTCAACGAGTTCCTAAATTTTCTTATGAGCATTAAGCACTTTTTTAAAAATTGAATTGTGTAATCGTGATGCCACCCAACATTAAAGTCAATTAACTGGAACAATTTGATAGGCAGGGGTATGAAGTTTACTGAGGTACCCCTGTCTTAAGTTTTAAAAGGCACTAATTTGAAACCCTAGCTGGCACTAGGGCACTAGTTCTTCATGTCTCCCTTTTAAAATAACCGCATTTTTATAAGGTTTGATCCTACCGCAAAGATGCAGTAATCTCGAGTTTCAACCCCACAATTATTTACGCCATTTTTCAACCGTTTCAATCTTTTCAACTGATCACAAAGGTAGGAAATTCTCCGTACTCCCTGTTCCCTTGAGAATCCCTTTCATTGAAAATTTCACGAGTTTGCAACTCTCGTGGAACTTAAAAGAACACAGTCTAACTCTCTAAGGGCGTTCATAAATTATAATATTTTATGCATACTGGCCTTGTTTTTAAATTTGCTTCGTTTGTCGTGGTACTGAATTCATCATGCCTAAAATGGAGCGTGGCCTAAAGAAAAGACTGAAAATTTTTGTAAAGACGATTAAAAGGTTTAAGTTGCGAAGAAGAAAGTCATGTTTAAGGAAAAGCGTTTTACTTAAAGACGAACCAGGGATTAGTAAGAAAGTGGAATTTTTGAAAATACGCGTGAAATCGTTAGACAGGTACGAATTGCTTTGATTGTATCAGACATATTTTGTTGTGACAAAGCGCTTCATTGCAACACATCTGTTAACAATCATATCGGGAATGAATTTGCTGGTGCCATTTGTTGGCAGTTGAAACGATGTTGAATACAATTGCTGGAAGCCCCTTTCAGCTCAACCGTAGTTGCCTGTTTATGTTTATCAGAGGTTAAAGGCAATCCAGCTTTTGTAAGCCTATTGCACAAAAACTCATGTCTTCGCGTACTGTTTTAATCTATTTCAAGTTAGCTTTTGCCTTCTGCAATGTCGTCGAGATAAATATGTTCAAACTCAAATGTACTGAGAGCTCATTTAGAAGTGTTTTCTATCTAATATTTAAGAGAAGTGATTCTTCGTTGTCCAGCCCTATGCTAACTGAACGTAAAAGAATATGTTCCTCTAAATGTTGCTATACTCTTCAGAAGAATGGTATTTCAATGCCTTTGTTTTTTCTAGCTCTTCCCAGCTCGAACTGAAGATCCAACACGAGTGCGCAAAATGCTTAAAGGCTTATATGAACAACGGGGTGAGACTAACAACTATACAATTACACATAATTTTTCTATATCAACTATATATCAGCTTTTTTGTTGATTGCTACCTATGCTCGTATTTTTAAATAATACACATCAGTCATTTGTATTTCAGACACAGCAGCTAAATTCTGATAAAGTGACCGTCATTTTTTTCTTGAGAGGTACCTTTCGAAGTCCCTTTTGTGCACGGGCTTGCGCCCACCTCCCCCCCCCCCCTGCTAAATTTTCATGTAGCATAAAACTGACAATTTACAGTGTATATGATATTAAAGTTTATATATACACAACTCCCATCTAGTGTTATGAATTTGTTTCTTATGCTGTTTTCTAGTTTGGGTTGAACATGATGTTGAAAAACATTCAAGGACTTACGCTGCTTGCCCAGTGCATCCGACTGGAGAATCCAGGAATGATGCAGGACGTAGTGAAAGTCATGGCAGCTGTTGGTCTGGTTGCGTAAGTATTTCAGCATATGATTTGTGCAGTTACATCACTATGTTTTGAAGAAAAAAAGGAAATGAAAAATGTCCTGTGGGACCGTGTCATTGGACAAGAGGTGACAAATGTGACTGTATTGCAATGACAGTCATCCTCAGAGTCCGTTTACTCTCTCTCTCGAGCATCTTCCGTTCTGGCTTTTGTGGTATGATATAATTGAATCCAATCAGGGGCGGACACTTGCTCAGATATTGGGGGCAAGCCTATTGTTTTGATAAGATGACGTCACATATCCCCCATTGTTTTCGAACAAAAGACCATAGTATTCCAAAAAATTGGGGGGGGGGGCGACTCCCTCTCGTCTCCAGGTGCCCGCCACTGGTAGGCAAAGTGCACAATGAAAAGGTGCAGGAAATCTATCTAGCTATGCAAGGAGCGGGAAAGGATTGAGCCCCAATGGCCCCCATCCCTGTTCTATTTTCATTTCTTGTGCTGCATTTTTAACAAAGACACCAGAGCGCCAAAGGTGAATTTTTAGTTAATTTACAAAGATTCATTTATGGAAAGATTTCCAACTTTCTTTTGCAGCATTGTTCTAATTGAATGATAATGCTTAAACCCTAATATAACCTCATAATAATGTTTAACATGCTAGAGGAACGATGAATTTTTTATATTCGTGTATGTGATTTGCTCATGGAATTGGTCATAAACTTTAAAAGAGTTTTTACTCTGACCCATTTTTTCTCCCTACTATCACCTTTCTCTCTCTTAATTTCGTTAACTACGTCTGTTTTTATAGCTATCTATTTCTCTCTTTCTCTTTGCTTTTTCCCTCTTTCTGTTTCCCTCTCTTATCAAACCTTTTTTTCTCTTTTTGCCATCTTTTTCCAATCCTCTCTCTCCTTCTCTACTAACGTCAAAAGCACCCTTGTTTTCTCCTTATTTGTCCTCAATATCGATCACCACTTTTTCCTACCGTATCCTTCTCCTGTCCATAGCCTATATTCAGACATAACTTCCATTGGAAAACATTTGTTCCCCAAAATATGCACTACTTATATATTCCAGCTATACTGTAAACAGCCTTAGTTTCCTCGTTTGCATTTGTGTTTTCAATCCATTTCAGCCACGACAAAGCACTTGAAGCTTTAACTTTGAAGGCAGAAGCTGAAAATAAGCCTCGTTTTATTGCTGTTGTGGAAGCTTTGAAGAGCACACAGTCAACTCCACCGCTTATGGTAAATCTTTATCATTTTTACTAGGTTTTCAATTTTATTTTTCCCTTTTGGAACGGAAAATAAATGACCAAACATAGCTTTTTTCATTTCACCTTTTCGCCAACAGCCGGTACGAATTCTTTAAATTTTTTTGTCATGAATTTCAGTGCCAATGCAATCAATGCACTGGATATTAAATCTCTTTTTCATTGCTACCGTTGTAGCTATTAAAAATCTACCTTTCTTGATACAGTGGCTTAGACCATGTAAAGAAGACATACATGTTGGCCGTGTTTTCAAACAAAAACTGCCAAGTAAATGGGCTCTGTCATTTCAGCAATATACGAACACGACACAGGTCCTTAGTCTCTTCAGACTGAGGCAAGGAAAGTGAAATCACTAGAACTAAAGTCTTGATCTCACTATGCACAAAAAAAATTTGTATAAGCAGCATTGTATGCAATTTATCAGATGCATGCCTTTTAAAATTTCTTGTAGTTTGACATGCAAGTCGTTTACAAATTTTGTCTAAAATCTTGCATCGGAGGTTTCAGTTCAGAGTAAGAAATTGATAACTGTGCCTAGGTCGAAGTTAGAACGAGAGTATCCAGTAGCAAAAACTAGTGTACTTTCATGGTTGATATTGCTTCGTATCTTAGGTTGCCTGTCTGCAGCTGATCAATGCAGTAGTCAGCACCCCAGATGATCTCGATTTCAGACTTCATCTCAGAAACGAGTTCATGAGGATTGGACTCCTGGAAGCCTTACCGGTACGTTTTGTTTTATGTTATTGGTAATAATCCCTCATTACTAAGAGGGCTTCACTCGACATTAGTTTGTCAGTGGCAAATCAACCATGCTAAGGGTGCTGTCCGAAAATCCCCAGAAAGTGTAGTAGAGACGCCTTAAAAGTAAAAGTTTAAATTACGGTGCTTGAATGATGGCTACATATTGCACAGCAGAAATTTAAATGCAGATGATGGTCAAAAACTCGCACCTGGAAATTCAAGTACAGCTGTTAGTATGAATTTAGCCCGAATTGGGAACCTGTTTTTATGCTGTGTCAATTGTGACGGCATTATTGGGGGCAGGATTAAGAAAAAGGGAAGGAATAGTGAAAGGAGAAGGGGGGAAACAGGTCATGAGTTAGAGAAGGGTTATTGGTGACCAGCAAAATCAAAGCTGATGCATAGCTAGAATGCCTTTCACAACTTTTAATTAGGGTTTTCATCATTCACCCTGTAGTGAAATATATAATTTCCCATCCTGGTTGCTTCACCATTGTCTTGCTTCATTTTTATTTGTGTCTTGTCCATCATCGTTTGTCATTCATTTACTTGCATTCCTTTTACAACGCTTTTTCAAAGTCTCTTTACATCGTTGAATAATTTTAAACGATTTTTGTTGCACTGAGAATCATGTGGTGCATACAATGTGCAATGTTAGTAGGAGGTCTTTTAATACCCATACCAAGTAATTATGATGTTTGGCTGATAATGATCACTACTCCACAGTGTCAGTGAATAATAGGGCCAAACAGACGCTTTCGTCATCAAATCTATTTCATCTTAAGAAAGCAATGATAAAAAATTCATCGCCTTGTTCTACGGTACTAGTGAACAAAAGCCTTCAAGATAAGTTTGAAGTTACCCGACAGGTGATCTTGCCATGTCAGTTAATATTATGTGGTTAGGATGGCTGATAAATTTGCGGAATCTGAGTGGAAGTTTTAAGCATGTGTTAGTCGCTGAAACTTCTTTGATGGCTTCGAAAATTGTGCAAGCAGTCGATGGAAGTCGTAGAGGAAGCAACAGTCGCAGGAACGTCTTTGACAAGTAGAAGAAAATCTTGCAAGTTTAGAAAGACGGTTTCAAAGTTATCTCTCGTAAAGTGTATGTTTTTTTGTTGCTTTTGTCCACAGCAACTGAGGGAGTTTGACCAAGACGATCTAAATGTACAGCTGGAAATTTTTGACGACCAGAAAGAGGAAGATGCCCTTGAGTTCCAGCATCGTTTTAATGATATTGCGATACACTTGGAATATCCTTTTCAAGCTTCAAGTGATTTATTTATTTGCATACGAAGCAATGATAATAAGGGTCTTTGCTTATCGTAGAAATCTTAATGTAATAGATGTAGATTGAACGATACTGAACCAGAAATCGTTGCTAGGATTTCACATTTAGTGCCTTTGTTGACACTGGATATACATCTGCCTATCTAAGCAGTGAAAATTATATATCTTTTTGCATTAGATTATTCTTCTTTGGTTTGCTATCACGTTGACAGAGATAATAACAACGGTTTGGTGTCACGTTGACAGAGCTCATTCAAATTGTGAAACTGACTGCTTAGGACAATTATAAAACGAATTCATTTTACATTTCAATATTGGTTATAAAATTGCTGCAAGGCCACAAATTCTACCTTGGCTATGTTTCTCACAAAACAGCTGCAAAATGTATGTCTCCGTTGCGAAGTTTGTTGTTTAAATTTTTCTTTTACGACAATTCTCATCATTTCTTGAAACATTCTATGTACCTAGAATTGTTAGCTTCCATCACTAGTATGAAGTGTTTCGATCTCAAGTCGGCTACTTTAAGTAATCTAAACAACACATTCTCAAACCAGGGCTAAACGACAAAATTACGTTGTTATAGTGTTTGGTTTTTCATGTGAATGTGGGAGCAGCAGCTCAACTCGGCCTTCTAATTTTTTCATTTTTTTTAAACCTCTTCTACCCACGATTAACGTGTATCTTTTTCTCTGTCCTTTTTTAGTTCGACCACTGATTGCAACACCTTTTTTTAGATTGGAAGTATCAATTCCTTTTTATTTGCCCAATAAAAGTTACCAAGAACAGAGTTCTTTCTTTCTAACCCAGTGTTGCATAAGGTTGTATGAAGTACCTTAAGTTGAGTCTCATAAGCTTTTGAATTTTTTTCAATATTTATCTTGAAATAAAAATTCTCTTTGAGACAAGTTTCAGAGATGCCGATTTCTTCTTTGCGCAAAAATTTGTCTTATCATCTGTAATGTTGATGCTTTTTTTACACAAATGCTTCAACGATTGTCATTTCAAACACCTTTGTGCCGAAAATATTTCACTAGGGTGAAGGTGAAGTTAGACTGCTAATAGTCCCTTCCAACTACCAATGGTTACGTCAGTTGTGATCGAATATTATTTGCAATGCTTTGTGGTATGTTTATAAGCAACAAGTGAAAAGAGCAAATAGGCATTGTTTCCTGAAAAACTTGGTATAGATATCAGTGAAATTCGCTTCTCTTTGTTATGAAATTCGACCTTTATTGGTTGTTGCTTCAATTTTCTTATAGTTCAGACACTTTCGTTAGATACGATAATAGTTGGTCTTTGAAAAGGAAGCGGGAAATCTGTCATGAGTGATTCTAGATTCTTAACGACGTGCCTTTTTAAGACAGACGTGGAGAATCATTTGCAACTCCTTTAAACTGTGTTGGTATAGAGAGCAACGTTTGCTCCACCATTCAACAGACTAGCTGCTATATTGCTGCAACAGCAACTGGCTCCTTAATCCTACACCTTGCTATAAGATCTTCCCTTGGTTTCTATGTTGTTTGACTATTCTTTAAACCAACTTCATACTGACGTACTAGTACCGTTGCAATCGTAAATTTCTCTGTGCGTGAGGCATCATTTAGCAGAGTCAATTATAGCGAATTTGATAGTGCAGTATCTTGTTTTATTTCCATTGTAGTGCAAGCTTTGAGGGCTCGTAATCAGGCTTTAAAACGTACCTCAAGCCATGTACAAATATAGAAAGTAAAATCTTGCAGTACAGAAATCATATTACCAGTGTGTACATTGCCTCAAAGCTTTGGAAATTATGATTCTTGCGTGCTTTATGTGAAACAGCCAAGAATACTTTTCTTGGAAATGTATCTTCTTCCCATATCTCAAAAGTTTTGTTAATGATACACGATTGTTGATTGGCTGTATTGAAAGTAAATGTGATTAAGAGGCAGCTAAAAATCATTCGGTATACCTCGGTCTCAATAACCATTGGAATTGTTTGCTGTAGCTTGCAGTGGAAACAGTTGAAGTAGCATTTTGTCTGAACTAGGAAACATAAAAAAGTTAGTGCAAACGATGGGCAAAGTTAATAAAGAGTTTTCTAGATAGAGTAGAGTTGTAGAGGTTTTAGGTAGAGTTTTACAAACCGCAAACAGCTTTACGTCGTTTTCATCTTAGACATCCTTTTTATTGACCTACTGCTGTAAACTCGGAAATTGATTAGTGGTTGAGAGTTTGGCCTTTCTATCTCTTGTTTTTGTTTTTTAACTCTTTCTATACCTCAGACGTGCTTTTGATGTTCATATCAATGCCTAAATCCCACACATTTGATTTTCCCATACACAAGAAACTGTGTATAACATTTTCTCGATTTCGTAGATTAATAAACTACGTGGAATGCACAGGTGTGTGGCTAAGCCTTCCCATATCTCATCATATATGCACCTGCCTATGATTGAGGCCCTTATTCGCTAATATTGACAAAGTCGTCTCGTCTAGGCATGAAATTTTGTACTTTAACGTAGCTGCCAAATGATACAAACTCGCCTTTAGTGTGACTGTTGCATTTGAATTGTGAATCTATGTTCTGTAGCTGGTCTACTAATTTAAGATGAGTATTTGAGACAGTAGAAGATATGGTAATAACTGCTGATAGACGTCGATATTTCGTTCGACTAGGATGAAGCAATGGTAGAATTTAATGTGACTATGACAGCATCCAATGTTGTTCGTTTTAAAATTGTAAACAACACTTGATGGAAATGGGTATTACCTTTCTGGATATAATTGAAATTGTCAGCTTATGGATTCTCGAGCGGTTATTCCTTAATAAAGTTTTCACTGATCCAGATGAAGTTTACAAGTTGGTCAAAACTGTCAACAAAGACACGGCCTCCGAGCAGTATTTTCTTTCTGTCCTGCAACATCTTCTCTTGATCAGAGATGATGTGTATGCAAGGTAATTTCACTTAATTTCATTACATACTGATAGAATACACATCCTATTATTTAGACAAAGGATGTTTCTTCTCTCATATTATTTGCACCGCCCCCTTACTTTTTTAAATGTTATTTTTTTAAAAACTCTGCAAGTCTTTTCGCTTTGTTCTCAACTCATTTTTCATCGCAATCTTCATGTTTTCATCCTGAAGCACCTCTGGAAACGCATTTTGATGACTGAATTCGCACAAACAAATTTTTATTCATGACGTATTTTTTCTTAACATTTTTCCATGTTTATCAAGGACTGCCCTTAATTTTTGATATTCGGAAAGTCCTTGATAACAGACTTTGCATAGGTGTCTTAAAACCAGAACCTTTTGTAATGCATCAGTTTATCGTAAACCATTTACATGTAAATCTTTTATATGGATCCATCATATCTCTTGTGTTTCTTAAAGTCAATGCATCCATAGTATCTCTTGATCTTTTTAAGGGCAATGCAAATGGTTTGATAATATTTTATCATGTTTATGCTTCTATGTTCCATGGCAAATGCAGAAATAAAAAATGTGAATTAGGCAATATAGAAATTGTGGTCTGGTCTAATCGTTTTCTAATTAGAGTGTATAGATTGGAATTATTTTTATATCTTTGTTTTAAAGGTAGTTTCTAGTAACCTAAATACTGTAGTTTTATGCCCTCTACTAACGTTTTTCTACAGGCCTCAGTACTTCAAGCTGATCGACGAATGCGTTTCGCAGGTTGTGCTGCAACGAAGCGGATATGATCCCGATTTCAAAGCGAAAAAATTGCCAATTGATTTTGAGCATCTCATTGGTCAGTTTTCAAAAGTTTTTAGTGGCTCAGTTTTTAAATTTGCAGAAAATTATGAAATTTCAAAATCATAGACTCACTAATATTTATTGGCCTTTGATCTCATACAAGGCTGTCACTTACTATTGTGATCAAGGGTGGTATCTAGGTCTCATTTACTATTGTGATCAAGGGTGGTATCTAGTGAACCGTCCCTTATTTGGCGACTAGATTGAAAGTTCACGGACGAAGCACCCCTAGAAGGCAAATCACATCTTGTTTGAAGCAGAATTTTCTAGAATGTGGCTGCTATACCCTTCAAGTCTTCTATCACTTTGTCCCTTCACTAAGCAGTTGTCTGTTTCAGTTTTTGTCCCAGAACGTTCATGCAACAATTACATTCAAACTAATGCCTTCTTTTGCATTCAATCATTTTGATTTTTTCTTAAAAAATACTTAATTCTTCTTAACATTGCAGATGTACAAATCGACAAGGCTAAATTCGATGCAATCAACTTGAAGGTCAAACAGCTTGAAGTGAAGGTAGAACAATTGTGTTGCGAGTTTTATATAGATAGTGCACTTTTGCAGTTTTAATTGATGTTAAACAAAAGGACAACACCGTATGCCCGCCTTGTTGTTTAGGGCATGCTTCTTTAAAACATGCTGATGTAAGATCATTTTCACGCATTCTACCCATAATGCACTGTGTCAGTCTACAACCTCGTTGTGGAGAACGTTCAAGAAATCAATTTTGCAAAATGTTAGACTTTTCTAAAATTAGATCTATAATTTCATTTAAATCCCTTTTTTAAGTTTAATACTATAACCTAAATAGTGACATGGGTTCAAAAATATCACCCTAACGATATTGACGACCTTAGCAATGTAACTGAATCATCGCCTCATTTGGTGACAATATCTGACAATATCATTCAGATTCAGTAGCTGTCGAGTCAGTGATGATCTGTGACAAAATGATAGTCCATGGAATTTAAATAATAACTTCAAGACGAGGTCTTTGATTGTAGCGACTTCTCTCCCCTGATTTTTTCAAACATGCCAAATTGTTACCAAAATGGCTTGGCAATAAAACCTGCAAATACAGTAAAGCCAAACATCAAGACATAACTCTAAAGCATTAGAACTCCTGGTGTTGACTAATGCGTGTTAAGCAGCAGATTTTTATTATCTAGCGTTGAATGTGACTCTTCGTTTTTCTTTTCTAGCTTAAAGAGGAAACTACCAGAAGATCTGAAGTTGAAACCAAATCAGAGATGATGGAAGGAAAACTGAAGACCTATGAAACGGAAATTGAAAAGCTGAAAGACCAGGTACAAATTTCATTTCCAACAATTTCATTGAAAAAACGTCATGGAATCTCATTTGAGATCGTTTTCTCACACTTTGACCTTGCTTATCAATTTTTAGCTGTTGTGGAATGAGCTTATGGTCCATAATATGTTTCCGCCATCGTAACTTTGTACTTAAAAATGTTCAGATATGTTTACAAGTTGAATGCCTGTAATATCAATTAACCTTGAGTCCCTGCCTGTCTCGCATACTTTAATGAAATAACACTTTGCAAAATATTGCAGCTACCATGACGTTTAAAAACAAAATGCTCCGAAACAACTGTCCTTAAACTACTGTTTGTCATGGCCTAAAGCCGTTATTTCTCATATTTCACAATCTCTTTCAATCAGAAGGTGACAGGCCCTGCTGCTTATCTTGGCTAATGCTTCTCTATAAACCTTATTTCTGTATGTTAATCTCTATCGTTGTGTTCAAAATTGGGCAAGAGCTTTGCCATGAAACCAGATTTTATTTGCAGCAAACAGGTTTATGTTCACGGTAGTACTTATTACATAATTATGATCGATGGAAATTAATTGAATTTGATGACCAAGTCCCTCAAATTTTTATCAAAGACGTTAATTTTTCATCACATTACTTGGCTAGATCTTGTTAAACCAACGCAGGCAGATTCTTCGTGCAGAACTGATAATTAAGACAATTTATTTATTATTTTCAGGTTGCAAGAGGCGGACCACCAGTTGCTTCAGGTCAGACAGAAAGAATTAACGATTTTTGATAAGCGCTGCTAATTTATACAAAATCTGCTTCTCGATATAATTTTTTTCATTTGGAGCTGTTCCATTAAGTTTCTCCAGTTTAATACTATTCTTTCAAATTTCATGTTTTTGTATGTCTTATTTCGATTTGATTTCTTAATTACTGTTAAGAAAAAAGTGGTGATTTGGTTTGTAGGATTGGTCTTGCGGAAATTGATAACTTCATGTTTGGAAATTTGAAATATGCCTAACGTACATGGAAATAGAGCTTTTTACTCCTTCTCTAGTTTAGATCTTTTTAATTTTCTTGTACCTTAACTTTTACTGATCATTTTGTTTCAAAGATTTTTAGGTTGAAACAACGTATCATGTTATTAGGACTCCCTAGAACATTTTTTTAATTGAAATGAGTGACTTTGATAGCTGCGAAGGTGAAGGAGGAAAATTGATAAAAATAAACTTTGGCAAGATTGAAAGTTCTTCTCTTTAACAGCCGCTCTTTGCATTTGCCTATTCCTTTTGCTCATTACGTCGTTTTTATTTTTAGCATCATCTGGACCCCCGCCACCAGCACCTCCTCCACCCCCAGGACCCGGAGGAGCTCCCCCTCCACCTCCCCCGCCTCTTCCAGGTGGTGCTGGACCTCCTCCGCCTCCACCTCCTCCACCAGGATTTTCTGCTGGCGGCCCGCCTCCACCGCCGCCACCCCCAGGAATGGGTGGAGGTGCGCCACCACCCCCTCCTCCGCCTGGAATGTTTGGAGGGGCACCACCACCTCCTCCACCACCCGGGATGGGCGGTGGCCCGCGACCACCAGGACCACCCCCACCTCCTGGTGCACCGTTGTTAGGACGTAGTGGTCCCGGCGGATCAGGTGGAATGCCTCAAAAAAAGAAGTACAACACAACGGTACAGACAAAGAGACTCAATTGGAATGCTGTAAGTCAATATTTCTCATTGTTTTCATTTCCCTGGCTCGTTCTTTTCTTTTTTATAGATAAAGTACATTCGTCACCTTCCATGGCTGTTGTGTTTCTTGTTTTTGGTAGGGGCTGGTCCCCTTTTCCTTTGTTTCGTTCTTGGACAATCCCCTTTTAAGAAGGCCTGTCTTTTCTAAAGAGGGAGATGTAGAGTGTTTGTGAATTTTAAATGGCTGTGACTGATCCGTTGCGACCTCTTTGTACAATTAATGCAATTTCTTGAGGTCAATGACGTTTTGAGATGGCAATAGAAGTTTCTTCCCAGCTCTTCCAGGTGGTGCTGGACCTAATGTTTTCTATTATAGTGAACGCGCACATGAATCTCTTTAAAACAAAATAAAGAAAAGGCTTCGCATCTCTATGTCTGTGCGACCTCGCCAAGGGGCAAAAATTTTTTATTATTTCTCTCTTCTGATTTTGTTTTAATTTTGTAATTTTGTAGAAATGTAAACAGTTCGTTTGAATTAACTTTTTAAGCTATGTATGGCACCAACTGTAAATAATTTTATAATGATAATAATAATAATAATAATAATAATTGGAAACTTTTCATTTTCAATTCAATTAAAACTACAATTACAAATTTCACTATTACAAAGGTAATTTGCAATTGGCTAGCCTGGTTTTACAAAGAAAAAGACTATTACAAGCACAAACAAAAGAAATTAACAAAAAAAAGGAAAAAGTGTGTTCGTCATTGTTTGTTTTAGAAGTCGTCAGTAGCAGAGATCGTTAGAATTGAAGAAGTTCAGGATTATTCCAAGATTTATTTCTGCGGCAGAAAATGTAATAGGTAGTACGGATAGTTAAGTTGGATAGTTTGGAGATCATGAAGCGGAGATGAGTCTCGCTGATATCTAGAGCGTAATAATAATAATAATAATAATAATAATAATAATAATAATAATAATCTTCTCCTAATACGCCATCGCTTTGGTGGAAACTTAGCATACCCAAGAAGAAGTGTTTCAGCACTCAATCTCTTAAGTTCGAGTTCATTCGCTTCTGACTTTTTCATTCCCATATATTTGCTCAACCAGATTAGAATAGTGCCCTAACGAGGTATTTTCTGTTTAGATTCACACAACTAAGCTAAAAGAGAATTCTTTCTGGACAAGCCTGCGGGAAGACCAGCTTGAAAGAGAGGACTTATTAGGTGAAATCTCACAGTTATTTGCATCAAAAGCACCGACCCGTCAGTTTGCAGCCACAGCTGATGAAGACGAAGAAAAGAAGAAGAAAACAGAGTTGAAAGTCCTGGACGGAAAAAGTGCCCAGAACCTTTGTAAGTTATTTTGTGATTGGCTTTAACAATAGTCCTGGGAGCATGGTGTGCCTTGAATTCGTGTGACTCGTTAAGGTTTTTTTAAATTCTCGGAGGCTCACCCTCTTGTTATATATCAGAATGATTTTGTAGGTCTCTGTGCATTTTACATATCTGATATTTTTCTTAGATATTTGAAATATCTTTCAAAAGGAGATTGTTAACTTCAGTATGTTGGCGGGCAACATGCTTTTGAGTATCACCTGGTAATTCTAGTATCGCTTTGAACTAAGTTTCAGAAAGTCATTTCTATTGTGGAGATGCAGAATTTTTGAAGAAGCTGCATTTCTCGATGAATAGAGATATCTGTTGATTTCCTACTGTTATTGGCTGAGAGGCATCAAATCTCGTCAATGGGTATAAAATATAACACAATATGGATTAAACATAGCTAAATTCCATTTGTTTTTGTTTGAACAGCTATATTTCTGGGCTCCTTCAAGATATCATACCAAGAAATCCGAGATGCGATTTATCGAGTTGATGACAATGTCATTTCTGAAAATGCACTGGAAAATCTAATCAAATTCCTACCAAGTCATGAACAGGTTTGTTGCATGGCAGCACTGTTATTAACTTGGAAATTGAGACACATTGCACGCTGGTTGTATATTAATTAAAATGTGTAATATCGCTCTGATTTATTATTTCTGATTGCTTCTATTTGCATGCTTTCCTGTTTCTCGTTTACTGTCCATCTTTGCTTTACCAGTACATCAAAATAGCCATTCTTGAAACATTTTAGGTGAATCGGATTAATTTGGTCAAAGCCATTAAGACTGCTTTATTTCCCTTTCATTCTTAAAAGTGCTGTGCTCAAAGTAATAATGTCTGCCTACCAGGAACCATTCAGTTGTTATTACGTGGGCCTTATGTTGCGCAATATCTGTATCTAGATTTTAGCGTAACAGATGTACTCAAAATTGAATGTACGCTAAAATTCTTTTAGATATGCCTCTTCCATTATCCGTGTCGTCTTAGGACAGTGCACTTGTAGCGCTTTTGTTTTCCATATACTCACTTTAATAGTTGATTCCTCTTCTCTACAGCTCCAACAATTGCTCAATTTTAAACACGAGTATGATGACCTTAACGAGGCAGAGAAGTTTTCTATTCAAGTATGTTTTTGTTTTCGTTTTTCGTTTTTATTTTTGTTTTCGTTGTTTGACTTAAGTTCGGCTTAACTTAAAGTTAATTTTACCTCTAGAAATGTGAACTTTTCAAAAAAGAAAATGCCATTCTTTATCCAAGCGTTATGAAGCTCGTTTTAGACCCATCTGAAGTGACTGTGAAGCTAACGAAATGAATTCGACGACTGTGTGAAATATGTTACCGCCTAAGGCTAATATTTGAATAATGCCAATAATTTGACAATTTCACCTGGTGATTTTATTTGAAAATCAAATGTATTAATGAAGAGCACATTATTTGTTGCATTTAATGTATCAGATATTTCAGTTTCAATATATTGAGGAAACAAACAGCCTACTTCTGTTATTGTTATGACGATGTAGGATACTTTTTTATTGACAGGTCGGAGGTATTCCAAGGTTAGAACATCGTCTGAAATGCATGCATCTACGTATAAAATTTGCTGAAGATGTCAACGATGTGAAGCCGGTAAGATATTGTTGCTAGATATTGTTTTTTTTGTCATTTCTAAAAAGGCAATGTTTTATTGTTTTTTTATTCGACAACTACCACGTTACATTTAGCTGAAACTACGTTTAAAGTGCAAAAGAATTGTCAAGGTTAAAATGGAAAATTTTTAAATCTTCTCGTAGTTGATCCCTTTGCATCATGGGTGTATTGTTCAATTTTCGTAACTGTCGCATTTCATCAATTACTTATCCTTGATGATGACGCCATTATCATGTTTAGGGAGTTCTTAATCCTTCTTTCGATCTTCAGGGTATCGTCAACATTACAGAAGCTTGCAGAGAGATAAAATTAAGCAAAAAGTTTTCCAAATTTCTTGAGGTGAGAAGTTACTTAAAATATCTTTCAAAACATCGAGTTGCCCGTATATTTATATGCAAATTTTTGTAATGAATTTTCATTAAGTGGTTTTCGTCTCAAAATATTGCAAGTTTTGTCTACGTATCTAGCACCAGACATTCATTGCCAGAGAACATCATAATTTTATAATATTCTTAAAAATATTTAAAGATTTGATAATTTATCAAATATAATGCCTTACACAAGAAACAGTCGTTTATTGCTCACATTTTCTAACTTTTCTAATATCAAATGCTTTGTAATATTTTTCAATTATTGTTGACACCTCCCCCCCCCCCAATATGGACATATCGGTAGATTGTAACATAGCAACATTTCAATCTAAGTTGATAATTTTTGTAAATGTTGAAACCAACTAGATTTTGTATCAATATAATATGTCCTGTATGGCTGTTGAGGCAATGGACAGAATTTAAAATTGGTTAGGCCATCTATCTATCAACTTTGGTAGATTATGATCGACAGTCTGCTCAAGCCACTTTAGACCTGTTGATTGCCTTATGCATAAAGAAATTGATTTTTTTTGCAGCTTATTCTGTTGACCGGTAATTATATGAATGCTGGGTCTCGGAACGAAAGATCATATGGCTATGATTTGAGTTTGCTGAACAAGGTTTGTTACACTGAAGCTATTTGCCAAAGTTTAATAAATTGATGATAAAAACTGTAAAGTATAATTGCATTTATCTTTTTATTCGCAATCAACCTTAAGTTCTTTGTAAATGATGCTGGTTTTATGATTTACGAAATAGGAAGAAATGATTATGTGCATTCTAACTGATTGACTAAAGACTTTATAGATTGAGAAATTAATTAGCATGCGAGGTATCATGATGCATTTATTGTAAATAAGGTGTGAATATTAGGAAGTTTGTGACGTCTTTTGTAGCTCGGAAACACCAAATCAGCTGATGGAAAGATGACATTGGTTCATTTTCTTGCGAGCGCTGTAGAGGAAAAATATACAAATATCATAGGGTTTGAAGAAGACTTGTCGCATGTCGACCAGGCAGCAAAATGTAAGCAAACTCTTTTCTGGATAGCTTTATCGTCATTTGCTTTAAAACCGCATTATTTTATTTTTTATTTTTTCTAGATTTACAACCAGTTCAATCACTGTCTATCTTCAATATAGTGGATTTTCCTTTCCTCTTACTTTTACGTAAGATTTCTCACATAATGTTCTACAGGGGCTCCTTCATTTTTTTTAGAGAATTAACTATGATATTTTGTTTTCAAGACTCTGAGGATATTCTTGTCAAAGGAGTAAGCGGTCTTCGTTCTGCTTTGAGCCGGATTGAAAACGAGTTGAAGCATCATCAACAGCCGAAAGGACCCGATGATGCTTTCGGAGAAGTTATGACTGTATCCTTTTCCATTTAATTTTTTAAATTATAGTTTTTATCATTACGCACCACGCTGTATGGGTTATTGATGATGACACCACAAATCCTCCTGCTGAAATTTGTTTAGACGATAATTTTTTTTTCTTTTCCGGGAATTGACAGGGGAATGCATTCAAGATGCGGGGATAGGGGCCATGTTTCTCTGTGGCTGGAGAATGAATGTGCTTTCAAAAGTTAGGATCGCTTTTGGTTTGAATAAGCTTTATGATGTTTTTATCCTGTCTAATTTCAGAAGGAATTCGACATGGTTTATTAATAAGCACCCCGGTTTTCTGTACTTCGTAGCTCAAAAGGTTTAGACACGTGTTCCGGTATCCCATCCTAGCTATCTGCCCTAGATCCCACAAAGCTAACAGTGTGCTTAGGTGCTGTTACCCTTGCTGGTTGAAAATGACTACTCGTCTATCATCTCCTCTCATTATAACACGAAAAGCAACGAAGCATTTATATCCAGTACTCGGCTTTCCAAATAACCAAGAATATTGATTGCCCTGCCTAAATCTTTAATTTTTGTCAGTTACTAGATCAATGTTATGATTGCCATCTAGAGTTTCTCCTTGATTTGCAAACAGAAATTTTTGCAAAACTCTAAAGAAGAAGTTACTTTGTTGGAAGAAATGTTGAAGAAAATGCTGAACCTCTTCAAAGATTTACTCGAATATTTTGTCCTCGATCCAAAAAAGAACACCACTGAAGAGTTTTTCGGGAATCTTCATAAATTTTTAATGGAGTTTGATGTAAGTGTATTTTTCACAGCTGGCAAGCGAATATTAATCATCCAGTTCAATTTCAGTATTTTTTTCTCGATAGAAAATATGCCTTACCTGTCACCGGCTTGAGTTCTTTTAATCAATCCTTCACGAACTGTTGCATTTTGACACTTTCTTAGCAAAAGTTTACAAAATTACTATAAAACACACTTAGCTGAAGCGTGTTATCTTGGATTATTAACTTAAACTTTTAAATTCGTTTTCAGAAATGTAAAAAAGATAATGCAAAAAGAAAAGAACAAATTGAGAAAGAAAGAAGAGCCAAAGCAAAAGCGGTAATTTTTCAGTTTTTATTATTCGAATTGAGGCTTTTTCAATTATGCTTGGAATTCGATTTTATTTTTATTATTGCACTTTAAGGAATCGGAGGAGCCGATTTTCTGAAAGTAGCGAAACTTTTTACTGGTTGTTTTTATCAGAAGATAAACTCTGATTTATTGCTAGTTGACGTCACATACCGTGAAAAGAAAGGTCAAACTTTTTGTGTATATCCTTTTTTGTTCTTGTTTTTCTTATTTGAAAATCAAATTCATTTTTTTGTATTTTGTAGGAAGAAGAAAGGCGAAAGAAAGAAGAGGCTGCACATGGACGAAAGAAAGAAATTGGTAACATGATCGGTTTTGATAATTTCATCTTTATCGTATCAAGCAGAAAATGTTTGAAATTTTTCAGGATACTTTAACGAAAACCTAAATTTAATCTTTATTTTTACAAACAGTTGTCAGGTCGTATGAACTTGACCGGTATTTTTCTAGGGTGACAAAGTTTGTGTCTTTCAAAGCATCTTTTTCACCATTTAAACATAAAACACGGTGCCAACTATGATGTTAATTTCATTTATTTGTAAAATTTGAAAGTCAAACAATCATCGTAGATGCATTCTAGCTCCTTCTCTCGAGTTTCTGTGTGCTGTGTTGTGAAGAGAGCAATCTAGCATTGGTTTAATTACTTGTTGTTTTAATTCATAGAGCAATTGATAACGCTTTGTATTTTTTCATTTATCCTTGTCATCCTATCCAAACAGGTGGCAGCGAGGAGGGTGTTTTAGATGGCCTTATGGAGGCACTGAATACAGGCAAGGCCTTTAGAGACCCATCTAGGCCCCAGCGTAAAAGGCAACCCAGAAAAGGTATGATTTCATTTAGCGCTAGTTGCGTTAACTTCATGAATTTCTGAAAAATTTAGAGGATCACCCTTAAGATTTGCTTATAATATCGGTGGGGGGGGGGTGTTAGGGTTTATTTACTGCATGTAGAGCCTGCTTGTTTAGACATTTTGTGATTTTTGGTATTTTGTACCTCTTTAGGTTTTTATAGAATAGTTTATCAAATGTTTTGATATTGTAAGAAGAGACGTATAATCATGAAACAAAAATAGTGAGGTTTGAACATGGAAATGGAGGGTTCTTAAATTCGTTGCAGGGGGGGCCACTTATTTACCCGTCTTTAATTGGCTTCCTCAGCGTTCTATCCCACTTACAAAAATGCCATTTAAGAGCCTCGCTCGGAAACACGTGATTGTTTGTCAGTATGTGTGAATCAGTAGTTCTGACTGTATTTCGTTAATAGTCTTTTGTATTCATAGATAATTGTTACTGTGTTAGAACATTGAGTTATTGATTTCTTGCTTGTGCTTCATAAAACTCTCTTTGATTATTTATTCCTTGTCTTAGCTCGTCCTGGTGAGCTTGAACGGAAAGGAACACGAGTAAACATGGTACCGATTATGCAGCTCGAGCCAGGCCAAAAACTACCAAAGGCAAGATCACCGAACAAAAAGCTCGAAGATCTGGTATAATCACTGCGTTTAGCTCAATCTACTCAATCCAAGTGCATCCTACTAAACCAGTTTAATCGGTTCAAGCGGACTTGATAATCTGGGATCCAAATCAATCGTAATATTAATCACTAAAACCATTTGTATATATATCATATCTATATGATGTAGTTGTTCTGTAGACAAGATATTTTGTAAGCTGGAATTTTTCTTGTATAGAAAACATTAATCTAAATGCTTCAAACTTAAAAGGAATTTTCTGGACGGTAGATTTTAGTAACTAAGTAGCTAAAATAATGAATATGGACTATTGGACTGTATGCAGTAAGATGGAGAAAAATATGCTCAGTTTTGCAGCACTGGTGTCCATTTTCGGGGTGGTGAGGTCGCATAATTCTTTGCCTGTAATGATTTCCTACACAAGCCCCATTCTGAATATCTTTGTATAGTAGCCACTGAATCTTTTAGATAGACGTCGCATGCTAGGTATTTTTGTCAAAGCTTATCGATATTTAATGGCCTGAGTATAAACCGCGAGAAGTTATTCGACAAAAAAGGTAAATTTGTTCCTGACGTGGACTAAAGAGCTAGTATCCCGTGAGGCATCATTTTATCAAAATCTGAGAGCTACCTTTTGAAATTTTCTAACCTTGTATTAGATTTATTTGGAATTTTTAGCAGCATCCGCTAAGGCTGCCCCATTGAACCTTTTTTGCAAAATGCAGTACATTTTGTACAGCATTCTTTATTGAAACTGAAAAAATCATCTTTCCTATTTTTGATACTTTCAGTTGAAATTTGAAGTATAGGCCAATCATGTTTGACATTCCAAGTCATTTCTAAGACACTTTTAAAATTGCTTTTGCATAGCTCGTGTCATTCACATAAAACATTTGCAGGTGCATATGAGATGTTGGAATATAATTCGTGTATTTCACAAGCCTCTAGAACAGAGGGATTTTTTTTCTTCCCATACTTAGGTAGCAATTGTATTTTTGATACGTAACTCCCCGTACTATCAACATTGAAGTACTCCCGACGTTTCTTGTTTGGAAGGATGACTCTTTGTTATTTCCAATAAAGTAACATAAACTTTAGATAGTGTTAAGCTGTGGTGCGTTTATAGAGTTGTTCATGGGTTTCATTAATTTGAAAAGTCCGCAATAAAGTTGTTTAGTTAGTAGTAGTGAAACTTATTTTAAATCAATGTATTGAAATTCAGTTCAAACTGAAGCTGTTATATTTTTTATGAATTCAATCATGCTGCAGCAATCTGCCTATATATGCCTGCCTCTCTCTTTGTCCAATACAGGCCCCTCTTTCCCCATGGACAACTGTTCATCCAATAAGATCTTATGTCAGTAGAAATGATAGGTCTTGTTTGCCGACACATTAAAGGCCAGGTTGAGACTTTGGGGTTTATTCGGTTCTCAAGGTTCTACAGGGGGCTTAATGGAAAATGGACTAAACTGAGCTTTTGTAGTATGTCAATTGTTCAAAATCTGTTTTCAGTTCTTTTCGCCTTCATAGCCTTTTCAACGCTATACTCTTGACAACATAACCCTTTGTTCAGTATTGTTCTTTATATTCTAAATGATGCCCCTAATATGAGTGTAGTGCTCAGGGGGCTGAGCCCCCCTTGTTAATGCCGAAAGTAGCCAATTTCTACATTTGCTACTGTTTTTCGCAGCGTTTGCACAAGAGCCCCCCATGTTTTTTGAAAGCACTGCACCCCTGCCCTTGTCTCAAACTTTTGAAGGAGTTTGAAATAATGTAAAGAATGGGCCTGGTGTACTTAAAATGTTCTTGCACTAATTAGTTGTGAATTAAAGAGCAACAGAAACGCCTTTAGGTTTCTAATGCCTACTTTGTCGCAGGTAATATGTTCCTTTCCGATTTGATTGGTGAATGGTATTGTCAGAACTTTATTCCAGGTGCACAAGAAGCTGTTGCAAGCATTTAGCCAAACGGTGTAAAAGGTGGTTTTGCAATAAGATTGCAATTAAATTCAAAATGACTTCCTACCCTCCCCTTTTCCTTGTCGTGCTTGCTTGATCATCTCCTTTTCAACTTTTTCATCTTGTTATAATTTCCAATTGGATTTTATCTAATGTTGGTTTACAAAAATATTAGCTAATAAACAGCTAATTAACACCAACTTGTAACAATAACAAATATAACTAAGAAAAATCGTGATTTTTACAAGTATCCAATACTAGAAATATATGGTGTGCATAGTCTACACGAGCAAGTAAGATCCGTCTGTTTAATCTTAGCTTTGAATACTTTACAATTTTTGTCGATCGAATGTCTAATGGTATAGAATTCCGCAATTCATTACATCTATAGGATATTGTATCTAGCCCATAAGTAAAAGTGTTCGGCTTTTTTTGTATAAACGATTGATTTCGTAAATTATATGCAAGTTCATTCAACTGAAATATTTCGATGATATGAGCCATACCTAGCATATAAGCCATAGCTCCTCGTAAACAATATCATAAGTTTTGTATGGGCTATTTATGCTCTTTTAATACTTCTTGCTGTGAAAAAGAAGCTACCTTTGGATAATTTTTTCTTACCAAAACTGTACATTCACGACAGATCTATCTCGGTCTCGGTTGCTGTGTTTGATAACTGGGATAGAATGTTTTCTAATCATATTTGGATTTCGGGTCAGTTTTTGCCTACTTGTAGCGCCCAGATAAAGGGTTTCCATTGAGTACTCCAGTTTTGCCCCCACCCCCCCCAAGAAAAATAGTAGCTGCGACCCTGCTACGGTTTTATCTGACAAGCATTTGAAAGTTAAACAGACGTCTGTGTCAACGAGTGATACCCGATATAGGTACTTCATGTAACAGTTGATTGAAAATAACAGCAGTTGAAAATTTGGAATTGCGACCGCTTCTTGTTAACGATGGAATGAAACTGTCGTTAAATATGACGAAATATTTCTTAGCTATGCCATGATGCAAGTACCAGGAAAGTTAAAGGTTGTTCCTATTTTGAAAACTGATCCAGACTTAGATCAGAAGTGGTTAGAATTCACGATACAGGTAACATCTTCTATGTTCCTCTTACATCTGGCCTAAAAATCATTATGCACGACGCATTTGTTTGCTATGTTTTGGTTTTTGTTCATGGATGAATTCTTTTTTTATCATTTCATAGTTCTAAAGAAATCTCCCGTTAGAGGTATGCAGCTTTAGAAGTTGTATTTACTTGATGGTATTTTAAGAAATCACATTTTACATTGAGCATAATTTTGACTAGTTAAACTAGGTGTGAAGTCTTAGTTTCGTTCATTTCTGTTCAGTTAAGTTAAAAGTCTTAGTTAAAAATCCATTACACACATCGAGGCTCTAACTAAACAAATATATATACTTACTAAAGACACAAAGAAAACGTTGGCTAGCTAAATGCTATTAAGTGAAAAAATTAGTTCAATTTCCTGCATGTTTTGTATTCATGTCATAAGATAGTGAAAATTGCATGAAAAGGTGCACGAAATTATATTTTGAAGATAGATATGACCACGGGACTGCACATTGAGCAGTTTTACATATAGCAGCTTAAATTTCTTGTGACTATTGCCAGCAATGTGACTTTAAGTAGATGGACCTTTAGCGGATCGTGCTTAGTCCATTTCAAAGTTGTTGTATTTTGCACCCTAAACTATTGTCTTTGCAGTTCAAATTGGTTGCTTTGGTTTAACTTTTATCAAACATGTTTCCATTACAGAGCATTTTCAGAGAAGAGCAGCTCACATCTCTTTATGATGAGCTTGCTAAATCTGGTGAACTGCTTCCTCAAGCAAGAGATGCATCCATTAATCCAGATGGATTCTTGTCACAAAGAGCTGAAAATGGGACATACTACTGTGGGCAGCCAGTTTTGTCATGTGAATGCTGTGATGTTATATGTGGACCCAATCAAGGATGTAGTTGCTCTAGTTGTCAGACTGTTGAAGCCTATGAATTAGAGAAAGAAAATGATGGTAAAGACTGCCCGCCATTGCTGCACCCACCAAAATCATGGTTTTGGGGTGATGAGCTTACAAAGGATCACCTAGAGCAATATTTGTATTCATTGGAGATTAATCAGAGAAATATAATCCAGGAAACAATGAATTCAGTGAAGTCCTTTGGAAGACTGAATAAACGCATAGCTGTTCTTGCCAGACATCTTGCAGCCCTCTCTAGACAATGTTTTGGAGAAGCAAAGAAGGAGGTTGCAAGAAAAATAAACAAAACAAATGCAACTGAGGAAAATGCAAAGGAAAAGTATGCTTTTTTGGTTTTTATTTTTTTGCACCCAACCATTTGGTGTCTAAATATTCTTGATATAAAAGCATGGGAGAATTACATTTATCAGGACAAAGATAAGTTAATATTAGGCATAGTTACATTTGATGTTAATAAATTGACACCATTTATAAGTATAGAATTCCAGGTAATTCTTGAGTTTAATACTTTGTTTATAGTCCTTTCAACCTAATACTTTATAGCCTGATACATTGTTTATAGTCACAAGGCTTGGCCATGTGACTTTAACACCATGGACAGCCTGACCTATAGACAGCCTGCCCAAGATTTTGAAGAATTGTCAAATAGATATAGAAATACTATCAATGCTTATTAGTGTAAAGTCTGAAATGTACACCATCCTTTTTTATGTCCATTTCCACCTAAAGGATGAAAAAAGGGATGATGGTAAGCTGTTTACACATATCCTTTAAAAAGGATCCTTTTTCCTTTTTGTTCTTTTCGTCATGGGTAGGCCAATGAAAAAAAGTAGCTGCTGTCTGTTTACTACTGGTATTTATTGCCAAGGGCCGAAAAAGAAAGGTAAAATCAAAGCAGTTAGGGTGAAACCGTGGTTCCAGAGCATGGAAACAGACAGTTCTGGGTTTTGCAACTTTGCTGAATGAGTTGCACTTGAAAGAGCACAACAAATATGAAAGGTTTTATGAATGAGCCCTGAAATTTTTAACAAACTTCTCAGCCACGCACCGTGGTTAGAGATTCTCTAGTTTATTCCACCACGTATCAAGGTTGCAGCACTTTTCGTTGCCCAACCAGACGTTATCACCTAACATGGAGGCAATAAGACAAAAAATTTTAGCGCCTTTTCAAAAAGACAAAAGAAAAGACTATCCTTTTTTGCTGCAAAAGTTGAACACATCCAACTAGCATAGGCGAAAGGCATATGATCAGTTTTTTCATCCTTTAGGTGAAGACGGGTGTAGAAAAGGACCCTGTATTTCAGCCATAAGGCTGAAGCTACAGTTTGTAATTATTGATTAAAGTAGGGATATGGACAGCCTGCCCAAGATAGAAAGGTTGCCTGTCCCTGACTTGGAAAAATATCTGTAATTGCAATGTGCAAGTTAATGTTTCTTAAAATTTTTGTAAGCTAATCACAGTTGCTATCAAATGTCTCTTTTTGCTCTTCATTATAGACCTCAGTCAGAGAATGAATGCTATGCAGAACTTGCAAGAAATGGAATTCAGACCATGTTGACATTTGCCTTTCAAATTCTACAACGCTCTTGGAGCAGGGGAGAAGATCTTGACCTTTGTAGTGGATTATTAACTGAAGCATTACAGACTTTGCAGAAATTGCCTGAAGCTCTTTTGTTTAATGATGGTGAAACATCTCCATTATGGAATGAAGTCCTTTTCATGTCATCAGCATTTTTAGAAAAAGTGGTCCTTGGGTAGGCTTCACTTTTTTGTTATAAATCCTGCAACTTTATTTGTGATAAAATTGATGAAAGGAATAAATTTTTCAATTTTGCCCAGATTTTCTCAGATTTCTACTTGAGAAAATTGACTAGGAGTTTCATATCAGTCCGTATGAATGAATGAATAATTTTTTGCATTTTTCCCCTTTGGCCACATGTAACCCAATTGATAATTATAGAATCAGCCCGAAGTGCAACCATTTAGCTCTGAAGGTTGACATTTAGGAATGCCATGCCATAGTTGCCAAGTCTCCTGCATCCTGCTGGAGACTCTTTCAAGCTTGTCTCCAGCCGAGCTCTGCAACAGTAAAACCTAGAAAAATTTCCAGCATTCCATGATTTCATAACATTGAAAGTTTACTTTTACATTTTGAGTATTGTTATGGTTTTTTCATCCAACCAATACAGTTGTCTTTCCTATGTTTAGGTGCCTCTTGGGCTTGCGACCTGCAGTTCTAATCTCCCTTCATTCCCTGCTGCTTTTCTGTATCTTGTTGCCATGAAAATATTTGAAAGTTTAGGACTAATAGATTAAGCTCCTTCATAGCTACACAGTGCTGCTATGCAGCACTCAAATTTCCAGCATTTTATTCATTCTCCGAAACTTGGCAACTATGCATGCAGTTCTTTTTAGATTATATTCACCTTGTATTATCTAATGTTTTTGTATTCATTGCTACCTTGCTTCTGAATTTTTAGAATACTGCAAAGCTTTACTTATCAAGCAGTGTCCTAGTCCTTCCTCTTGATGTGACAAGACTTAGTGATTTCTATTACAATGACAGAAAGCTGGCAACTCTCTTCACTCTAAGTGAAGCTTAATGTCGCAACTTGTAGAATTGTAGCCTGGATGTAGAAGTATATCAGGTACTATCAGTAGATAGATTGAATTGCTGTTCATATGGGCACTTTTTCATAAGTTAAATTGCTGTAGTGGCTTTGGTACATGCCCATATGAATTATGAACTCTTCCCTTTAACACCATTGTAACCTATTGCTATTTTTACTTGTTTTTCATTTATTACAGCACTGACTGCAAAACTGTCCCAATCAAAGACAGACAGAAAGCACTTGTGCTCCTCTTTGAAATTGCATTCCAGCATGGCTCTTTACACCAAATAATACAGGTGGTTATCATTTCTCTGAAATTGTGCATTTCACAGGAAGATCTGACTTTGACAAAAGTACCACTGGGGAACATTATTCAAAGACTGTGCAAATTGACCAAAGATGTCAACCCAGTAACAGCATGGGGATCAAAGGTGTGTAGTGTGGACAATAAAGTATTTTTTTATATTTATTTTTTATGTGTATGATATAAAGTTTCTATACTGTTTAAAATGTGAATGTATTATACTGTGTATAATGAAAATTAATAATGCTTCTTGAAACTATCATCTAATATGAATTCCTATAAAAAAATTAGTTATTGCACTTCATAAGGATTTTCTCCTTTGGAAGGATTCTAAGAAAGGTGATCTCACTGGATACTACTTGAAAAATGTAGCACCGATACAATGTGAAGGCACTGATGGTGATGATGATGAAGAAAGTCGTTTTGACCTTCATGATGTCACAATTGAGGTCCTTAGGTACCTGAGTAGTTTGACAGTTTTGTATGCAGCACCATCCCAAGATACCCAAGAGAAAGACACTGTTGAGGTATGTGTATAGTTCTTTCTATATATGGTACAAAAAAGTCTCCCTTGAAGTGTTTTGGTGTCTGGGCCAATGATTTGATTAGATCCTTTATGTTATACAACAAGTTATATTTCGGTAATTTGGTACCTTTATTATGTTTAGAAACCATAATTGAAAAAAAACGCATACACAATTATAATTTGTTCTTAGAATTTTCGCTGCCCTCCAGCAGAGTTGTCATACGATGAAAAACACAACAGAAGAAGTCTTAATTTACTTTTCTTACAATTTTTACTTGTGTTTTATAAAGAATATAAGGTTTTGCACATAGATAATCTTGTATTCTAACAGAGTTTAAGGAAAGGAGATCTTATAATTATTATCCTACATAGTTTCAGTGGTATTTCAGTGGTCTGGTAAATCTTTCTCAAAATTCTGTAATTTGGTTGTTGCTTTTGTTTTAAATTGGCCTGATTGATAGTTCAAATTCTCTTGTCATTGAAGAAATCTTAAAAGCCTTTTGATGTCTTAAAAATGATGGAAAGAAGGTGCATGGCAGTATTTTTGTCATTACATAATTGAGAGAATGATTTTCAGCTGAAATATATTATTCATTTCTATGGTAGGAGGATGGATTCAAACATGAGTTGTTATTCTGGGGTGGCAAAAGCAACCCTTCAATGCCACACAAACCATCACTATGTGGCACTGTTGTGGAGATCCCCATTAAGCAAATCTGCATCACAGAAGCCGCAATGATTGTCCTGACACGATACCAAAGAGTTTACACATTCCAAGTAAATGCAGATAGCTTGGTAAGTGAAATTTTTTAAATATTCATATACACCAAAACTTAGGTCATGAACCTTACGGACCTAGCGAAGCAGCTAAGGGTCTACTGTAAGAAAAGCTTTTTCTATATAGCCCTCAGATGTTTATCTTGCAAGGAAAAATTTGTAACTTGAATCTGCAAACAGCCTCTTTGGAATTTGGAAGCTTTTTAGATCGAAGATGGGGGTAATAAAAATATTTTTAAATCTGCTTGTCAAATAGCTCGTTTATAAAGCTTTTTTTCTAATTCGTTTGTAAAATGAAAAATTTTGCAAGTCGATACTGAGGTAGAAATATTTTTAGAATTCTTCATTGTAGTGTAAAATGATTTATCATGGATATACTGTATAGAAATGATTGGAGGGTGGGGGCTTATAAAGAATTTTCATTTCCAAAGTGGTGGCTTATTCGATAGGAGTGGCTTATATAAGATAAGGCCAACTTGAGGATTCACGGTATTTACTAATATTTAATAGATTTTACTCAGGGGCGGCGCTGGGGGGTATTCAAGGTATTCGTGAATACTAGTTTTTTTTCCAAATGTGGGCTTTGTAGGCGAATTAAATTTCTCCATCAAAACAATCAAAAAGGTGTAAAGAGTTTAGCCCTGGAGAAGGAACACTGTCGTGACTCATTTTCGTAGTATGATTTTTCTAGAATATTGCTCTGGCGCCACATGCAAGGCTATCTTTAATCCCCTGTTGTTTCCGGAGGCGGCGGCTCAGTATTCAGTGGCCATCCTGAATATGTTCGCATTGTTTTCGTGACCCAAAGTGACGTCAGTGATCAAAGAACCAGCGGTGCTTTACAAAAGGGTCTCTGAAGGGAAAGTATTCAGTTTTTCTCTGAATACCTTGAGCAAGTCATCTTTCCTCGTTATACAGATATCATGAATCGCATTTTGGATACTCAACACCGTTGGAGTGTTTCGAAAATTTTTGAACTTCGGTCAGTGCAAAGAGGAACTTTAACACACGAACAACGACTTCGTTTGAAAAAAGAAGGAAGACCTTGTCCAAGAATTAACTATAATGGTAGAACAAGTGAAACTGTGTATGAGGGGTTTTCATGGATTTGCGGGGCTGTAAATGAAGATGGAAAAGAAACTTTTTTCTGCTGGCCATGCCTAGTTATGGGGGACATTTCAAAAGTAAGTAATTGTTTTAATTCATTAGCGTACTTAGCTATGTAAAATGTATCTGGCTATGTAATGAAGATAGTGATATCAGTATAATTTGTCGCGCGGCCAGTGGCCATCCTATTCAGAATTGAACCCGAATACCTTGCGAGTCTATACTGCTTTCTGTCAAAGGCTTCAGGCCGTAGGGAAACATTGATATCGGCTTTTTATGCCCAGCAGCCTACAACATGTTCGTAACGCATCCATTGAAACGATCGGATTACGTACTCAAACACTTTATGTACTGAATGCATCCTGCTCAATTTCGTTGCACCGAAATCTATCATCCTTGTAAGGCAAAGGAACAAAAAACTGTCAGATCAGTAGAATACAGAGAGTCTTTCAAATTCACAATTTCTTGAAGCTTCGAATTTTTAATTGTAATTCATTGAATGAAGTGAATTGTGCATTACGAAACATACGAAATACAATTTATCAAAAGCAGTAACTCAATAATCAAAGTTGGATGGTTATCATGACCAAAACATTAAATAATCTTTTTTATTATAGATGAAGGTATCATTTGTTCAAAAGAGTGGTTACAACTCTGGTCGCTCAAATCTTTGGAACCTTGCCACTGGCCATCAGTCTTCTAAGAAGCATATAATGTACCACACTGCCTATCAGCTTCTAGGGAATGTAAACATTGCCTGTGCCCTAGATGAAGCAACAGGAAAAGCTGTAGCGAAGCATAACAAAACTGCAGAGAGGTACAGGAGAATGCTACACTATCACATTGACATTGTTATTTTCCTTGCAGCCCAAGGCCTTGGTTTCCGAGGTCATGATGAGTCCGCTACCTCATCAAACAGAGGTAATTTCATAGAGCTCATGGATCTTTTAGCACATTATAGCCAGGAACTGCGATCTTTCTTGGATAAAGAACGTGTTACCTACACATCTCACGATCCTCAAAATGAGCTAATAGACTGTATAGCTGAAGAGGTTCGCAGTGAAATTCGACACAGAATTAGCCATTCAAAGTATCTAGCAGTGATGATGGACGATACCAGTGATTGCAGCAACGTAGAGCAGTCTGCAGTGTCGATTAGACTTTTGCATGATGGAAAGGTGGAAGAGCATTTGCTGGGTCTAATTGATTCCTCAGAAGATCAGTCAGCAGAAGGTCTGACAAAAGTTCTGCTAAGTACACTTTCGAAATTTGAGGTAACACCTGAAAACAGTAAAGACAAGCTAATTGGACAGTCATACGATGGAGCCCCTGCAATGAGTGGACACCTTAATGGAGTTCAAGCTCGGATGCTTGAGCTTTTTCCAGTGGCTTACTATAATCATTGCGTCGCCCATCGAATGTCATTATGTGCATCAAGGTCAGCAAACAAAATTCCACGTGTAGCGAAATTTTTTGGAACCACCGATAAAATTGTGACATTCTTCCGAAGCAGTCCTAAACGAGCAAATCATCTTGGACATAACCTGCCTAAGCCTGGGGACACTCGTTGGTTATCACGCGACTCGGCAATTCGAGTGATTGACAATTGCTACGAAACCATTGGAACAGTTTTATTTGAAATTGCCAATGACAGGAAAGAAAAGGCCGAAACTCAAAGTTTGTCGAGAGGCTTAGGGATTCAAATACAAGCGATTGAATTTATATTTATGCTTAAACTATATCGAAAAATTTTCGAGTACTGTACGCCTATGATTACAGTGATGCAACGGCCAACATTAGATCCCGTTATCGTCAAGTCAATGTTGAATGACTTTCATACGGCCTTAAATGATTTTGATTTCAATCAAATTTGGGAGGATAGTATGCAGTTAGACCCAATAATCCCGACAGTTCGTGCCAGAGTTGGGTGGAGGAATATGGAGGCAGCCATAAATGGCCCGGAAAACTGGAAGATTTCCCTTGTTGAACTCGGGAAAGAAATAGTGACAATGTTTTTATCACAACTAGCCTGGCGCTTTTCAAACCTTGAGAAATTTAAGTGGATTAACCTAGTTCACCCCACAAAGTTTTTTGAGAGGAAGTTCGCAAATTCTAGTGAACAACGAGCTTTACTAGCCGAGCTGCGACAGCTCTACCCATTTGCTGTTACGGACCCTGTGGCAACCGAGTATAACCTCAATGTTTTATACAACAACTCTGAAATAGCTATTCTGCTAAAGAAAGTTGTCCGGGATAGAGATGAGATCATTTCAAGAAAACTCACGAGTTTCAAAAAGTTGCAAACTGCAGACAGAGAGGAAAGTAATTTGGTTGAAACTGAAGAAATCGAAGAAAGAGATGAATTTCAACCAGAGCAGCCAACTGGCGAAATAGAGACCGTCCCAGAAGGAATTGCGTCTATACAAGACCTTTTAACGGTGATAAAAGGCGCACAGCTTGAAGATGCCCTTCCACAAGCTGTTCATTTGCTTGAGCTGGCAGTTGTTATTCCACTGACAAGTGTGCATTGCGAGCGTGTATTCAGCAGAATGAAGAGGGTGATTTCAAGCAGCAGGGCGAATATGATGCAAACTAGAAAGAACAATCTTGTTTTCTTACAAGTGGAACATGAATTGTTAAGAAATCTTGCCAAAAATTCATCTTTTAAGGATGTCATTGTAGATAGATTTAAAGTTTGTAACCAGCGGAGATATGATAGATTTTCAAAGAAGTAAATAGACTGTTTCAAGCGAACATTTGTGACATTTTGTGAAGTTTTTTAGATATTTTGAAATAATTGATAACAAAATATAGACTCTTCAGTGAATTAGTATCGAAAACATCTTTCTCAATTTCCAAAAAGGTGTGGCATTTTGGGCGTGGCTTTTGCTAGTTACCTTGAATACCAATCGAATTTTGCTCCCAGCCGCCCCTGATTTTACTGTTAACTTGTTTTTTGTATGTAACGCTTGATGCTGTAGAAGAACAGTAGTACACAATTTGCCTTTTTTCTCGCATTAAATTTAAACTCTTGTACAGCAGCTTAGAAACTGCTCGTCGTGCTAACACTACTTAGCCTTTTCGTGTAAAGTTAATATTTTTAGTCAATAATTGTATCCTAACGGGATGGTATTCAATTAATGGAAATATTTCAGTTAATTCTAAATGGTAATATGTATATGAAAATTTGAGGGAAATCACTTTCCTATAGATTTTTTAAATAAATATCGTAGATACAAATGGCAGTAGTTTAGAGAAAGAGAGAATCAGCTGAGTAGATTTTGCTCTTGGAATGCGGAACATTTGTGGCCTGAGAAGCATGAAATATTCCTGAGATGCAAGATGTGCCTAAAATATCAGAAAATATATCAATAGATGATTGCTGAAATTGAAATAGTTTAGGTGAAAATCTACAAGATAGAAATTAATCGCTATGTTATCCTCGTATATATCAGTTTTAAGGTGATCTCAAGATAGAGTATATCTTCAATCAATCTTTGTTAGTCTCCTTTATGTCTCTCCATTATCGCTCCGATATTTCTATCAAAACAGAAATTCTGCCGTCTTGTGGATTTACCTGCAAGGATTCAAGTTGGCAAAATAGCCGCTAGTCTGGATGGTCGCCATTATCTTGCCCTGACCTCTACTGGAGAGGTATTCTCTTGGGGTAACAATGAACATGGCTGCCTTGGGGTTGGAGTCGCTGTGGATGGGTAAGGCTATATAATTACTCTACAAATATCGACTTTATTATTGATCTCATCTGAACTGGCTGGCAATGAATTGCTGAATTTAGTCTTTTAGGCAATCGATCATTCGAAAATTGATCTCATTAAAACGTCATGACGTAATACGGTAGCTAAGAATGGCTAGCAACTGAAGCAATTAATTTTCTCCTAGAAGAATATTTACGAAAGTGTTTATACTTATTACAATTAACCTTTTTTTCGAGAAGCTACCTTCGTCATTCAGCTACGCGTTTTATTTGAATGAAAAGCATTTCAATTTTATAGAAGTATTCCTGCACATTCACCGATTCCAGCGCTAGTAGGAAAACGAGTTGTACACATCGCATGCGGAAGTGCATACAGTGCGGCGGTGACCGAAGATGGTGAACTTTACACATGGGGTAGTGGAGAGAATGGAAGGCTAGGCCACGGTAGAAATTATTTCGGTTCTTTGGATTTTTTGCTTGTTTTTGGTATTGGAATAGGCCGTCAGTTTTAGACCACTTAAGCACCTTAATGGGATGTTTCCCTCCCAGGTCTTTTGCTTAATGTTTTTTAACGATAAGCATATGATATATGATTGTGTACCGTGAATGAGTGAATACTACAAAACTTGACAAGGCTTGTTGAGTTTAGGGACTTCGACTACCAAAAGAGATTTCTTGTTACTTCAATGTAAAAATGATAATACTGATAATTATTAATCGTGATTTGTTGCACTACGTTACTGCGATGTTGCATTTTTAGGCAATGTTGCCTATGCTATTGAAATTCTGTTTTAATTGAAGATTCAGTTTCAATGATCAAATTTTGTGTTTTTTAAAAATGTATCTAGCCAATTTGTGTTCTTTCTTTTTTAGGAGGTTGTACTGATTTTTCCTCACCAAAGCTTGTCGAAAAATTTAAAGGGATGCAAGTTACTGACATTGCGTGCGGAATGGGAAACGCCCACACGCTTGCAGTAACATCTGATGGTGAGATTTGCAACCGATGTATATTATATTTTATTTCTTAAGGCAATTTAGGTATATTTCAAAATTCGGCTCCAAATGTAGCACAAAAACACTTGATACAAATGCATTAAAGAAACTGTTGCTACAAATTCATGACAAGGTTACTTAACAAGGCTTAACAAGGTTGCTACAAATTCATGACAAGGCTTACGGAAGACGACTGCAATTTCAATTCCAAGTCAATAGTTTAGATGATATCTAAGATGTTGCTTTCAATTTCAAATATGCTAATGTTCCTTTTTTTTCTCTATGTTTTGCAACTAGAAAAATAATTCATTTTGCTCATTTCATTTTAAAGGAAAAATCTGGTCTTGGGGCGATGGTGCATTTGGAAAGCTTGGAAGAGGCTCAGAAACGAGCACAGATTTACCAGAAGCTATTGATTCACTCGAGTCTGTAATGCATGTTTGTTGTGGCTTAAATTTCTCAGTTTGTTTGACCGAAGATGGCAAAATCTGGACATGGTTAGTCTTTGAAGTCAATGTTTGATGATCATCGTTTGATTAATAGTTTTTTGTTGATGAGTTAATATTTTAAAATATCCTCCATCGGGATACTCTCTTTAAATTTCTCTTTAAATGGGCATGCAATTTTTCTGGTATCATCAGCACATTGGAAATATGAAAGCAATCTAGATGCTCGTAGCTATATTGCACTGAAAGTTATTTTTTGTATGTTGGATTTATTCATCTTGATAAAACTACATTTGCTGTATGGTTTTGAAGCCCCAGATTCTCCAAGAAATGTCTCAATGAAAAGCTTCTAGTTTTTGAAAATAGGCTTCCAAAAGTTTTGTCGAAAAACTTCTTTTCGAACTGAGATTTTCCTGAAAAAAAGTTTTATTTGCAAAAAAGAGGCACACAACTCTGCAAAGATGTTAGAGAAATAACAGAAATTATATTGGCTAGGATGAAACATTGCTTCGAACTTGTTATTTTAACTTTTTAAAAAAGTACTTATTTGACAATGAAATGTAGGAAACATGTTAATCCGTTATCATTTTTTGATTTGGGCAAATTTGCACCTTCTTTATTATTAAAGCACTAAAGGAAAGGATACTTTTTTCAAGAAAATTAATTTCTAAATGCCAAGGGAAAGTTTAATGGCTTTTATTTAAATTTTCATTAAACGAGATAGAAATTTTCCAGACTATTTTTGAGCGTTTTATATTTAACTACCAGCTAACCTATCTGTTGTTCTAAGGGGTCGTGGAGACAGTTTCCAACTTGGCCACGGGACCAAAGAAGGCTCAATCGTGCCCAAAGCCATCGAGAGTTTATTTGAAAACCCAATAATTGACGTTGCTGTCGGTTATCACCATTGTGTTGCTGTCACTCAAACCCGGTCTGTCTATTTCTGGGGATCACACGACTTCCAAGATGAAGAGTCAGCTGAGAAAACCCCAACATTTCTTGGGAGGAAATCGGGTGCTTTGAATGTCGGCATAGCAGCTGGACCGTCTCAGGTATGCTACAGAGTTGGGTTTATTATAATCAAACAGCTGATGTATATATATCATATGCTAATATAATCAAACACGTATAACATCAACAAATCCATGTGTTATTTTGAAGAGCTATTGTGATCTCCTGAATGTGGTCATTGATAATTTTATGATCACTTCTACCATGCAAATTCGGTGTATTCTTTCATCTCTCCCTCCCAACTGTCTCCACAAGTACAGTGACATTGCTGCTTCGGAAATCAGGTAGTGGATAATTTGCTTAGCATGAAACTGGTTTGAGAATAATCTGTTGTTGATCAAGGTTCTTGTTTTTCGTAGACTTCGTTTTTTATCTACCTATTTCATTGGTTAGCCAATCAGATTTTTGAACAGTTTATTTTCGATGTTTTGCTACCCTACTCGAATTCTTTATTGGAAAATTTCTATCTTGAACTTCGGCTATCATTTCGTTATGTTAATCCAGACTTTTTTGGTTTTTAGACATTCTGCTGGTCTGCAGGTAAAGCACGTGCAATGGCGGCCAAAGTACCGTTTTCTATTGATATTTGCAAAGAAACATTTGATAAGTTGAATGACCTTTTGGAAATATGCGACCCCGCCAATGCGAAGGAGAGCAAAAATGACTGGCTCAAAGACAATAGTGATAAAATTTGTGTGTGTGCCTTAAAACTGCTGAAACTGCAGGTTGGTAGCCTTTGTATGTTGGTTTGAACACCTCTGATTTTTAAAGAATCTCTGAAATTTCGTCGCCATTCAATGCTGCTTGTTAACCAGTAGTCTCTGGTTAACAACTTAATTTACAAATTATGAAAAAAATAACTGAAAGCCTTTAGCTGATGATTTAGAATCAAATTGTTATTAAATATTTATGTTAGTTACTAATGAGCTAGTTAAATGAGAGTATTAAGATTATAGATATGTTGATCGATGTTTGAGGGTAGCTTCTTTAAATAACCATTTTCACCATTGCCTATTTCCAAATTCTAGCTTCTCGCTGCGAAAGCTTGTGCATTGCAGCCCTTTGAAAGGAAACGGGGAGTTGAAGGAGACCAATCTACTGAGGCGCTGAAAGCAAGAATCATAAGCCTTGCTTCGAGAGCAGAAGTTGATCTTTCTGTGAGATCAGAAGCTCAGTCAATCCTCCGCAGAGGTTGGTCTATTTTGCTACCTGCAGCAGATGAGCGAATCGTAGCGTTAAAAGCAGTTCTAGATGATGAAGGTAAGTTCATGAGGTTTCCATTTCTGCTACACTTGCACTGGATTTAAAAATCTCTCTAAAGCTGCTTAAAAACACTTTAATGACATGGCTAGGTACTCTGTTTTCATCGTCATTCGCGCACTCCTATATGGCGATAAACGTACCGGGCCCACCTTTCAAAAAATGTGTTCCTACAACGCCTCAGATTTCCTTGCAGTAGGTTGGGAATAGTTTTTACCCTCGCATTGTGGTCTGGCTTGCTTGGATGTGATAGCAGGTGTGTAGGGAAGGAATGGTGCTCGTTGGAAGGATGGAGGATCATTTATTCTTTAAAGAACTTTCTCAAAGCTCGCAATGCATTGCACGCAAGCAGGTAAGTTACGCAATCAGGGGGAAAGTCTATTTCATGCTCTGTTCTATTCTGATCCTGTTTTTTCACGTTTTACTTTCAGAGGGTTCAAACGTCAACATTCGAAAGCGCTTTTTGATTGATGTGTTAATGGACAGCTTAGTTAATGTCGGTGGCATTGATGCAGCTATTGACAATGGCATCAAAGACCTCATTGCATCGGCTGCAAGACGACCAGAGGACGGGAAATTTGATCGAAGGTGTCTTGATTTGGTCGGAGACTTCATCGAACTGTTATTGAAGATTGTAACAATCGACGCCTTGGAGAGGCTGAGTGAAAACGATATCGAGACTATATCGCAACGAAGTAATTTTGCATTTATAGAAAAGAATGTCTGCATGATTCTGCGATACCAAAGATTATTATTTGCAAGGCTCTTTAAAGGGAATGCGAAGGACCAATATTGGCCGCTAAAAGGTGAGTAGTAGTTTATAGGTTGTCTGGTACTATATTAAAATCAAAACCCGCCAGTTCCTATCTTAATGGCATTGCTGTTTCTGTGGATATAAAATCTGACGTCTCTTCTATTGAAAACTATTCCTGCATGAGATCTAAGAAATTTCACTGGGCATTTTTTTTGCAACTAATGAACATTTCAGTAGAGTTTGGTAAGAAAACCCCTGAATAAAATGCTGTGTGATTAAAGTGTGTAGGCCAGTAAAATGGCTTTACCTGTGATACCCTGTAAACCTCTTTGCGTAAAGATTAACTAAGTTGTTATAAAACCTAAAGAATCGAAATAACAGCAACAGCATAAGCAAAACAAATATTGCCTTTCAGGGTATATCTCAGAAACGAACCCGGATATCAAGTCAATATCGATCTTGTTAAAGAGGTTCATTCAAGCAATGGTGACTTGTTGCAAATCGCTTCTGAAGCAAGGCTATGAACGGGTGCTCAAAGGCAAGGTTTCCTACAATAAAATGTCCAGCTTTCTGCTGCTAACTGTACCAGGGATCGTGCTAAGAGAATTTCTTATTCTTTTGACCATGGCTCAAAGTTTTGCTCCAGCCGTCGCAGCCACATCAGAAGGAGTGTCACTTTTAGGAGAGCTTTTGGACCACCTTGACATGTTCAATCATGTAAATGGACAATGGAAAAGTGACGATTCTGAAGATCTGACGTGGTTTTCTAAAGGTGAGATTTTTTTATGAAAATCGTCAAGACCGTTAATTCGACAGTAAGGAGAAAGAGAACTGGTTTTCAATCAAGTAGCCTCAACTGGCTTTTTGACTTTTTTCTACTTTCTAGCTTCCTGGAAGTGCAATACTCAATAAATTGTTTACGTCAAACCCTATCGTTACTATGATTATTCAAAACTTTTACATGAATTGTTAACGTGCATGCTAGAATAAAAAAATTTGTCGATGTCCCAGGCCGTATTGCTTGGATAGATGTTCTGTTTTTACTTGTAAAAAATACACAGGCTGGTTTTCAGTATATATAGTTTCCGATCCAAATATAGTAAAATTGTATTCAGGTTTATGATTTGAATGTCGTTATTGGCAAAAAAACAAAAAAATTCATAGGTGCAACAAATGATGTGCAAAGTTCAGAGCAAAGTTAAACTTCTCTTGTTGTAGTGGAAACCATCAAAACATCGGATAGCAAGCCAGAAAAGTCTGTAAGAAAAATTTCTCAAATCGACTTGGATGAAAACGTTAAGCAGGGTAACACGTGGGTTGCCATTCACAACAAAGTCTATGACCTCAGTTTGATGAAAGATCAAGCTCCTTGCGGCGAAATGCTGCTGGAACATTATGCAGGTGAGGATCGATACAATCCAGCTTTGATTTTCATCAGGATAGCTCAAGATTAAAATGAAAATTTGGTAACAGAATGGTTTTATATCATTTGTAAAGTGTTAACGACATATTTTGGCATTAATTATATCAAGTTTAAACTTATACAACAGGTCTTCATCGCGTTATATACTGCCTTCGTCACTTTTTTTAAAAAAGATTTTCTGGAAAGGCTGCGAAGGGTTAGGGCTCAATCTTTAAGCCCCTACGTTGTTTTCGTTTATAGAAAGTATTGATAGCATGTTGTCGAGTATCTTTATCATATTCCTTATCGAAATTTACGTAGGTCAAAGCAGTCAATGGGAGGAATATGCCTCCGTTTAAGGCAGTGATTGATTTGACTTATAGAGCTATCATCATTATCATGGTCTTTGTCCTCAAGGTCATAACTATGGTGATCTTCTTCGTAATTTTCAGTGCCATTAACGCCAGTAACAGTCATTTTCTATCTTGAGTCCGTTAGTTTTGATATATCCTTTGTAATTTCTTTCAGGAAAGGATGCTACTTCAGTTTTTGACTCAATGCACCATTCAGACGAAGCATTGGCGATGATGGACGCATTCTTCATTGGCGACCTCGAAACTAAGGACAAACCCGATTTGGTTTGTTTTTATTTTCACCTTTTTAGAAATAGCCAGGGTTTTGGTGGTTGCTATTGTGTTCCTATGCCTTTTCTTTAATCAGAAATTTTGCGTAATTTAAACTTTCTTGCTTGCTTGCAGGTTCCAGAAAAAGAATGTACAAAAATTGTCAACATTTCCTCGTCATTTCTCGACTCAGAACGCACGCTTGCCTGGATTCTCGGTCTTCACGCGGGACATCTTGCACGCGGTGTTCTTGTCACGTCTGAAGAGCTTGAGAAAAGAAAATGGATGGAATCTAAGCTTTTTTGTGGTGGTGTGGAAAGTTCTGCAGTCCTCAAAGATATGTAAGTGTCAAAAAATTTAGTGGAAAACTAGATATGCTGTTAAAGGCAATTTGTTTTCTGAAAATACTTGTAAACAATCTTTTGGTGGTACAAAACTTTAGGCTTTGAAAAAAGCAAACATTAAGTAAACTAAAGCTTTCCGTCTGACACTCTTCAGAGTTTAAAACATCAGAACATAGACCGAAAACTCTACGCTAGGAAATATATATACCCAGTTGTGGATCGAAATAGGCCAATCAGAAACACGAGCACATGACCTCAACAGCATACTAAATGTTTGCTTTTTTCAAAGCCATTTTGAAAATACTTGTAGTGGCAATTAAGATAAGAATTCGGTAAGAATGGCTGAAAATGGTTCTTCCAGATTTTGCCAAAATCATAAGGGCTCTTTTATCGCTTGGAATTTTGAGTAGAGAGAAAAAACTTAAAAGTCCGAAATTTTGATGATATCAAAATTTTGTTGGTAGGAATACAGCAATAAGAAATAATTTCTAATTTTCTTCTTTTTCCGTCAGCTTCAAATTTGAGGCAAGCAGCAACACTGAGGAAGAGTCATTTGAGCTTGAAAGACTTCTTTATGACCTGCCACTGAACAAAATCATGTTACAGTTCATCGAAAATACTCGATTTGTTTCATCGCAAAGGGATGTCATGTTTTCTGCCATTGAGTTCCCTTCTGATCACCCTGTGGAGAAAGCAACACGTGCTATTATGGCCGCTGCTATTAAGCACCTTGACCTTAGTAAGTGCTTTTAGCTTCATGTTTTTTCATTGTAAAACCTGGACAGCATTAGCGTATCATATATAGGCAGGTCTATTGGTTTGAAAAATATTTATGTCTCATTATATTGGTTTTAGCAATTTCAGGGGGCTTTTTGTATAGATAATGTATTTAAGTTCGGTTTTCCTGAGATGTATCTCATCGGCACATTTACATATTTCACTTCTTTCGAAGCCTTCTGTAGGATACTGTTGTGAACCTGTCACCCACCTCCACAATATAGAGGTCGAGTGGGTTTTCAGTTGGACACAGTTATTAATTCATTGCTTTACAGTACAGCCATTGCAGGCTTTAGAATATTCTTAAAGGCACTCCAAGCTTTACTTTTCGTTATAGCAATGAATTTTATAAAACTTCTAGCGAATATCTTTATGAATGGGGCGAAGATCTTTTGCAACGAGAAAACCAGTTGCTTGTAAATTTAGCAACAAAGAAATTGTTATTCTTTCGTACTTATTTCCTATGGTTATTATTATATTTACAGAGGAACAGGCTGTACTCTTGGCGAAGACCCAAATAAGTGACGCTCTCAGTCGTAGCGAGAAATTAACCATGTTGGAGACCTTTCCAAAGAAACTTGTTGACGTAATTTTCAGCACGTATAGACAGAAATTGAAGCTGGTCCGGGTAAGAAAGTCACATTATATCTTTTGCAGTATATGCAATCACGGCATTTCCAAAGCTTCATTTGTCATTTTTGAATTATAAATTCAACCAAGCTTCTTTTGTAGCGTGAATACAAATATGAACATTCTAATATACAATAAATTTTACCACGAATGAACCTTTATAACGTGCTATGCTCGAAAAGTTGTTGTTCATTTAATATATTATTGATTTCTGGTACAATTTACTTACATTCATAGTTATCTTATTATTATATTGTACCGCACAAAATCTAGTAAAATTATTCTATGCACCCAAGAGACAGTCATTCAATCTTTGCAAAGAATGTTAGAGCCCCTAAATTGTGATCTTGATATAAAGGCGTACCTTTTTGGTTTTCAGACTAGCATTGTGAGATGTAATGTAAGAAAGATAAATATTGTTCCAGCTTTCGATTTCCGCTTTCTTAGTCTTTTTCTTTCAGTTGATTATATAGATGAGAACGGCACAGTCCGTTAAAGAGTTGTGTAGATGAACATTTATTATCTGAAATATCATTTGATTGTCTTTTGTTTTTCAAATTAGGCCCACCAAGAGCATAACAAACCATACGAGAGTCTGTGCTCTGCAGTAGTAGAGAAATGTCGTTTTGTCTTCTACTGTTTACATCCTGCGTCTGGTGTAAAAAAGCGCGATGAAAGTATTTCACGAAAGCAGCTTACTACCTCAAGATGGCAGGAAGCCGTACAGCGTTTGACTGTGGCCGAAGGGACATTTTGGGACACAGCGATATGGTGGAGTGAATCGAAAGCAAAGGAAAAGAAGAGTGACCTATATTTTGGGGAAGATGAGAATGTTTTTGCAAAACAAGTGACAGAAGAGTTGTATGATTTTGTTTGTGATGAATCGCTGAATTTAGACACCATTCGGAAATGCTTCCTGTATCAGGCACGTCTTTGTGATAAAACTCTATGTAGAATAAACTTTATAAATACCATTTCTTACAGTGTTAAATTTTCGAATCAATAATTTTTCAGCGATTTTATACTCTAATTCCTAGTCTAAGAGAGTACAGTAGAATAGATTTCAATCTTTATTCTAACGAGATACATTTGTGCTTATCATTTTCCCAAGTTACACTTGCGTTTTAAATTAACATAAATGTCACTATTATTTCACCTCGAAAAAGCCTTAGCATGTCAAACTGAAGTTAAATGGAATGAGAATTTCTATTTTTAGACAACGATCCAACGAATATGTTCTTATAACTTCTTTATTTGTTTGCAAAAATGTTTCATGTCACAATTTTGTGACTTTTTCTTACAGATCAAACGAGTGAAACAGCGCTTGATTTCCGGTTACATGATGCAGTCGTACATATTAAGAACCGGAATGATTCCGTCTGCTCGTTTCAGTTTGCTCTATGGCTGGATGGGAATGGAGTTCCAGTGTGGTATCACGAGGTATCTCACCAATTATAAGCTGAATTAACGTCCTCTGTAATTCTGTATAGGGAGCCCAAAGATCTTTTTTAATTGGCAACAGCCACCATCCAATTTGTTTTTCCTCCTAATTTTCTTTTATCTTTTATATTTTATATGGTAATGCTTTTGTGTTCTCGCCATTTTTTATTTCTCTCATTCTACTTTCACTCCCAGTGCATCCTAAGGCTATCATTAAGGAAAATGTTTTCAGATTTATCATAATGCCTCTGACATAGTATAACTACACCAAAAAATCATCTAGGGGCACTGGCAATCGTACTTTGTATTTTCATTTTTTTACACAACCAATTGTCTGTGACATGAAATTTTCTGTGAGCATCACAGCAGCCATTTTCAAATTTATACCACAAAAAGATAGTGTTTTTACTGTACAAGCGTTAAATATTTTTACTTCACCGCATATATATATATTTATATATATAAAATTATATATTTGCAGTAAACCAAAGCCGGGGATTGGAAACAACATTGAACTCGTTTCTACTGAAGAGCTTGTGAAGTTAAGATCTGTTTTCGATGTCATTGCTCACTGGGCGGTTGATTTGTTGAGGAAGACTGTAAGGGACCTCAGCGAGGCTGTTGCATCTTGCAAGGAGACTGTGGATGTGAAAGAGGTTGTTCTTCTGCATGCACGAACGCTAACAGCAGTGCTTGGAATGTTGACGTCACAGAGCCATTTTGGTAAGCTACCGTTGTCAGGGTGAATAGAGCGAGGGCAATCCAACCAAAGTAATCCTACTTTGCTGACATCGTATGATTTTTCATAAGAAATCCAGCATAAGTAATTTTAGTGGCCTTTTCTTGGATAGTTTTTGGATTTTTATATCAGACCATCAGGGATTGAAATGATTATTTGCTAAAAAAGGGTTAACTTCGTTAATGTATGGTTATTTCTTTCAATAGCTGTCTTCCAATATTCTTGTTTGATTATTGTTTAATTATTGTTAAAGGTTTGAATCTAGTCTTTGTACTGTTATTGTTTCAGACAACATCGAATTGCTAGTACACAATGGAATATTTGCTTGTATTCAGTCGATTTTGAACTGTCTTGAGAAGGCCATCGGCGAGGAGTATGAATTTGATCATCCTTGCCCAATGACAGTTATTGTTGATGAAGCTAGACATCACGTGACCAGTATTCGAAATCTTACTGGTGCAGAAATGGCCAACCTTATGAAATCAGGAACTCGTGTGATTCGTGGTGTGGACTGGAAATGGGGTGACCAGGTGAGTTTTATGGCCTACTTTGAGGCCTGTCGTTGTTCTAGCGGGGATATTTTTCAAGTTGATTTTGCATCTGAAGATTTGAGTTAGCTAGCGTTACTGGTTAAAATCTGGTTTCAGCAGATTTAAATTGAAGCAGATCTAATTCAATAATTGTATGATACTGTAGGGTTGATCAATGCCAGAGGCTTTTGAAAGAGCCAAAATTTCCAGGATAGCCCTCGAGTCTCAAGAAATTCATTCCTTCTCAAGAAATAAAATAGTTTCATTTGTGGAAACACTTAATTGTCCATTCAAACGCATTTGTATCCATCCATACATTTGTATTAACACTTACTCGCACAAGTATTATAACTTATACTAATTCTTTTTTGTATTGTTGTAAAGGATGGCCCTACTCCAAGCCAGGGACGTGTCATTAGTGACAATGTTGGAGAAGATGGTTGGGTACGTGTGCAATGGGACACTGGGAGTACAAATTCATATCGTATGGGAAAAGAAGGGAAATATGACTTGAAACTAGCGGAGCCATTGGTTGCTGCAGAAACAAGTGATGATGACAGTGATGGCTACAAAGGTACTGAACACCGGTCTGGGACCGTCGCTATGGGGGGCTTTGAGGGGTGTGACACCTTTTTGAAGCTTTGGCGATAAATTTTAAATTTGTCAACAAATGAAGGATGGCTCACCAATTTTGTCAGAAATTGGGACCTGAAAACCCCCTTGAGCGCAATAGCTACTGATGGCCCTGCATTAGTATTGTTTATCCTTCTTTACGTTCAATTTTGTTTTGTTTTAAAATAGTTGGTCTAGTAGCTACTGTTCTCGTCGCCTATATTTCGAGCCCACTGTTCCAATTAAAAAGGCTAGCATTTAGTCTATGGCTTTGGCAATGTCGATAGTAGTGCCTCCATCGTTAGTAGTGCGGTGGGGTGCCTCCATTACCAAGTGACAGTTACCTCAATCAAGCAATGTAGAAGGAAATTTCTCAACATATTTTGAACTTCTTTTTGCTACAATAAAAGCAATGGACAAAGCAGAGGCTTTTTGAGCATAATATACATTCAATTTGGCAAAGAGCTTTTAGAAGAGTAAGGTAAAACTTGGAATATCTTAGCGTTGAAAAAGGGAGATGCCTCTCGTAGACCTTGCAGCCCAACTAACGATTCATGTAGAAAAAAGAAACTCTATTGTAGTGTTTCTCGTATAACCTCTGTGGTGGTAAATTAGTGAATGTGGAATCGAAGAGAAATTTTTTAATCTCCTAGTAACACATGTTTAAGACTTCTGGTAGAGGTAAGATAGAAGTAAACTGTACTGTAATATATTCTTGTTTTTTCTTGCAGATAGAAGAAAGAATTCTGAATTAAAGGACCAAGACCAGGTTTTGCTCTTATTGCATCGTGCTTGCATGAACGTTCTGCAGCACACTGCTATCTTGGTATGCCTGAAATCAACTTCAGTCAAAGACAGGACAGTTCGTGTTGTATGTAGCCTGTTCATGAAGATCATAAGAGGGGCCTATTTGGAAAATAACGTCGCTTTTCGTGAGTACAAATGGAATTCGACAGATATTTTTTACTCGTATCAACGAAGCTGTTTGTTTGTTAACCTATAGGCTTGTTTTGTTCCACTAAAGGAAAACCTGTTTGAAACCTTGCTTAAACTGAGGGTGATAAACTATGAGATATGAAGTATGATACCTATTTACTGTTGAGATGAAAGAACTATTAGTAAGATCCTACATGATCGTATGCAACCAAGAATATTTGCTACATCTATAAATAGGGTTTGGATCGTTATGAAAATGTGAAAATTATTCCTGTTCGACTCAGTTTAATTTCATTTAAGTTACCGATACGCAACAGACACTAGTTTAGGATAACTGACACCAATAATATAATTAGAATGATTACCTCGAAAATTATCCCTCGCATAACTCAACCTAAATTTGGAAAAAGTGCATTCGGGCTGTTTTTAATAAAGTAGCAGCCGAAAGTGGGTCAAATAGGAATTGTTATTTTACTAAATATTATATTCCTGTGGGCATCTGACTGACCCAAATTCAATTGTTTATTGCTCTATCAAAGTTTCAGGGGGATTCTCTTAACTGCTCATATGCATATCGATTTTTGTTACAAATTAAAGGTACAGCAAAAAGGTTTTTAATCGCCGCACAAAATTCGATTTTAGATCGACAACACGAGGACTGGGTAGCAATGGGCATATTACGTGGACTTTGCTCCTCCTACCGATTCTGCGAGGCATTCAGTCAACAAAATCACATTAAATCGTTTTTAAACGTTGCGAAGCAGCTGGTCGCCAAGGAGGAATCTTCAGAGACATCCCGTGCCTCATCAGTCTCGATTCAGGTAACTTGTCACTTTTATAAGTTCCCTTTTATAAGTTCCCACTGTATCTGAGACCTGAGAGGATATTGCAGCCTATCATTAGGGTTGGCGTATGCTATTAGAAGAATTGGGAATAATTGGGGCTAGCTTAAGGTTGCTAAGAGAGAATCACTGGTTGAAGTCTTTTTCAGATTTTCATTATTCTTTGACACCCCGAAAGTGTTGTAAGGTTTGGAAGAATTCTTTGCAAAAGTTCTCAATGCTCTGTAATCACTTGAAAAGTCATGCAGTTGTGTTTTTGCGATTTTGCCATCACTAACCAAACTTTTTATTCAGGAAAGGTAAAATAGTAGCAAAAATACCTCGTTGGCATCTGGATCATAAGATTACAAATATATAATATCTTTTTCTTTGATTGTACCGTTCCTACTTACTCTGGTATTTTAATATTATAGCATCATATTTTTAGCCGCTATTTAAAGGTAAAACAAATTTCTTAATCACGAATGAATCAGTCACTTATTTTCTTTTAATTTTAGGTTTTGGTATTGAGACTTCTTGGAAATCTATTGCCTTATATATCAGATCCCAAAAACGAGCCATTTATTGACTCAGTTGTACATCAGCTTGTTACGCTTTTGGGAGAGATTCTATTGAAAGACGTTGACTTTATCGAGTTTGCTGCCGAAGGTATTCTATTCTGTTTGCCAAGTTACCATTTTATATGCATGCTGTTGTCTTGATCATATGTTAAAAGTCATATTCAGTGATTCTCGTTTTTTTATCAAACTGAGGCCAGACTCAGTTTGAGGCTTTCTGTACTCAGTACTGTTAAGAATGCTAGGTGCTCGGATTCTAAAATGTAAGGAAACCAATACACAATTCCAATTTGATAGACAATCAAGTTTTTATAGTTTTTATAGAAACTATAAGTTTTAAGAAAGTCTATGCATGTTCATAAAGAAAAATGATGGAGATTTTGATTGAGAAAGATTAAGTAAATGCCTAGTGGTTGAAAATATAGGTCTAGTCGAATAATCATAGGAAGTTGAACGTGATAAATTTAATTTTCTTTAAAGGGCGTAACACATTAAAACGCAAGCGCCGTCAGGCTTCAGTAACGGCTTCGGCACGAGGTACAGTTGCTGAAGAGCTTGTCCAAGTGATCAGAAAGCTACATTCAAGACCTCAATGGGACAAGTCTGTGTCATACGTCATAGAGGAATCTTTAGAGAAGCTGCCGAAATTCTTTAGTTCAAGAGTTAATGCTTTCACAGATGATGTGAGTATCCTGCAAAACACTTAGTATATTGCTGCTCCTAAGTATGCCAACCCAAATGTTTTCTAGAACTTGGAACTTTGGATGCTGTTAAAATTGTCCCAAATTTAGCTGTCATAAACTTTTAGGGTACGAAATATTTCTTGAAATTATGTACAATTGATGCAAATGCTAGTAGACTTTCGCACAGTTATTCTTTAGGATTCATAAGTACTTTCTTTTCTATTCAAACCTATATTGATGAATCCCCTTTCCTGTTAATAACAAATAAACGATTATATTAATCTCCGAAAGGCTTACTGCCCTGTAGGTTTACCCTTTAGCTACGGGCTAGTAGCTTTTCTTTAACTATACGCGTTGCAGGAGTGATGAAACGATTATTCCCCTTGATATTTGACTCAATTCATAAGCCGCTTGTCAAAACTGCCGAAGTTTGTGAGCAGTTACTAATAGCGATTTCATATGAAGGGCGAAGTGTCCTTTTAGACAACAACCTCAAATCTTGTTCTAGACACTAGAATTGAAATTGTTAGGCAATATGCAAAGCTAATCATGGGATAGACTTTGACTTTTGCTCATCATTTTACATTCCTTTACACTACACGATATATTTTGTTTTGCCATCGTCAAGTGGGTAGTTTAACTTTAAACATTTTGTTATCGTGCTATTTTGTTAGGCATCTGTTAGATTGACATCTTGTAGCAGCCAAGATGATGCCGCTGTTGTTGCAGTCTTGGCTATAATTGGAGGGGCAGACCATCGCGTCAGGCTGGGGGGGACCGTTGAAAATGAAGAGCACGGCAAGGGCGTCGTCACCAGAATAACAAAAAGTGGGAAGATTTGTGTCCAGTGCTATGAAGACGAGCAGGTTATCAAGAACAGCCCACTTTCAGCTTGGAAAGTGGTAAGACCAATTTTGCTTGCTTTAAAATTTATTTATTTTCAGCTAAGCCATTTCTTCAAGTTGGCAAACGAACAACCAAACAAATTACCGGGTGCCTATGGCCCAGTATTTAGATGTTTATTCGAATAATTTGGAAATTTTATCAACAACACCAGTTTAGCAGACCTTCAAAATTATTTTTACAAGAAAGTTTATTTTAGGTTGAATGCTATCTTTTTAATCTACCAGTAGAAAGAAATTAGAATAAATTCAATACGTTAGAGCTTTACCGAACTCGTGGCCTTCATGATGACCATTTGGTTCCTATATGCGGACACCTGGTTGTATTATTTCTGATGCGTTATTTTTAGGTGGAGCCAGTGCATTTTGATGTAGAGAAAATGCAAACATTGTCTTCAATGAGAGAAGTTTTGCCATCTGTTCTCCATCTTGCGATTCTGACAAGAGCAACTGGCGATTCAGCGAAAAGTTTCAACAACGATGATCCGAATGGCCAAAGTTTAGATTCAGGTAAATTGAAACTTAGCAGCATTTAAAAATAATACTTGTTTGATAAGAGAATTCTTTCCCTTTAGCTCGTTTGAGCCTATTTTATAATTGTTTATATGTTAAGATGTTGGTTCGCGGAGCCTTCCGTATTTACATAATGTAGTTACTTTAGTCTACTGGAGCAGGTTCATAACTTTAGAACGCAATCTATTGAGACTTTGTGAAAGTCTTTCCGAGAATTTCTTAGGGTAATCTAAAAGAAGAATAGACAAATATCACCTCCTTCTTTAGAGGCAGATTAATAACAATGTTCTCATGCTTTAAAGCATTGCTTCGTTGAGTATCACCCAAAGGTTTTTATTCGGGTTATTGAATTTCTTAGATACTTATTTATCCTACCTAGTGCTGGATCGCAACCTTAAAATGCAACAAATCGAACTTGGTGTACTCATGGCAGCCCGTGCTTTGCTACCCCATAGCAACCTGATTGGCAACCTCGTTTTCAAGCCTGCGTCGAAAGGCGAGGGTGTCAGTAATCCATGGCTGCTTGAAGAACTGTTTACTGCCGCTTTAAAGTCAGCGCCTATCAGGTCAATATACGACAGAAACGAAGTCGAGGTGAATGTTTATGTCAAAACTTTGCTAGTTGCTTTTTCATGTCGGCTGTTAACAATGAGCTTTTCCTTGATTAGTTCATATTATACCACAAACCCTGTCTGGCTGGCGTTTGTTTAGGGCTTAGTTAGTGGAGTTGTTGAGAAGGTTTCTGTCCTGAATTTAAAATTGTTTTGGTTTCTTCAAAAGACTGCCAACTACAATGCACATTTGCAGCATGGATCAAAGATACACTGTAACAGAATTTATTTGAAGCCCACTGACTCCATTTTTTCTTGCTTTATGACAGACAGCTGCTTTGTCTTTGATTGAGTATCTTCTATCGTCGACAAGATCGTCACAGAGACCTGAAAAATCATCAACACGAAAGTCTGAGAAACAGTTAAAACCAGCGCGTCGAGCCCGAAGACGACGAAACAGCAGCACGAGGCTACCAAACCCTCCGTTAGTTGTGCAACAGATTGTTGATATGGGCTTTCCGAGGTACATGGTAGAAAAGGCGCTAAAAGAGATGGGGGACGAAACGATAAGGCCAGAGATGATTGTCTCTTGGCTGCTTGATCACCCCGAAATATCGGTGTGTTATGCTGAGTTTATTCTTACTATCCTGATGAATCTTTAAAAACGTTTAGTGTTAGCTTCATGTTAGTGAGTAAATAATGGTTGGTGATGTTAAAAAAAAGAAACAGGGTTAAATATATTGATAAAGAGAGGAATAATCTACACCTCTCTACACATGGGGTGTATTTGTAGCACTTTTTCAGACAAACTTGCATTGAGGTGAATTATTTAGATGTTTATAATATGCTCAAGGATGCAAATTTGGTTTTGATACAAGGGAGGTATAAGAATTCACATATTGCAAACTAATTTGCAAATATGATAGACCGCTTACGTTGGATTGAACTAAGATTGATAGATTTATTTGGCACAGAAGTTTTCGGTGATAAGTGATTTTGACACTCAATTCTAAGGAAGCTAGAACTCGTCTTTAACATGTTTGACCTTTACCAGATGTACCTAATCTAATGTGCTTTTGTCTCGATAATAAACACGGCTTCTTTAACATATCTTTTTCTGGTTTTTGACTTTTAGCAAGATCCAGCAAACACCGAGCCTCATTCGGATGTTGAAGTTGAATTGAGTAATGATAACGATAGTGAGGCTGGCTCCGGACAGGGTAACTTAGACTCAAGTAGTGAATCTGAATGCGAAACAGTCGAATCCGAAGTAAAGCCGTTGTTTCAAACAAGGGACGATTTCAAAACGCCAGAAGAATACGAAAAGTATATAGCAGATAATGTTCGAATTGGCACTACAATTAGTTATAAGGACAACGAGGGGACAAGTTCGGAAACAGGGACAGTTGTGAAGGTAATAGATTGAGCTTTGTGCAATAAGGAATGATTTTGGACAGCAAATGTTAATTTGTTTTATCGTCAAGAAATGTCAATTAGAGATGTATCCTTGTGTTGTGTGATCAAAGGAGGTTTTGTCAGTTTTCGCGATGTAAACATTGTTAAATGCCCAATCGTTGCAAGTTTTGTACGACAAAATCTTCTTAGATAATATATACCAAATGCATTTGCTTGAGTTAATAATCTGAAATCTTCTAGAAATCTTCATATTTGTTTAAATTTCCAGGGATCGATTTTTGCGTTGAAATGTATTCTACGTTTCAAGGCCATCTTGAATTAACTTTTGTAGGCCACTTTGAGCCATAAGGACATTCAACTGTGTTACATCGAAGACAAACGGTTATCTGTTAGAATGTTTGACTCTCTCTGTTCTTCCGATTAGATGGATTAGTTAATGTTTTTACGTTGAATTGCAGGTTTGTTTAGACAGCAACAATGCGATGTCAATTGAAATACAGACTTGCAATGGAAAGACTCGCCATATTGCCCCATCTAACGTCGAGTTCATAAAGTCTCAAGGTACATGTGGAATATTTGTATGAAACATTTTGATTGAGCAATGAAACCTTAAACGTTCCTAGTTGTTTTGGCATTGTTAAGATTTTTTTACAAATAATTTGCAACTCAATACAATTTTAATGCAAAGTGAGGCATTCTTCATTTGATTCTTTTAGCTGTACTCAAGCCTTAGCTTACTCGAATAACTCGAATAGTTTAAAAGAACATATTCGGCAACTTTTTTAGATATTTGCCATGTTTAACCAAATGGAGGAGGTCAATTGCTCTTTCCTGTGCTCATACCCTTTAGAGGGTATATTCTTATTCATTAAGAAAATGTCACTGTTTCATCGTTTGCATTTTTCTAGGAATGAAAATAAAAGTTGGTGACATGGTCCGCGTGAAGTCGAACATCTTATCACCGAAGTATAAGTGGGGTGCAATAAACCATTCCAATATCGGAATGGTAAAAAAGATTAGTCCGGACGGTGTCGAATGTCAGGTTGATTTTGTGCAACAAACTGGTTGGACTGGTCTAGTTGCTGAAATGGAACTTACCGCGTCAGCGCATCCTGGCATAAGGTTTGGCTTAAGATTTCTTATCTTTAAAGGCCCTATCGGGACTAATTTTGCTTTGGAAAGCCCGTACTATCATTGATAACGCCACCTCTTCCATATCCCTTTTTGACATATATCACAGATCAATCCCAACCATATTCGTAACACCCATATCAACATACATATTTTAGTGATTATTGTCTCACGAGTATTGTTAAACATCAATATGGAACATCTTTTTTTTAGCTGCGATGGCTGCTACTCAAACCCGATAGTGGGTTCTCGCTTCAAGTGTATGACGTGTTACAATTTCGACCTTTGCGAAGAGTGTTACAACGAGATGGGAAACCACGGACACTCCTTCTATAGGTAGGCCCATGCCTGCAAACGTTGAATTTGGTTGCATTTTATTGGAGAAAGAAAAGCTGGTTTATTAGAAATAATAGAGATAATAAATGCGTAGAAAATAAATTCCTGAACCTCCTTACAATGGAGATAGGTTTCAAATGTTCCAGGAAAGGCGTGCTTATACGGGTAACGAATGCACCATGGATTAAGGAACAAACCTACTCATTAAGAAGTTGGTTTTTTTGAACACTTCGTCTCTTTTGAAGCTTATCAAATGTAAGGCACAACCTTAAACGGGCCATTTTGCGTATTCATGTTGGCACATTGCATACGTTTTCGCCCTCCTGCTATGGCCTAGAAGTTTTGTTATTTTGAAACTTGTTTAAACTCAGTGTCGAGAGTCTTAAAACATCTTAACATAAATTTCAGGTTTTTCTCATACCTATAGCAGTAGTTTGCATCTTTCCTTTTAATCATGTGTATTGTTGCTTTGGAATTTTTGTTACAACTTTTTTGTTGCGCTTTCCTTCAACAAATATCATATTGTAATATGTCAATATTTCTCGGATAAAGAGACTGACTCAACCAAGCTTTCTTATAAAACTTAGTGGATGTCATCGTAATGTTTTCAACATTCTTTATTTCTCACCTTCTGAAGCGAAAAAATAAAATGGATATTTATTGGTCCAATGAAAATTTTCCATACTTTGGTGGAATATCTATTTTTTTTTAAATCTGTTCTTTGGAAGTATTAGCTATAAGGAGCTGGAACCAGACACCCTCATTACTTTGGCGTTAAGAAAGAATACTTTCTGAATTATAGCATCTCTGTCACTCTTTGCAGGTACGATGAGCCAGGAAAGTCTCCACTTAAATATACCACTCCGCCAAAACAAAAGGGCCCAAAAGCCAGTAAAAATGATGTTATTGTGACAAATTTGAGCAAGTGTGTTAAAGACATTTGGTTGATACCTGATATTTCTTGGAATGGCGCACCAATTGAGCTTAGAAGAGCTTATAGATTGCAGACAGGATCGAAGCAAAAGGTATTGGAAAATTGTTTGAAGCAACTGGACTCTTCTGCTCCAGATTTTGCCTCTGTTTCTTAAATTCTTCTACTTTAGCCATTCTGATCACGGCTCTTTTGTTTCAGACATGTCTTTGCTTGGAGATGTACCCTGGCCTAAAGATAAAAAACTTAAGCTTGTCCCTAGACCTTTCATGTCCAGACTGTGTTCTTTCATCGGCGATTATCAGTGTTGGTACAAGCGTCGTTGCGATGAGAAAGCACTCAACTGTGCAGATTGATGTCTTTAAAAGCTCTGTTACTCTTCTTGAAAATATGGATGAGGTAACGTATAAGCTTAAGTCAAAAATAAATGTTTTTGTAGAAAATTACTATCACGTGATCATATTTTAAAGTGTCGGATTAAGGCCAGCTTTCTTATAAGTGATGTGTATGTGTGAATAAATAACGGTTTTGTAACGACTTTTGCGTTGGTATCAAGTTGATAAAAAATTTGCAACATCTGGGCAATTATAGAGTTGACATTATTCTTCCTCATTATGAATCCGTGGTGCTTTATTTATCAGCAAATGTCTCTTTCTTGTTTGTAAAAAAAGAGATTTTGCTGTTATTGGTTCGTGGATGCTTGTTTGAATTTTACTTTTTAACTGAATCTAAAGGTATTGCTATTTACTGTTTTGAAAAACTTTATTTGAAAACCATATGCATTGTCTCTAGGACTACAAGTTCATCGAGATTGAAATAAACCTGTGCTTTGCCTGCCTTGTCGCTTGCAAAGGCAGTCGTTTGAGCATAGAATGCAGCAGAAAGGCACCAGTTTCAGGCATACCGTCCTGTTTAAAATTTGTGGCTAAGGACTGTCAAGAAGAACTTGATCGAAAATCACAAAGACCTGTGTTTAAGGCGACAGAGAGTGCCACGAAAAAGCCTGCCAATCAGAGAGAGAGCAAAGTGTTTGTCTGGGGTCTTAATGACAAAGATCAGCTTGGCGGCCTTAAAGGGTCTAAGGTAATTTATGGCATTTAGCTGTTGCCAATGAAATTATTGTGATATTGTGATTAACGTATAGTGTGATTTCTTTAGAAAGGAATTTCATTTATGAACTTGCATGGATATTCTAATATTTTTACATGTTATTTTTTCGGGGAGACAATTCTAGGAATTGTCATTACCGATTTTACATCAGCTTAATAAATCGGTATATAGAACATACTTTCAAGTTTGTTTCTAAATATTTTCTTATATTTTAAAAGGATATATGATATAGGTAACTTAAATTCTGGCCTCAGGGTATATCAAAAAGCTGAAATTGTCTCACGCACGCGTTTATGCTTTCGCGATTCACAGTTTTGTCCATGGTAACAACTTTGTTTACTTTTCTTATTAAGACCCCAAAGTTTCCATCTCCATCTTGTGAAGTAATTTTTGGGCTTTGGAAAGGATCAAGCGTAACTTAAGTAACTGAGGTTGTTCGTAGTAGATACGAACAGATTATTTTGAGTACTCGAGCTATTGTTGATAATTCCCTGAGCTTTCTTCCAGACTAAACTCTCGTTAAAATGTGTTCAATTGATGGTGTTTAGGTTTAAGATTTTTTTAATACGTAGGTAAAGTTACTTGATAAAGTTTTATTATCGACATGATCAGTCTGTTTTTTCGAATTAAAGGTGAAGACGCCAATATTGTCGCAAGCCTTGTCTGCTCTGAACTGTCATCAAATTGTTGGAGGCTCCAAGACCATTTTCGCAGTCTCATTTAGTGGCAAAGCATACGCTTGTGGTGAAAGTATAAATGGTAGGCTTGGCCTCGGCCCTGTCAGTGGCAATGTTTCCATTCCGAGGCAGATAGAAGGACTAGCTTCAGTCATTGTTAAAACGATCGCTGTGCATTCTGGGGGCCGTCATGCAATGGCTTTAACGACGGAAGGAAGAGTTTATTCTTGGGGTGAAGGGGAAGATGGTCAGTTAGGCCACAACAATAGACTGTAAGCATGCGATTGTTTTAATATTCTTATCTATTTGAATTTATATTTGTTTTACTGCATTAAGACGATAATGGCGTAGAGACTTTGTAGGTGAAATGATTATTAAAATGGTTGTTTTTCTCTAAACAGCTTCTTAAAATGACAGTTTTTCTCTAAACTAAAATTTTCATAATCAATTGGCATTGATTGTTCTTTAGCAAAATTATCATTCAACTGAATCAAATGTGCCGATGGCTAACTTTTTCTATCTTTGCTTAAACTTTCTATAGACATGTAAAAGTACTTATGGCAAAAGTACCTATGAATTTTAGAAGACACTTTTAATTATTTTAATCCATTTCCAACCAAGCCATTGTGATTTCAGGCAACCCATGATTAATACATATTTAGAGCATTGTACGATAAGTTTTGAAAAATACTCTAAAAACCTTTCAAGTTTACGAGGGAACCCCAAATATCAAAAATTTAATTTAACCTAAAATTGTAATTTTTCAGCAAGTGAGTACTGTGAATCTTCTCAAAAGTACCAAGACAGATTTTTTGAGGGATCTTCTGATTGAAACGTAGCAAGATCACCATGATTACTATCCTATTATCTAGTGCACACAAATGCTTTCTTTTTTTCTTGAGATTTATCGAAACATCGCTTTTTCTCAGGGTTTACGACTTTCCAAAGTTGGTCGAAGCTTTAGATGGACTTACGGTCATAGAAATCGCGGCTGGAAGCGCCCACAGTGCGGCAATCATCAGCGAAGGAGATCTGTATACCTGGGGATGCGGAGCATACGGTCGCTTAGGGCATGGTGATGTTGAAAATCAACTGAAGCCGAAAATGGTATGTCGTTAGATCTGTTGGCTCGATTTTGTGACAAGCAGGAATATTAGTAACTTTCAATACTCTACTAGACAATTACGTAGTGTTAGCAGGAAGATAGGAAGGCGATTTTCAGTTTTCTAGTAAGTTGAGAAACGAGGTCAGTATCTGAGGAGATATCCCAATAGAACGCAACTAGTACGTGAAACTGCTCAAAGTTTTTAGATGCATACAGCGATCTGTTTAGAGTCTCGTATACAGTCGAAGGAAAGAGTACGAGTTTTAAGGATAATGTTATCCAGAAATATAGAAGATAATGTGATGCTATTCATAGATAACACAAAGAACCTATAAGTGTGAATAACGTGGCAAATCGTTTAAATCATCTGCGGTGACTTCTTGTAATTTTTTGCAGGTGAAAGTCTTCTCTGGCAGACGCGTGGTTCAGGTCTCATGTGGCAGTCGCGACGCCCAAACAATTTGTCTAACCGAAGATGGATGTGTTTGGTCATGGGGTGATGGAGATTTCGGGAAATTAGGAAGAGGGGGCAGTGATGGGTGTTTGTTACCTTTGAAAATTGAAAGACTAAACGAAGTTGGTGTTTGCAAAGTTCTCTGCGGTGCACAGTTTTCACTGGCATTAACGTCTCAAGGGAAGGTATACACTTGGTTAGTAAGATCAAATCTATTATTTTATCTTACATGTATGATTTTCTTTAATTGTGGATTTTACAAAAACCAATGATGGTTTTGTAAGAAAACCTTGTATATTAGGCTGGTAGATCAATTTTTTGTAACCGAGTACATTGACTCAGTTGGCAAGAATCGCCTTCACTTTCTGATGACTATAGATGTCTGCGGATGGTACATACGTGTTCAAAGGAGGCATCTTGTTGTGCTTCAGTAAATCGATTTTTTCCCCAAAGTTAAATTTCCCCATTATTGACACATTTCTCTTTATCGTAGGGGTAAAGGAGATTACTATCGGTTGGGGCATGGAAATGATTCCCATATTCGGAGGCCGCAGGTCGTCGAGTTTTTGAAAAACAAGAAGATCATTGATGTTAGTGTTGGTGCGCTGCATTGTCTAGCTGTCAGTGATGATGGACAGGTATTGTAAAAAACAGTCTTTTCGGTTTAACCACAGCTGATACACTTTATGAACTATTTTTGAACTCACCTGAATCTGTATCTTCATAGCCATCGATTCTCGGCAGAGACTTTTTTCCTTTTTGTACATAATGTTGTCGGCAATGAAACAATAAACAATTTTGCACACTTTTAGTCTAAATAGTGGTGAATATATCAGACAGGTAAACAAAGGACCACGATTCATTTGTTATTCGGTCAGCTCAGCACGCTCCGGTAAAAAATAATTACGTTTACATTTACCAGAGTCAGCTTCTTTCTGCGGCAGGTTGACCTAACTCGGGTATGCTTCACTTGTGAGCTCAATCTTCACTTCACAATCCACGGAGTCTGGGATCAAAGGCAGCAATCTATTTGCCTTATCTTACGTCCAATAACATGAAGGTTTAACAGTTTCAGAAACATCTTCAAGAAACGGGGGTGCTCCCAGTCCAAGTGTCAACGTAATTCCCAATAGGTATTTTAAGATGCACAAAGTACTAAAAAGAAAAATTATTTCATTTAATTTCAGGTACTTGCTTGGGGAGACAATGATCACGGACAGCAAGGAAACGGCACAGTCGCTGTAAATTTCAAGCCGGCAAAGGTTCTCGGGATTGATGGCTACAAAATAACAAGAGTGGCTTGTGGTTCATCTCATAGCATTGCTTGGGCGGAGCTGAACGTAGCACCCCAGATATTGTTCGATCCTGTCGAGCTAAAATGTGCAAAAGATCCCCTAGGAATGATATACGTGACAAACGAGTTTGAACAGAAGAAAACCAAAGAGAACGTAGGACAGCATATTCGCAGGCTGCGATCTTCACTATCAAAGGATGTCCTACATCTCAAAACTAACGAAGAAAAACAACTGTCCCTAACTCTGATCCTTGAGTCTCTGCGAGTTTGCTATGCACGAGATGCCTTGATAAAAATCCTGGGAGACCTTCAGGAGATATCTTTAGAGTCGTTGGATCAATGCAGTGGTGATGACGATGCTACCACAACGCCATCGGCATCAAATACCGATGCCTCGCAAACAGCAACAACACAAAACATTGAAACTGCTAAAAAGAAACCAGGGTTTGTTCTTTCACGGTCAAAGGTGAAATTGCTCGTCTCGTTATTGAAGCTCGGCTTTTCAGGTCGCTTGGATGAAAGCCAGCGGGAAGGCCTCATATCAATTCTTATTCATTCTGCCAAAAGAGACAAAGAGGTAAGTCATTCTTTATTTTGCAGGCAGTAAATTCGATCTGCTTTACGTAGCTAAGAAGCTTTGTCATATGAAAGTGAAAGAAAAAGATGCAAATGTATTAGGGATGGTCGATAGATATTTTTTAGGGATGATAGAAAGGTATTAAGGGGTTTGGACTGCATTGGAGGGGGGGCGTTGATTTTCTTGAAATTCCCTCTCGGTACTTTTTTAAGCTTGCGTTGCTCTGCTGATCTACTTGCTACGTTCATGTAGTTTAATGCCTTCCATCTCTAAAAAGCTCATTTAGCCCCTTCTCTCATTTTTCTTATTCCCTTTCCCTACCTCTTTTATTCTCCCTTTTCACTTGACTATAATTACTATTTTTATCATTGGGGAAACTTTTAAGCTACATGAAGTAAAGTGCATCTGATGCTCACGACATTTTCTTTTCCACGCAACAGATAGCACAAATATTGCTTCACGAATGCACGACTGAAATCGAAGATGTTGTCACGGACCATGAATTGCGGAAGAAGGAATTGCACCCCGTGACACAGGACAGTCCACATCCTTACGATGGAGTTAAAAAACTTAACGGACGCATACGAATCCCAGGTGCAGAGAATTTGCGCATTGAATTTGACAAAAGTTGCGCCACAGAATATGGGGTCGATATATTATCGATCATGGACGGAAATGGGAGAACTCTGGCTGTCCGATCAGGCAGCGATCCATCGGACTGGAAAAACAGTTTACGTGTGACAGGAGATGAAGTGCGATGGAAGTTCATTGCACAAAGCAAATGGAATTTGTGGGGCTGGAGATTCGTTGCCCACCCTGTGACTTCGAGCTCGGTTTTAGACTATTCTCAAGCCTCAGACACAACTGCTCTTGCTGTACCCTCGTTGGAACTTGCCAAATCGTTGCTAAGTATGTAGAACATTATGCAGCGTGACATTATGCAGTATGTAGAACATATTTTCGTATACAGCGTGAAAATCGGAGTAGCAACTTAGAACCTAAGAATTTACAACATGATTCATTTTTAAAGGATTAGACATAATCAGGTAATCAGCTGATTCATAAGAATGTCTTATTCCAAGGCATCAGAAATCATTTTCCTTTGTATATACACAAGTTTACACAGAGCCTATCCCACAAATCAAACAGGTTTTTGAACACTTCCAATAGGCCTCACCTACCACCTTCTGTGTAAATGTTTCAATCCTCAGCTAATGCTGTTATTATCATTTTATTATTCCAACAGGTCACGATATCGAGCAGATGACTGGCCCCGGATCCCACTGTAATAGGCTGACCTTTGCTTTGTCGGCATGCGCACAAGTACCCTCATTATCCGCTGACCAGAGATGTTGGATATTTTGCAAGCTAAGGATATTTTAGTGTCGGATATCGCACCGCCTATTGATGTTCCAGATCTTCTTGGTTGCAGTGACTATGGAGATGACGTGCCAAGTATATTCAAATACAAAAGTACAGGCGACGCGAAGACGAAAGAAGTAAGTGTATTCCAAAACTGTTATGCCAACGGAGTTATAGCAGGTATTGTTTGATCATAAAGCTGGAATGAAGGATTGGTCAGAAGGACCGAAAGGGGTCGGAGATGAGAGGCGTTGAGAGGGAAAAGGGAGGGCATTGAAAAGGACAATTGGGGGTGCATGGGTGGGGATAGAGACCAAGTGCTCTTTCTCCTTATAAGTAAATTTTGAAATAAAATTATTTGAATACCACACTCCGGGGTGTTGGCAGACCGAATCATAGAATATTGAAAATGAATAAAGTGTCAGTTTCAGATGGGCCTCGCTTTGTCGTTTCTGTCACATCTTTGAGACTCGCAATTTAGTAGAGCATGATATTTTTTGCCTAATAATCTGAGAAATGTAACCTTATTTCCTTATTTATTTTGTTAATATAGGCATGTATAGATCCAATGTGAATATCAATTATGTTCAGTGATTTGCACCAAAGGAAATAGTAAAACCTATCATAAGTGAACTTGATGTTTTTTACCAGGTTATTGCTTTTTTGCAGATAATGTCAACCTCTCCGCTTGGCAGTTTAATCAGAGGCCTCCCAGATGCAATGCGAAAACAGTATGGATTCGAGGCTAAAGCTGGACAGCACCTTTTCTACAGCTCGTTTCTAAGGGTATTGATTATTCCCTTTTTTTAAAACTTTGAAAGGCGTCTGACGTCGTCTTAGCTCAATTACTTTCTCCCAAAGCATTCGAAGTGATAATTTTGATTCGAAATGAATATTTTGATTGGCTTTTAGATATGAAATTTTACTGTTTATGATGCATTATCAGCCCATTTGTCTATATATTAGTCTATATAATTATGGGGTGCAGAACTTGACGATTCTAAGTAGCTATTCAAAGTTTCATATTTGATTTGATACAAAAATCACAAAACTTGTTTTGGCGTGAGACTTAACTTATTTGATTAATGTTAAGCTAAATTATAACTTGCTACAGATTTTAATGTCTTTTTTATCAGGGAGTAAGGAAAACCTTGCTATGTTTCCCATAAAGAAAATGTTTGTGATGTTAAAATTTCAGTTCAGCCCATTATGACTTAGCAACAAAATGACACCAACTCTTATACTTGTTCTTATCTTCATCCAGGCACTTGTTACAGTTGGCCGGACCTTAGGGCTAGACTATCTCATCTGTTGCTCTGATAAATATCGTTGGAGCTGGTTCACGCGATCATGTATGTTACATAGAGTAATAGAAAGCATGGTGAAAAGAACTGCGTTGCCAAAGGATTTCTTGCTGGAGGTCAGAGCACGAATTCAAGAGATTGCCCAAGGAGAAGACAGTATTCAACTAGAATATGAGAATCACACATTGTTCACAGATGAAGAGGATAAACAAGCACTCAGCTGGCTTCAAAAGTAAATTGATTTATTGCCTTTGAAGTTTTTCTTCCTTTATCTTTTAACCAAGAGTTTTCGTCGCTATTTGACTCTCTCTTAACCTCTTAACCTATTTTGATACGAGGCCGTTTATAAATGGTGTAATTTTTACGACGATATAAAGGAGCGAAATAGTTTTAAAAGCACTTTGAACTACCAGAAGTCAAAAGCTCACTTTCATTTAAATTCGTGGTAAGAGACCTCATTTGTAAGAGACCTTTTAATTTAGAGTTGAATAGAAAATTTAAACAGGATTGTTAAAAATTATAATAGGCAACAGCAAGTATTTATCTTGGCTGTTTTTACTATGATGAACCTGGAATAACGTTGCTTCTTGCAATTTTATGAGAATATTATGTTTCTATTTATGAACTGTGTACTTTTAATCGTACATTTAATGATACGTTGTACGTTAAGACATTGAAAATAGCATATTAATATTACTTTATAGACGTCCTCGAGATTGGTCTCTGTCCTGGAGCGGGAGTGGAAATATTTATGGCTGGGGTCATAACCATAGGGGACAGCTTGGGGGCCTTGAAGGCTCCCGAATCAAATCACCTCAAGTTTGTGAAAACGTGTCGAGCTTGCAGCCAGTGCAAATCTGTGGTGGAGAGCAGACTCTATTCTGTTTGTCTGCGGAAGGCAAGGTATGATGTTTCCAGAAAAGCTATGGTGTCATGTATTTAAAATTACCAGATACTGGTAGTTTTCATTGAATTGAGTGTCTTTAGTCTGATTCGAGTCCATATACTGATTTTTTGTTTTTATACTTCTTGTTTTTTTTGGTAAATGATTTTTTAGTTATGCGACCACGAAGGGTCTAGACAGTTAAAAAAACAATGTGGGCGAGACAAATCCATACCGTTGTCAATTCCCTTGGCCTTTTGAAGATTCTTCCTACCATTTTCATTTATTTTTCACTCAAAAGCTAATTTCTTTGCTCCGTAATTGTTTATCGCAGATTTACGCGACAGGATACGGCAGTGGTGGCCGCCTTGGCGTCGGCGGAATGGCAACTTTAACTTCACCCCGATTCATAGAGACACTTCAGCATGTTGTAGTGAAAAAGGTCGCTGTTCACTCTGGAGGTAAACACTGCCTCGCATTAACATCTGACGGAGAAGTGTTTTCATGGGGCGAAGGTGATGACGGCAAACTTGGCCATGGCAGCCGGCTGTAAGTTTGGCTCAGCATAATGTGCTTGATTATTCTCTGAATGCAGAATAATTCCACACTAGATTTCATTAAAACAATCAAAGAAAGGGAGATTCGAGGATGTAAAAAGCAGTATAATTCTAATTTCTAGCATGGATGTCCTAGTTTTATCAGTGGAACGGTTTTGAGTAAGAGCGACAGTATGATTAGGTTTCTGCTTCAAAAATACATTTGAAAGCGTCGACTAAGAAAGTCTTATTTTAGTATGACCCTTCCTTTTTAACGATACCTTCATTTTCTTTACACTTGAGTAGTATATAAATTCAGTCTTTAATGTTGGTAATTTTTCATGGGCAAATGGCTAGGTTTATCAATATATGCTATTTCGGAAAATGCCGCAGCAGTGCAACATTGTATGATCTGAATGTTCAAAGATTTTCGATTCAAATATTACTAGTATTGTCTTGAAGGTTTTTTCTGAAAATTGGCCCATTTCATACCTATTGGCCAATTTCTAGCCAAAAGTAAAGCAAATTAAATTTACTGCAAGGACGAAGGGATATGTTCGTTTATCTGTGTTGTCACCATCTTATTCTGATGATGTATCTCATGTTTATGTATTCCTTATTTGATGTTTAGCCTTATTTGATGTTTAGCCTGTGACTACGAATTCCTTGAACATTTAAGTTGAAGAATACCTACGATTTGAATGCTCTTCATCTTTGATCTACTGAAGTTGGTAACAGGAGCATGCATTCGTAATCAAATTTATAAACGAGCCATCTACTCATTTGCTAACGTAAACTTCTTTTCTTAATTGACTTTCAGATCTATGGAAAGACCAAGGGTGATTGAGACTTTGTTGGGCAAAAATGTTTTGGATGTGGCTTGTGGAGGCTCCCACAGTGCGGCTATTGCTGCGGGAGGCGAACTTTACACCTGGGGAAAAGGCAGATATGGTCGACTAGGTGAGGTTATGTTTATTTATTTGTAGTATATGAAGGGGATGTGAAGAAAGCTTGGCATAGCTAGTGTGGAGCCGTATACTTATGTTATTTCTGTTCTTTTCACCGTGCAGTTGATGGGCTGTAGGTGTGAAACCCAGAGTTATCCCTTGAAGCCATCTTCTGCAAGGCAAAAAATTTATCTTTAGCGTCTTTCTATGGAAAAGTCTGACGATATGTCGATATATCCCCAAAAACCATATATCTTCAGAATTCTGATAGAATAGACGATTTTTATTCGTAATCGAGATCTCTATTCTAATACCATGTTCATTTTTAACAGGCCACGGTGATGGGGAGACGGAAGACCAGCTAAAGCCGAAATTGGTCGAGGCTTTGAGAGGATTCAAAGTTGTTGATGTTGCTTGCGGAAGCGGTGATGCCCAGACCCTTTGCGTCACTGACGATGACTGTGTGTGGTCTTGGGGTGATGGAGATTTTGGAAAACTTGGCAGGGGTGGCAGTGAGGGGTGTAAGATTCCCACAAGAGTTGACGACTTAATCGGCATTGGTGTGACGGCAGTGGAGTGTGGATCTCAGTTCTCATTAGCATTAACAAAATCAGGGCTTGTTTACACGTGGTAAGTTGGTTGTTTTTGTTGTTATTGATTTTTCATTCTTCATTCGAAGTAATAATTCAACCAACTGTAGTTTTAATTCTTGGCAGAACTTGGTTATAAGGTCATTGAAGCTGCATCATCAAATCTAAAGTTTTGCGTTTATATGTGTAAGTGAAAACAGCCATTCTGTAATGCATATTTCTGAAATGTAATTTGCACCAGTTGTCGCATTTTTGTCCTGTAGACTTTGTCTATCAACATTGCCTGCTTTTAACAGTGAAAATTTCCAGAATGGGTTTTACATAAATCTTAAAACACAATTAATCGCAGGAGTTGGTTTTTCTAGAGCGCTTCTTCCCACGTTATCGCATAGTCCCAAGTTATCGCATAGTCCCAAGTTATCGCATATTCCCAAGTTATCGCATATTCCCAAGTTATCGCATATTCCCAAGTTATCGCATATTCCAACGTTATCGCATATTCCCAAGTTATCGCATATTCCCAAGTTATCGCATATTCCCAAGTTATCGCATATTCCCAAGTTATCGCATATTCCCAAGTTATCGCATATTCCCAAGTTATCGCATATTCCCAAGTTATCGCATATTCCCAAGTTATCGCATATTCCCAAGTTATTGCATATTCCCAAGTTATTGCATATTCCCAAGTTATCGCATATTCCCAAGTTATCGCATATTCCCAAGTTATCGCATATTCCAACGTTATCGCATATTCCCAAGTTATCGCATATTCCCAAGTTATCGCATATTCCCAAGTTATCGCATATTCCCAAGTTATCTATAAAAGAACTCGGATTCTTCAATGAGAAGTAACTTTGCATTTGCTTACTAATTCAATGTCTTTCAAATATCTTTTCTGAAACATTTAAAATGTTTTTTCGCTAGATTTGTTTCTCTGAAAAAGCATTTTGTATGAGTTGGTTTTTTTTAAAAACAGGGGAAAAGGTGATTATTATCGATTAGGCCATGGAACAGACGATCACGTGCGTCGACCGAAGATTGTCGAAGCTTTGGAAGGCAAGCGGGTTGTATCAGTAGCTTGTGGTTCTCTCCACTGCGTCGTTTGTACGGATAAGGGTGAAGTGTTCACATGGGGTGATAATGATGAGGGCCAGTTAGGTGATGGAACAACAAATGCAGTGCAAAGGCCTAAACTTGTACAGTCGTTATTGGTATGCAAATTTTGCTAAGAGTGACAATAGGAAAATGTTTTGATTTTCTTCATTACATCATTATGTCCGGTATGCAAGCCAATATGTTTTTGGCATGTCCTTGTATTGAAACACGTTTGATCACTAGAATTTATGTAACTACACTATTAAGTACATAATAAAATACTGTTAACAAGTCCATTGCCTTTGCATTAATTGTGAAACACTGAATTGCAACGCATAATCGTCCTGTTCTATACATCAAAGCTCTTACAGCTCTGCCTATACGGCTTTTAGACCAGTGACCAGTTATTTTCATAGCTATGCAATCAGAATCATACCAGTTAAGTTTTTTGTAAAATGATAGCACCTGACATAGAATGTAGGTAACTTTATAGTATCCCTCATTTTTGACCATTTAATTTTCACAAAAGAACTTGTATACGGAATTGAAGTTTTGTTTTCGCTGTGTTTAACGCCAGCTTACCCCGGATTAAAGGATGTCGTATAAGAAGTTTAACTTCAAGAGGATCCAAATTAACTAGTTCTCACGATGATAGTGGTCAAGAAATTTTTTTCAAATTCTTATGGTTACTAAAATGGCCTGTAGTCAGCTATTATTTTTAAAATCAAAATTTATTAATTTTAATTTTTTTCAGGGTAAGAAAATAGACCGGGTAGCCTGTGGCTCTGCACATACTGTGGCATGGAGTACTACCCAAGCGGTGGAGCCCTGCAGACTACCGAAAGAAATTCCTGCTGAAATGACAAGGCTCCACAAGTTCAACATAACTACAATTAGAAACCGCCTGTTGTTGTTGCACCATTTCTCGGAACTATTTTGGAATGCAAGTCCCCTCCTGGACATCGAAAATATCAACAGTAGGATCAACTCGCTGCTCAGACACAATAACATCGAACTCTTGCGATCTTCGTTGACCTCCTCTAGCAAGGTAAACTAGAGCCGTTTCTGAGCTTCATTCACTACTTAGTATTATTGCCTCTCCAAGTTTACCTCTCCAAGTAGACTTTACACAAATTTACAAACTACCCCTAAACATGCTCCTCCAAGTAAAATACTTGGAAGAGAAATTCCGCTCTAATCTGTCGCATTAAGCATCACTTGAAAGTTCAAAGACATAGTTTAGTGCTATCGTCCAATTTTTACCCACCCTCGCCATCAGGAAGAACCATTTGTGCGATTCTTTTGTAAATGATCCTATGATTTTTTTTACCCAGGTCCCTTTATATTGGCTTAGACTAAGAACCAATGTTGCATCCTCTTTTCTTACTGAAATTCGCAGGACTTGTACTGTTCTCTGCATACTGATGTATGAAATTGGTCATTTTTCTTTGATTTTTCAAATCCTCTTTCTAGGAATCCGCTTTTAGAAAGATCATTAACAACACCATGATCAGAGATCACCAACATGGTCCGGTGCTGGATCTCAACCGTGTATCAGTAAGTCAAGTTTTGCTTGTTAAAACATTTCTTTTCAACTATCCGACCTACAATCAGTAATTTTTCGTCGCAACTAGACCAGAAGTATCACACATAGACAAAAGTACTTTGTTCCCCTCAAGCAGCCATTCTTGAAATTGCGTAAGATTCCGGACAGTCGTAAATACCGAACTGCTTAAAATCATTTATAAATAAGACATGCGTAGAAAATTGCAGCCAGCATAGGACATTTCTGATCATCAATTCCTGAGCAAGTCTTTAATATTGCCTTTAAAGTTTTGTAAAAGTTATGTTTATAACGCCATAATCCTTTTGCAATCGTAAGAAGGCATGCAAAAAGTATAACCTTGAAATAACGGAGCCTAATGTTTCAAGAACACATGTCCAATTGGCTTCACAAAGACTCCTTAATGAACAGGCCAACAAGCAGAAAGTTGCTCACGATGCCTGATATCAAAATGTTGAGGCAAAATATTGAACAATATTCATTTTGAGATTTTCATTAGATGTAAGAGCTCAGCATGACATTGGTGGGAGTTCCTTTGTCAGGGTGCTTCGCATCGCCCACTAGCCGCTTTTGTATCTTCTTCGCCTAAATTTGTAACGCGAAATGCTTTGCTTTGTGAAGCCACCTAATTATATGTACTTTTCAAGGTTAAGAAATACAGAAAAGGCAATGGTTTGGCTGGAAAAAACGGCTTGAAATCTGTCTTTGCTCAGGCTTGTTCGAAAATGGGTCTTTTGAGATCCGAGAGCTTGTTTCTGCCTCACCGTGTTTGGAAAGTGAAATTCATTGGTGAAAGTGTGGATGACTGTGGAGGAGGATACTCAGAGTCAATCGCTGAAATGTGCGAGGAGTTGCAGAACGGCTCGTTGCCCCTATTGATTCCAACCCCTGATAGCCGCGATGATCTGGACGGCGTACAGAGGTCTTACTTGTTGAATCCTTCTGCCCGATCGCAAGTTCATATCGAGATGTTCAAATTTCTTGGAATTCTGATTGGCGTGGCCATACGAACTGGAAGTCCTCTAGCCCTAAACCTAGCAGAACCTGTTTGGAAGCAACTTTCAGGGGAGTGTCTATCCTTTGAAGATATAATGGGAGTGGACAGGGGTTTTCTCCCTAAACTTAACTACATCCGTGAGCTAGATCTCAATGAAGAAGGATTAGATATGCCTTTTACTATTTTATCAAGTGATAACGTCGAGAAACAGTTGGTAGAAAATTATAGCAAAATATCATGTGAAAACAGAGGAGAATACCTCAAACTCGCACTTAAGTATCGACTATACGAATTCGACCAGCAGATAGCTGCCGTAAGAGAGGGCATGGCGAAGGTCGTTCCAGTGCCTCTCTTGATATTTTTCTCCAGTTTCGAGCTCGAAACGATGGTCTGTGGCAGCCCTCAAATCCCCGTAGACTCCTTGAAAGCCATAACATCTTACAAAAATGTTGACGTCAACGAGCCCCTCGTCCGCTGGTTTTGGGACGTTCTAGAAGATTTCACGAGTCTTGAAAGATCGCTCTTTCTGCGATTTGTCTGGGGGAGAGCCAGGCTACCGAGAACAGCGGCGGACTTTCGTGGAAGAGATTTTGTTTTTCAGGTATGTTAATTCAGCTGTATTGGTCCCGTTTTAAGGGCATGTTTGCTAATAGTATCTGCTCTTCATATTTGATCAGTTAAGAAACCGGTGAAATGATAATGATTTTTAACATGATAATAGTGATTATAGTCCTGCCTGGGTATCATGATCATAGTGATTGTAGCCGTGCTTGGGTATCATGATCATAGTGATTGTAGCCGTGCCTGGGTATCATGATCATAGTGATTGTAGCCGTGCTTGGGTATCATGATCATAGTGAGTGTAGCCCTGCTTGGGTATCATGATCATAGTGATTGTAGCCCTGCTTGGGTATCATGATCATAGTGATTGTAGCCGTGCTTGGGTATCATGATCATAGTGATTGTAGTCCTGCTTGAGTATCATGATCATAGTGATTGTAGCCTTGCTTGGGTATTATACCAATCGTTTGGCGGGTGATTATTTCACAACTTTTGATCTAAGAAGGAATGCAATATGCTCTGTATTTTTTTCAAATTTTTAGTGTATGATACAAATTGTTTGGAAACAAAATTTTCAACTTCTGATATGAAGTATCTACTAAGGGCTTCTACTCTAAATCGATTTTGGTCTAAATTTATTAATGTCTAATTTTGTATCAGCGATATGTTGATTTTTGTACACAAAAATTAAGCTCAATTTGTCATAAAAAAAACCTTGTTTACATGGAAGAGTTTACTTTTTAAATGTTATTCAATTGTTTTCTCTTGAAGGCAATATGTCCCGTTTCAATCAACCGTTCACGTTTACAATAGGTTCAACGGCATATTTGGAACGTTTAGAATTAGTCCAATGTTGCTGTGTGGATATTTAATATCAACATATTGCAAAATTCAAACAATGACAATTTAGGTGACCACTGAAATTCACCGGGACGTAATGTCTTTAATCTTTTCTCTGACTCCTGCTTTGAACAATAATGTTTAACATCCTATGATTTTTCAGGTACTGGACAAGTTTTCTCCCCCAAACATGTATCTACCAGAATCCTACACATGTTTCTTCATGCTGAAAATGCCGCGATACACGAGCAGGTTGATTTTGCGAGAAAAGCTCAAGTACGCCATTCATTTTTGTAAATCGATCGACTCAGACGAATATGCCCGTGTGGACCTAACAGGAGATCACGCCGAGGCCTAGCTCACAAATTGTTTATGTTTTAGAAGTGTTGTGTACTGACGAGGTTTGTTTCAATGTTGTATTATCAAAATTTTTCTTGTCAATAAATGAAATTATAATATCTAATATCTAAATATGATGTGTTGGGACATAGGATCTTGAACGAAGAGGTCTGTAATCAGATTGTCCCAGCTTTAGTTGAGGAGTACCTAACCTTGCTTTCTTTTTGATTGAATGGAATGTGATTCACCTAAGAAAGTTTGCGTTGTTGTTTGGGATTTCAAGGTTCAAATGTCCTATTTTGCACCTTCAAGAACCTCGCTACAGTTAATTTAAAACACATCTCATACTTGCTTTTCTGGTGAGGGCAGACCACCACAGAACTATGTTTTTAGATTTACCAATTCCAAATATATGCCAAATAAATGGTTATTGAGCAACCTTAGAATTGTCCCAACCATATAAGTTTAATTTTATTCCGTTGAGATTATGCTGATCACTATTAGGGGGGCAGAAGTATTCAGCAATTTTGAAACCATAGCTGTTAGCCATCTTGAGGACCGAACTCCCTAAACGCCCAGGGTGTCTTTACTAACCAGTTTAACTGAGATATACCACCCCAATGTTTTGTACCGAACCAATGTTTGACCATCACTTGTTAAGCTCTGGTCAAGATACGTAAAGCAAGGGATTTCTTAATGCACTTGAGTTACAACTAGAGTATTGAACGTATGAAGAATTTGTTGTCTAAATCGAATTTTGAATAAGTGTTTGTAAGTATGTATAAAAACTAAATTTAAAATTCTGCGAATTCCCAAAATTACAGTTATTTTGAATATTCTCATTTTATACCTGCCTTCATTTGAGAAGCAAAGCATCAATGGTAATAATTGAATAGCTTCTTAATTCTAAATTCTGTAATGAAGGCATTAGAGACAAAAAGTGAGAAGGTATAGCAAAATTGTGGTAATATTAATTTTTTATGGCAACCTTTTAACAAAATCCATTGTGCTCATTCTACGCTCACTCAACTGCTGAAAAGAAGCCAATCCTTATGTATTTTTTTTCTAAAGAGGGAGTTTTTGACAAGTAAAAACTCATAATCAAAAACAAATAAGAAGAAAAATTATTCCTTTAGACGAAAAATTAAAATAAATATAACTTTGCTGAATAAAAAATCTAGAAGGGCATTTAATTACTAATTGTTGGATTTCTCACCGTGAAAACATAGATCGCTATGTACTGAAAGATTTTTAATCACGACAAAACCTAGGGATTAAAAGATCTACTCGAACAAGAAAAACCACTGATATTTTGATTTGAGTTTTAAGAACAATTTTTGTGCTTTGATCTTGATGATTGACAACTTTACATTTTGCTCTTTTAAGGTAAAATTGAAACAGGGTGCAGGTAATATCCGGATTATGCAAAATCAGAGAAAATAAGTTTTGCCAAAAAGCCAGGACATAGGCTTCAGATTTTTCAATTAAATTTTTTTCAAAGAAATTTTATTTTATAACCTTGGAAAAAAGCTTCTCTGATTACTACACTTGATTTAAAGGTGAAGTTGGCGCATGGAATGTTCAGATTCAAATAAATCGGAGAGGGCTCAGTTTTTGCCAAAAAGTTAAGACTATAGGCTTATAAAATTGATATTTTTTCCATCGAATTTTTGTAAAGAAGGTTGGTCTTTTTTGTCTTATAATTGACTTCCTTGATTACTACACTTGATTTAAAGGTGAAATTGCCGCATAGAATGTTCAGATTCCAAGGTTTAGGAGAGGTCAAATTTTGGTCAAAAGTCAAGACTATAGGCTTATAAAATTGATATTTTTTCCATCGAATTTTTGTAAAGAAGGTTGGTCTTTTTTGTCTTATAATTGACTTCCTTGATTACTACACTTGATTTAAAGGTGAAATTGCCGCATAGAATGTTCAGATTCCAAGGTTTAGGAGAGGTCAAATTTTGGTCAAAAGTCAAGACTATAGGCTTATAAAATTGATATTTTTTCCATCGAATTTTTGTAAAGAAGGTTGGTCTTTTTTGTCTTATAATTGACTTCCTTGATTACTACACTTGATTTAAAGGTGAAATTGCCGCATAGAATGTTCAGATTCCAAGGTTTAGGAGAGGTCAAATTTTGGTCAAAAGTCAAGACTATAGGCTTATAAAATTGATATTTTTTCCATCGAATTTTTGTAAAGAAGGTTGGTCTTTTTTGTCTTATAATTGACTTCCTTGATTACTACACTTGATTTAAAGGTGAAATTGCCGCATAGAATGTTCAGATTCCAAGGTTTAGGAGAGGTCAAATTTTGGTCAAAAGTCAAGACTATAGGCTTATAAAATTGATATTTTTTCCATCGAATTTTTGTAAAGAAGGTTGGTCTTTTTTGTCTTATAATTGACTTCCTTGATTATTACTCTTGATTTAAAGGTGAAATTGCCGCATGGAATGTTCAGATTCCAAGGTTAAGAGAGGTCAAATTTTGGTCAAAAGTCAACGCTATAGGCTTAGAAAATTGATATTTTCTTCCATCGAATTTTTGTAAAGAAGTTTTGTTTTTTTGTTCTATAATGACTTCCTTGATTATAAGCTTAATTTAAAGGTGAATTGTTTTTTTGTCTTCTAATTGGACTTCCTGATTATTACACTTAATTTAAGGGTGAAATTGGCGCATTGGAATGTTTCATGATTCCCAGGTTTACGGAGAGGTCTACTTTTGGTCAAAAGTCAAGACTATAAGGCCCTTAGAAAATTGATATTTCTTCCATCGAATTTTTGTTCTTCCATCGATTTTTTGTAAAGAAGTTTGTTTTTTGTCTTATAATTGACTTCCTTGATTATTACACTCGATTTAAAGGTGAAATTGGCGCATGGAATGTTCAGATTCCAAGGTTTAGGAGAGGTCTACTTTTGGTCAAAAGTCAAGACTATAGGCTTAGAAAATTGATATTTCTTCCATCGAATTTTTGTAAAGAAGTTTGTTTTTTGTCTTATAATTGACTTCCTTGATTATAACACTTAATTTAAAGGTGAAATTGTTTTTTGTCTTCTAATTGACTTCCTTGATTATTACACTTAATTTAAAGGTGAAATTGGCGCATGGAATGTTCAGATTCCAAGGTTTAGGAGAGGTCTACTTTTGGTCAAAAGTCAAGACTATAGGCTTAGAAAATTGATATTTCTTCCATCGAATTTTTGTAAAGAAGTTTGTTTTTTGTCTTATAATTGACTTCCTTGATTATTACACTCGATTTAAAGGTGAAATTGGCGCATGGAATGTTCAGATTCCAAGGTTTAGGAGAGGTCTACTTTTGGTCAAAAGTCAAGACTATAGGCTTAGAAAATTGATATTTCTTCCATCGAATTTTTGTAAAGAAGTTTGTTTTTTGTCTTATAATTGACTTCCTTGATTATAACACTTAATTTAAAGGTGAAATTGTTTTTTGTCTTCTAATTGACTTCCTTGATTATTACACTTAATTTAAAGGTGAAATTGGCGCATGGAATGTTCAGATTCCAAGGTTTAGGAGAGGTCTACTTTTGGTCAAAAGTCAAGACTATAGGCTTAGAAAATTGATATTTCTTCCATCGAATTTTTGTAAAGAAGTTTGTTTTTTGTCTTATAATTGACTTCCTTGATTATTACACTCGATTTAAAGGTGAAATTGGCGCATGGAATGTTCAGATTCCAAGGTTTAGGAGAGGTCTACTTTTGGTCAAAAGTCAAGACTATAGGCTTAGAAAATTGATATTTTTTCCACCGAATTTTTGTAAAGAAGTTTGGTCTTTTTTGTCTTATAATTGACTTCCTTGATTACTACTTTTGATTTAAAGGTGAAATTGGCGCATGGAATGTTCAGATTCAAATAAATCGGGGAAGACTCAGTTTTTGCCAAAAGTTAAGACTATAGGCTTAGAAAATTGATATTTTTTCCACCGAGTTTTTGTAAAGAAGTTGGATCTTTTTTGTCTTATAATTGACTTCCTTTATTATTACCCTTGATTTAAAAGTGAAATAGGCGCATGGAATGTTCAGATTCAAATAAATCAGAGGTCAATTTTGGTCAAAAGTCAAGACTATAGGCTTAGAGAATTGATATTTTTCCCACCGAATTTTTGTAAAGAAGGTTGATCTTTTTTGTTTTATAATTGACTTCCTTGATTACTATACTTGATTTAAAGGTGAAATTGCCGCATAGAATGTTCAGATTCCAAGGTTTAGGAGAGGTCAAATTTTGGTCAAAAGTCAAGACTATAGGCTTATAAAATTGATATTTTTTCAATCGAATTTTTGTAAAGAAGGTTGGTCTTTTTTGTCTTATAATTGACTTCCTTGATTATTACACTTGATTTAAAGGTGAAATCGCCGCATGGAATGTTCAGATTCCAAGGTTAAGAGAGGTCAAATTTTGGTCAAAAGTCAAGACTATAGGCTTATAAAATTGATATTTTTTCCACCGAAATTTTGTAAAGAAGTTTGTTTTTTGTCTTATAATTGACTTCCTTGATTATTACACTTAATTTAAAGGTGAAATTGGCGCATGGAATGTTCAGATTCCAAGGTTTAGGAGAGGTCTACTTTTGGTCAAAAGTCAAGACTATAGGCTTAGAAAATTGATATTTTTTCCACCGAATTTTTGTAAAGAAGTTTGGTCTTTTTTGTCTTATAATTGACTTCCTTGATTACTACTTTTGATTTAAAGGTGAAATTGGCGCATGGAATGTTCAGATTCAAATAAATCGGGGAAGACTCAGTTTTTGCCAAAAGTTAAGACTATAGGCTTAGAAAATTGATATTTTTTCCACCGAGTTTTTGTAAAGAAGTTGGATCTTTTTTGTCTTATAATTGACTTCCTTTATTATTACACTTGATTTAAAAGTGAAATAGGGGCATGGAATGTTCAGATTCAAATAAATCAGAGGTCAATTTTGGTCAAAAGTCAAGACTATAGGCTTAGAGAATTGATATTTTTCCCACCGAATTTTTGTAAAGAAGTTTGGTCTTTTTGTCTTATAATTGACTTCCTTGATTACTACACTTGATTTAAAGGTGAAATTGGCGCATGGAATGTTCAGATTCCAAGGTTTAGGAGAGGTCTACTTTTGGTCAAAAGTCAAGACTATAGGCTTAGAAAATTGATATTTTTTCCACCGAATTTTTGTAAAGAAGTTTGGTCTTTTTTGCCTTAGAATTGACTTCCTTGTTTATTACACTTGATTTAAAGGTGAAATTGGCGCATTGAATGTTCAGATTCCAAGGTTTAAGAGAAGTCAAAATTTGGTCAAAAGTCAAGACTATAGGCTTAGGAAATTCACATTATTCCACCGAATTTTTTCAAGAAATTTGAAGGCTTAGAAACAACTCGTCTGATTATTATGCTTGATTTAAAGGTGAAAATGGTCGCTGGGAATGGTCAAATTAAATTGAGTCAGAGAGGCCATTTTTGGCCAAAAAGACAAGACTATAGGCTTAGAAAAATTCCAAGTTTTTCCACAAAATTTTTTTCAAAAAATTCTTTTTATTTTATAAGCTTGAAAAAAGCTTGTCTGATTATTACAACGAATTCAAATGCAAAATTGGTCCTTGGGATGTTCAAATTCCAAGAGTTTAGAGGCCAAACTTTGCCAAAAAGTCAAGGCTATAGGCTTAGAAAAATTCACATTTTTCCACTAATTGTTTGAAAGAAATTTTATTCTATAAGCTTGGAAGAAGCTTCTTTGATTATTACAATAAATTTAAAGATAAAATTAGCCCATGGAATATTCAAATTCCAAAATTATACAGAGGTGCAATTTTGCCAAAAAGTCAAGGCTATAGGCTTAGAAAAATTCACATTTTCCACGAAATTTTTTAACCAAATTTGGTCTATTAAGGTTTAGAAAAATTTTGCCTATTTTGCCTAATATCTATTTAAGGGTATACAATTGTTACTGGAAATTTTAAATTTTCAAGAAATCCAGAAGTTCAAATTTTGCCAAAAATTCAAGGCTATAGGCTTAGAAAAAGCAGAGTTTTTCTACCAAAATTTTCTAAAGAAATTTTTTCTTTTAAGTCTTTAAAAAACTTCTCTGATTATTTTAAAATTGGTGGTTGGGGACGTTCAAATTCAACAAAATCAAAGAGGTCAACTCTTAAAATCAAATCAAATAAAAAAATCAAGGCTACAGGCTTAGAAAAATTGGCAATTTTTCCACTAAGCCTTTTTGAAAGAAGTTGTGTTTATATTTATAGGCTTGGTAACAACTTCTGTTTTCCAATTTTCTTAGATAAATTACCTTGTTAAAACAGAGTTGCTAGAGAAGCTTAATTCAGGGAGGTGTATAAAAATCACACCCTATCAAAACCAATTAAAAAACCACATAAAAATTAATGTAATTGTAAAATAATTTAAAACATTATAAAAATGATTATGATAAAGAAAGAAATGTGAAAAAAACAAATGCAATTTTTGTATTGTTCTCATCTATGTAGCAAGATAAATTCAAGACTGTTACAAAACAGTAGTTACTCATATTCTTTTACCATGTTAGAGGTTTGCATCATATTCCTCACAAGAATGGATTTAGGTATGTGCAAACTGGAGCGAGGGATGGTTCCTGCAGCATAGCCAGCCAGGTTGGTATTGCCTTGGAATATATTTCTGTGCTTTTGGCATGGGAAAGGATAGCTACTTGTTGAAAGATTTACATCAACAAGTTCTGGAATCTAACATTAAAGTAATAGGCCTTACTGTCCCAAGCTGACTGAAATTTTATTCCACATCCTTGCAACACTATGGGTGCTGCCTGATCTATGAATCACAGATCTTTCTCATCAAATGAAGAATTTAACCACTTTTCTCCTTCAAGTTGATTTATTGCTTCAATAATGGATTCAAGACTTCTCCTTGCACCTCTATTTGGAAAACTTTCATCCCTATGGGATGTTGGTGTTGTTTCATTTTTAGTTAAAAATACTTCAAATGACTCTCTGTCTTTATCTGCATTTGAACGCAAATTATACATATCCTGGACGGTGATGCCGATTACTCTATTTGTGTCTTCAATTTTTTGTTCAGGTTCAAGTTTTAGCTTCTTACATTTGGAAGGCTTCTTTTTGCCACCTTCAATCTTTCTTTTTACGGGAGAATTAAACTGATAAAGGAGTTGCCCTTTGTCACTTTCAGACAACAGCCTCTTCAAGTTCCGATTTTGCTGAATCAACAAATTATTGTATTCTTCAAGAACATTTAGATGATCAATAGCTCTTCTAAGGACACCAGCCTAAAAGTTAGGAAAATAAAATACAAATCAATCTGTTATTTTTGCACTGACAAACAGCTTAACATTTAAAAATGTGACTAGCAAAGTTAACCACAAAACATTTAAATCAATGCACCCCTTCATAAGGTTAAGTCAGGGTTTAGGTTCTTGAATGTAGATTTCTATAAACAGACCTTGAAATGATGTTTATAACCAGTGTTCTTACCAGTGACAGTGCCTTTATGATTAACCGATTACCAAATTACCGATTACTAAAACGTGCCCACATTATTATCAGCACTTTGCAGGCCTTCCAGCATCTGATTGCGAATTTTATTAAGGAATTTAGGACTTTTAAAGCCAAATTTTAGGACTTTTCTAGGAACCAACAATAATTATTTAGGACATTTTAGGATTTCTTATTAAACCAAAAAGTTTTTGGTATGGCAAAATTTGAAGATAGCAAGATATAGTGGGAAACAATTCACAGCAGAAATTCTGAAGATTGTTGGACGAAAAAGATCACAAGTATGCTATGTTTCAGCTATTTGTACCTACAGACGTCAGCAAAGATGAGGCGGGTATGGGGGCGCTGTACCCACCAACACTGTATCTTACTGCAATATATATTGGTTTAATGAAGAGCAAATCATGATCAAACAAGAATGTGTTGATTTAGAACACGTGATTTGTGACATCAACCAAAAACTTGCTCAATAAACTGCCATTTGATATACAGCTAATAAGAAGTTAGAAATGAATCTGGTTCACTCAGCTCAATTGTAAGTCCCACAATAACCATTGCTAAACTTTGAAGCTGTCACTCCCTGAGTATTTTGAGTCACATTGAGCATTACCATAGAGAATCTCTGTGAACTCATAAGAAACTACTGGGGATGCTATCAAGTAGAATATATATCAGATGAATATTTCTTGGAGCAAGAAGGCCTGGTTTCTTAACATGGTGTTCTTAACATAGCAATATCCCAAAGTCGACTACATTTAGTCAAGAATGCACAGAGTAAATACTTTGCAGATTTGGAAGCAAAAAGAGCAGCAAAACTTGCAGAAGGGACACAACAGAGGGAAACCATGAAAGAAGTTGAGGGAAAAAGCAAAGAAATCGCAAGAAAAGAAAAACTTGAAGAGATAAAAAGAGAAATAGAATTGAAGAAATCTTGAAATTGGGTAGCATAGAAAATAATACTGAAAGGCAATAGGCAACTTCAAAAATGCCTTTCACAAAAGAGCTTAAAGAGAGAAGACATACAAAAAGCACAGTCAAAAATTGACAAAGAATTGAAAGGAAGAGCAACTTTGAAAAAGAAATAGTACAATTAGAAGAAAATAGAAAGAAAAATTGAAGACTATAGAATGTTTATATTGTTGATTTCAAGATTTTGGAAAAATGACAATTTTACTTGTCTATTTCCATTATACTTGATGCTAAAATTTAAAACTGAAAAAGTTAACTGAAACTTTTGAGAAATTTGAGGAAATTTAGGGTTCTTTGTCAAATTTTAGGAAGATTTTATTATTTTTGATGAAAATGCTAAATTTTAGAATTTTTAGGAATTTAGGACGAGCTGGGAGGTAAATCAACAACCCTCTTTTCTCTGCCTACAGTAAACCAAGTGCAGGGGTGCAGTGTGGAAAACAAGGAAGAAGGGCCATTTTTTAATTGAAATGCATGGTAACCCATCAGAATTCAAGACAACTATAATGTGGAAGAAAGGGTACCCTATTCTCAGCAATACAGTTTTATATTAACTTGCTACCCATTTTGAAAGAAGTGTTGTTTCTGTCAAGTTGTTAAAAGTACAATGTTAAAAATCAATGAGTTTCCATTTCAAAATGTATTGCTATTGTAGATTTACTGTCCAAGGATCATGTAAAAGGATGAGGAACGAGGGAGTCAATGGACCCAATAATTTTACTATAAGATATATTGTCAATGATTGACAAATTTTCCCCTATTTACTCTTTGGCAATATATACTTCAAAGCTTAAGGTGCAGCCATTGTTTTCAGAACATAATATGGAAATATAATGTTTTTTTCTTTTTCTTTACTGAGCAAATAGCAAGTTGCATTTCTTCATATATGGGAATGAGGTAGGAGAATAAATAACCCATCCCAAGGGTGGCACCACGGTGTGGACTGGGGTGGACATGTCCACCCTACTTTTTTAAGATTGACTTTCTAATTTTTCTGAAACTGGATTAAAAACATAAGGGGAGGGGGCATTAGCTTTCTTCCCTGAGATCGGAACTTCTTTTCATTTTGATGGTCAGTTACAGTTTTTTTCAGATCTTAGCTGACATAAGAGTATGGTGTGTTGGATCATCAGTTCCGTACATAGTGAGAAACTAAAATGAAGACGATCTATAAAACTCGCTTCTACAAAGCAGAACAGTGCTTGTCGCGTGATTGAGAATCGTCTTAAAAATCGTCTAGTGGAGATCTGCCTTAGGAGTGTGGTCTTTGCCTTTCTTCCATCTTAAAGATTTTTGGCAATGATCAACTTTAAAACTTGTTCCCAAACTTTTTAAGCTGTGAGGGTAATATAGTTACAGCCCCACCTGTTACAGCTGCATTATCTTTGAGTCTCAGTGTCAGACTAAAGGTTGGAAAATGACTAAAACATGTCTTAGAATGAGGACCTAAAGCCCCTTTCCCCTTTTTGTTTTTCAGGGCACCATGCTGAGCAAAGATTCTGTGTCCATAAATATATCCTAATCTCATTTATTAAATATACCATTTTTAACAGATGAGCTTTTCATTGGTGGCTGGCTGATGGTGAGTAAAGAACTAGTGGAGATTGCTGTGGTTTTAGGTCACAATTAACTGAATAACTCTTTTGTAAAAAAAACTAATTGTTTTCATAAGAAAAAAAATCAACATCTCTAGTACTCTAGTTTCTTAACACTTTAGAAATATAATAGTTGATGCGTTTTAATGAGTTTCTTAATTATGATGCAGTTAATTTGAATGTTTAGGGCCCTGCATTCAATTTTCCATGCTGGGAACATTTCCTCATTGGGGATAGTTGTTGCAGGCTCCTCAATGCTGCCATTGTGTTCAAATGCTTGTGACACTTTGTCAAGAGATTCACTTCCCTTGTAATGCTTCAGTTAGACGAGAGAAGTGTATTTTTAGCTCTGTGTGTAAAGCCTCATGCCAAACAGGTCATCGTATTAATTTAAATGAAAATCTAGGTTTTTTGCTTCATGAACTGAGTTCCTTAATTTTTCAGTTTTCTAGTACACTTTTCTTACAAAAAAACAAATGCAATGTTGTTATTCAGCCAATTCGGGTCAAGCACAGCCTTATCATAAAAAGAAAATAATTAATGACAATTAAGGAGCAAACAAGAATAGCTTACCTTGCTAATTTTTCCATCATCATCTCCACAAACAATTGCTTTTAAATCTTGAAAACCATTGTTTATATTCTGCATTCTTCTTCTTTCATTTGAGTTTGCAACCTCTCTTTTCACCTTTTTTTCTATATTCTTGAACATCACAACTGCACTGTTTTCTCTAAATTATCAAAGTATTCCATTAATATTGTATATAATGCAAGGGAAATTATATTGAGAAAAAAAACTGGTTACAATTCTAATAAACCAACATCCATTGATACTGCTTAATAAATCAAAGTGACGAGAAAAAACTAGCATATCATTTTATCAAATCATCATATCATGTAATCAAATCATCATTATTTTATCAAATCATGATATCACGTCAAGCTATTTCTACAAACTATCAAAGGTTAGCCAGCCAGCGGATATTGTAGACTTGCATTTTACAATGTTAAGTTTTTGCGGAATCTAGTTCTCTATGCATGGAGCATTAGCATTGACGCGGCTTTTTCAGTTCATCCGCTTTTTTTGCGATTGAATTACCATCTATCAGCAGAGGCTTCCAAAGAAACTACTGTCGAACTGAACTCGTTGGCCTAATTCAATAATCCAGTAAAAGCTGGTCTCTAAGGAATCGTACATCATATGAATCAAACATTGTGAGTTCAACATATAAATAGATGAAAGCATAAGAACAGCTTCAGTAGCTTTGGCTCGATTTGACAACATGAAGATTGTGAGGGCCTAGCATAGCAACACTGGTATGCATCGCCGACGGGCCGCCTGGTCTTAGACATTCACGAAAGAAAGCAAAATTAGAATCAGATAGCAAATTAAAAACGCTTAAAAGTATCATTCATCAATTATGTGTAAAAACAATTGGCTTGCTAATCGGTTATCATTCCTTTTACGCCTCTGGTATAAAGATACCTTTTGCGTGTGACCTGTCTGGTCGCTAGCAACTAGGGACGTTGCTCAGTTTGCTGACGCACTTGACCAGGCAAGTCAAAAAAGTCATCAGATATTATAGAATAACTTTTTATGCTTAAAGACAAAAAAAATTTACCAACCTTGGTCTAATGTTCATCATATTAATTCAAAGTGCTTTGCTGATTTAGGGGCAGATCACATTCCACAGTTCGGAAGCATGCTCCAACTCCTAAGAAGTCAGCTGTTCAGCCCATTGTGTTGTTGCTGTTTTGGCGCAAAAAAGACAGTCGCATTGAAACGCGGAACAATGGACTGCCATAAATACAAAAGAGTTTCACGTAGTGACCCAGTAAGCCGCCGTTTAGAAAACAAAGAAAAAGATTCCACAGATTACACGCTGTGAAGTGTAGCCAATGGTGGCTGTCCAGTGAAGGCATTTTTAACAGTACAAATCCTCGTTATTGTTCTGCAACGGAAGTGATGGCTACATTTCCCGCGATTTTTTCCAACAAAGTATGGCACCTCAATAACATCGCGACCTTCAAGCGTCGTTCAGGGTTACCAATACGAAGTTTCAGCTCAGTAGTGCCTCGCCTGGCAGCCTGTCCAATAACGCCAAAAAATTTTATGGTTTTTTGTGCCTCATGAAAACTTTTTCACAGTTCGTGTACACCCGTGGGCGCATGACAAATAAGGGTGTTGAGAATTTCCCACCCGCTTGAATTAGTACAAGACATTTGAAAGTTTTATGACACGAAACAAACGATGCCTGACTGGTACAAGATTGTAAAACAGATATGTTAAAAGGGGCTGGTAAACCCCCGCAGGGTTTTTTTTCAAAAAAAAAATTTTGCGGGGTGGGAGATTTTTTGTAAGGGCTAATTCGAAGATGGGGGCTTATTTAGCAGCAGCTTAAAATATTACCAGAGCAAAATTTCTTGCTCTGATTGATAATGAATAACAATGGCAGCAACAACTCTCATCGAAAAACTAATAGAGAATATGAACAAAAACAAGAATTTGTGAGAAAGAGGCTAAGTGAGAAAAAGACGATTTGAAGCTTTTACTCTGAATCGATTAATACCCCCCTATGGGGGTTTATTTCACAACATAATTTTTCTTGGGGGCTTATTCGAATGGGGGCTTACTCAAAGGTGGGAGCTTATTCGAGGACTTGCGGTACTAATTTTTGGGCTACAATCAGTGGCGTAGCGTGACCTTCTCGCTGCATTTTACCGACAGAAATTATTTTGTTACATTTAGTATAAAATCATTGTATTAAAAATGCAATTCTACCGACGAGTTATCTTAAGTTGGGGGTGTGATATTGCTTAATAAATCAGTTAATAAATAACCCCCCACCCCACGCTATGACCCTGGCTACAATTGTGCCATTTTAAAAAGTCGAAGTAAAGTGTATCTACTAACTGAATTTGACTTGTTTTTATACATAAAAAGTGATTTTTGTCGAAATAATTCTGCCTTTCTCACCTCCTTTTCCCAGTCAATAGACAATGATTGAAATGCCCAGTGTTTTCATGGGAGGGGCTAAGAAGGCTAAGAAGGTTTTTACCTAGTTTATTAACTGAAAAAAGGGCAGAACGTTTTGAAGTTTAGATTTCAATTTCATAAAATTTGTTCACATTCCTAAAGAATTCAATTCCATCATCGAGTTCAACTTGCTATAATCACTTTGTTATACCACGTGATTTATCCAATGTACAGAATCCTCAGTTTATGGCTCTTTATAAGGTACTACGTTTCAATTTATTATTACCGTTGCCATTCCGCCGTTGTTGTGTACTTACTATTTATGCTATTTTACCCAACTACCCCGCTTGCACAAATAGCAAAAAATGGTTTTTCTGAAAAGAATAGGCCCCTTTATAGTTATTTTTCCCTGCCTTCTTCTAGGAGCCCCAACGCCCCTGCATTCCAGTTTATCAGATTATAATTTGGTGATGATCAGTTGCAAGTTTTTGAAAGTTTCTGAGACGAGTATAGACTGAAGAAGGCAAGGTTTCTTAAATTTTTGGAGCAAGCAGGATTGAGGTCCAAACAAGGTATACATTTCACTGATATGATAGCTATTACTATATCATTATAATATTTTATTACATATGCTAGTTTCTAATGAAAGTTCTACACAACGTAATCTTACGACTCCCAATCTTCACTCTCAGGACGGGCAGCAAGAAGGACAAAGCCACATCAAGTAGAAGCCCACCCTTAGAATTTCGTTACCGTTCAATCAAACTTCCAAGGATGCAACGGGAATTAGATTTTCGTCCGGGGGGGGGGGGCAAACTATAACGTTCCCTACAAATTCCACTGTAAAAAATGCTTTGTGAGGGCCTATAGACCACCCCAACCCCTCCCCCAGCACCGAGCCCCTGCTTCTTTCAGGGTCAACATGCTTGGGCGGGACAGGAGCTCAAACTCAAGATAAAACACTTGCAAACGTTAGCAAAAAAATCAACACGGATGGATGTCCTATGGCGCATTTAAGTATTTGGTCTCTTTAAGAAAATACTATCTTGTGCCTTCAAAAGTATGAATACTCAACTCGCTAGATTTTTGCAAAGTTTTTTATGAAAGTTATCTTCAATTTAATGCGTCTTCAAAACACCATCTAATCTGCAAAACGAACATTCAATGATAAGATTTTTTGCTTTTATTAATACACGAAGCTACATAGATTCATAGAAATTATCAGAACTGCACAAACTGCGTAAAATTATATTCTGAAAAGCAGATCAAAGCTGCGTCAAAAACTGTATAAAATCAATATTATTCAAAGGAGAGATAGGGGTGACTAAGTTCGACTTTGACAATTGTCTTTAAAGACTATTTGCAGGGGTTGTAAATCTAACAAAAGAACAACAAACAGCAAAGAGTTTGCCACTAAAGATCAAAAATAAGAATTAATGACTGAACTGTCCCTACATGCTACATACATTTACTGCTACACCCATTTATTTTCACATGAATATTTACAGTACACTTACTTTGTAGTCATCTGTATTTCTCCGATGTGCTGTCCACTACATTAAACAGAGGACCAACTGTGATATAGGAGTCTTCAAAATCCAAAATTCCAGTAACATGGAACCCAATGTTGATAATGACAACAATATATTCACACAATGCAAACAAGCTGTACACTAGGGAAAAAGTTGACAAAATATGATCATATATTGAGCTGGATATATATACTCAGCTGACAACGACACAAAAACAAACAAAACATATGCAGAACTGGAAAAAGGTGCTTTACTAAGTATCAGGGTAGGAACACGATCAAGAAATTGTAGATTTTGAGTTTTTACTGTGAAGCAAAATTTAACATTGAAAGTGGGTGCGCAATGGGTGTGCAAATCAGATAGCATTTATAAATGATTCTACCACAATGAATGGCTAGTTGTGTATTACTACAAATAGAAGCGTCAGAATCGAAAAACAAAGTTAGAAATTCTTTGAAACTTGGAGAGACTGAAACTGAAAAATATAGAACACAACAACAAACACAGTTTTGACAGAACTATTTGGAAAGTTGCAAAATCTGCTTCTATCAGTGGTCAGATGACAAAGATGCCTTTTTACTTTGAGAACACTTTAACTTTTCATCTCGAGATGTTTTACATGATCATTCAGAGGCAAAATCTGGTTCAGATTCTATCCTGATCCTATTGAGATCTCCAATATCATTGTTCATGCTTATTTTTTCTCAAAGGCAGGAAATGCATAGTAATTTCTTAAAATAAGAACCTTAAGCTGATATAACAGATAAACTTTTGATTGAGAAATGTTACAAAGATGAATAAAATCTGGGGAAGAAATAATTTAGGGAAATCAATGAAATCCAAACCTCCAGGCTCGCAGTAGCCATTGTGTCTGAAGTAGAAGTAGACAGACAGGCCAAAGAAAAATATATACATAACCAAAAGTCGCAACTTCAGTTGATATGAATAGTATAGCTGCAAATCAGAAAGGAATAAAGTAATAAACATTTTTTTAAGTAATGAACATCAATGAGTTAAAAGAATTGAATCTATGCACAGCAATAAATTAATAACCATTTGATACAAAACATAATTGGACAGTAAATTTTAGTTGACACTTTCCAGAACAGCAAATTTGTAATAATGCTCATTTGGTAACAAACTCTTTGTTAATTAAACTCTTTGTTGAATAATTTAAGTATATATCAACTGCACCAAAAAAACTGCTAAACAATTACTAGCAATTACCAGCTTTACTAGCAATAAAAAGCTGCTAAACAATTACAAAATCTGCCTGTAAACACTTGAAAAAGGGTACATGAAAATACAAAACAAGACAAAATTCTAGTTACAATATGATGATTTTTCAAAACAAATGAACTAGCCATCAATGATTGAAAATAAGTGTGAAACCAACCTTGTCACTTTTTTCTGTGCCAGCTAAAGTTTTCATTAGAAAACTGGTTATCACCATATAGCTCATTGAAAATACAATGAAACTAATAAAAGCAGCTTCATGAACTTCTACAACAAGAAGCAAAAATATGATCAATGAATTTTCATATGTCTGTTTCAATATCTCTCTATGGTTCTACAAATCCTTTAGATTTATGGAAATGTGTTTGGATTTTTAAAGCAGGTATCTAACCAGGGTGGAAATTTTATACCCATATTTTATAAGGAGACTTTGATTTATGTGCCAACCCATAATCTAAGAGTGAAAGCTGTTGACTGGCAGCATGGAGTAAGGTGAGCAAAAACCGGAGTAAGGTGAGGGATTGAATTGCACTTTGAAATAATCTACTGTAATTAAGTGACAGCAAGCACTAGAAAAATTTGGTAACAGTCTACAGAATTTAACATTTGTTATGAAAGAAACATTAATTCAAAATTTGTGATTCTATCTTTGGTACCCCCATTGAATCCAGGTACTACTGGAAATGCCAAACAAGTAATGCTGAGTAACTCATCTATTGTTTGCTGTTCTGAAAACAGAACAAGGCAGTATTAGAATTTGAAAACTAGTACAGCAGTATCACAATGGGATGGGATACAATGGAGTAGAATTCAAGGGCACAGCATCTCCTGTGTCTCAACCAGCTGGCTTTGGTGCACTTACATTACTGTCAGCATTCCAAAGGTCTTTGTGACACAAAGCAAAGGTATATGGGCATTGATAGTTTGCACACATACATATTAAAGAAAAAGTGGCTCTAGGCTAGTAATGTTAGTACAACTAGATGCTGCCACTGCCATGGTTCAAATGCTACTCTTAAAAAACCACAAAAAGCAGCATCTCCTCACAAGTTGAAAGGTTGAATTAGGATAATAGATAAGAAAAACTTACCAAAGTTTTCTGTAGATGAGACGTAGGACAATACCAATAATGAAAAGATTTCCAATAAATTGAGAAAAAAATTCAGCACAGCTAAACTGAAAAACCAACTTTTCTTTCCAATTGATAGCTGGGTGTAAAAATACATATAAATTGCTGCAACCATATACCTCCCAAACGAATGAAGAGCTATTCCTATTCTCCAAATATACCGCTCAGGGGTGTAATCTCCAATCGCAGCACTCAGAGAGGGCAAATAATTTGGTACCTGTGTGAAGAGAACAGCATCAATATTTTAAAGAACTGTATAAAGAATTTCATAACATTGGTCTGAGCAGCCATGTTATGGCAGCAAATTTCTAACTGCAGTTTTTAAAATTGCATGTTATTCACACATTTTGGCTTCTTTGAAGTAGTATCCTAATGTTTTGCTGTTCACATTTATTTTCCATGATTTCTCAAAGATCTCTAGGCAACCTCTTGAATTGATATTTGAATTTACTATTTGTTTTGCTATGTTTAACCATGAGAGATTTGCCAAGTCTGTATTTATTGGATTATTTTTAAAAAATTCAAAGAAATTTTTTGATGGCATCCATTCAAAAGCTCTATTCAGCCCCCATTTCCTTTGAGCCCCCCAATCAATTAAGACCAGACCCCCTTACCAAGCAAAACTATACATTTTTATAACAAAAACTGCATACGGGCATTTTATAACATTTTACTTTGAATTATCAATAAGCCTCCCTCTCTAATAAGCTCCCTCTGAAAAATAAATACTGATCAACAGGAGGTCCCTCAATTATGGAGATCCCTCAATAATTTTCTGTTTGACAATGCCTCACCTAGGGCATAGCTAGTGGGGGTGTAGGGGGGTGTGACATCCACCCCCTAATTCTTCATGAATTTTTCATTAAATCTTAAGTTGGTGTCACAAAGTCCTTCGTTTGTTGGTAAAGTCTTCTATTGTTATGGCAGGTGAAAAATGCAGGTCATGTAGGTTAAAAAAGGGCAGGCTGAATTGTGCAGGTCAAATTAGTTGCCATAATTAGTTGCCATAGGCCTTAGTTTCTTGACTTTTTGCAAATATATTAGAAATAGTGCAGATCTTTGGTAGAGAATACTAATAATAATTATATTCATCATAATTGCAAAAGCTAGTCTCAACAGTGTAATTTTTGCCAGGTCCTGTTGTCAAACTTTACACATTCCTTTGAATTTATTCCAACATTATTCTATGTTTAAGTTGGACATAAAAATATCCAGGTGGCAGAGGTGATGCCAATTATTGCATGTTAAAAGTGAAACCCCCCTTGATAATGTCACTGTTGTTAAATTTAACCATATGCAGTCCTTATAGCTACCAATACCATACCAGTATCTTTACGAGAATGCGCTGATGAAGTGATTAAAATGTACATTGTTTAGGTTTCCAAAAAAATTGCGACGCTTTACCTTGCAATGTGTACTTGTTACTTCATCCCAATGAAGAAGAAAGGACACAAACACGCAAGAAAAAAGCGATGCACATGGAAAAAAAAGAACTATCTTCGCTAATGAAGAGAATTTGACACGAATAACATCGTTCATGCTTGTATCGACTCTCCTAAAATTCATCGTCGCCATTTTGATTTCGAATTGTAAGCGAGGCTATTCAAACACAGCAACGAGTTGAAAATCAAATATCAAAATTATGTTTTGTAAGTCATTTTTCTAATTGATAAACATGATATTTATCAGCACAAAAGCATCATTAACATTTCCTTCATATTTTGCATGTATATGACAATATTTATTATATATTGACTGAAAAAATAGCACATTCAGAATTATATTTGTTTTTTTCTGTCTTGTTTAAACACAACTTGCTGAAAACATAAAATCATTTTTGATTTTTTTTTAAAAAAGTTGCAATATGCACACTATGCATCCCAAAATTATATGTCTCTTTTTTAAAAAAACTATCATTCACTTTCAAATGAACAATTTGGTGAATTTTCATCTCAAGGTACAAGGTTCCTTGTTCTTCCTATATAGCTAATTCTAAATAAGTAAGATAATGTTTGTAGGTGAGGACATGTAGGGGGCTCATAGTTGGAACTATCATCTTTTCAGGTGAAACAACTGTTCCCTGTGCTATTTTTATGTGAATACAGTGTTGTCACCAAAATTTTATAAAGTTATGCTCATGCTTGATAAAACTCGCCTACTAGAAATGGGAAACCCACAACAAACTATTCATCGTCGTTTTTGCCATTACTGCGTCTTGAATAAAAAACATACATAAACAATTAATTTGAAATTATTTACACCACAGTGAATTGCTTTCACTTATTCAAAACGCCCATTTCTTCCAATTTGAACTAATCGTTGACAAGTAAAAGTGTTGTGCCAAAATCTATTTATGATTGATTATAGTCAGTTGCCTTCCTAAAAAATTGTAAACGAATCTATTTGTGGTATTCTGCCATCTTTCCCCAAGGATGCCAGAATAAGAATAATACCTCGAATCCATCATATGCTTGAGCCTCAGCTGAACTTGAATTGGGAGGTCATAAATAGAAACAACATGTAGTAACGCAGATTGGACAAAATTGAAGCGGCCAGACTATGCTTAGTCAACATTAACGATCAAACAATTTTTATCTTTCTTCATCAAAATATGTTACAAAATCTCTAAATTTCTGCATATGAGAAAGAACTATCTAAAGCACGCATGTTGTAAAAATTATTAAGTACAATTATCAAGAAGTTGCGATGGAATTAAATTTTGAGCTCCTGAAATGCATATTGATATTGAAATTAACAGCGTTGCAAATATTCTCCATACTCTTGAGACAAAGCTAACAGAATCCATAAGTATTACCTCCCAGAAGCTTGGCAATTAGGAATTTAGCATGAATTTTGATGCCAGCAACAAGTAATTTTACAGAAAGTTGCTCTTCCTATTACAATTTTGATTGTTAGGGAAGGATGATTTCGGGTGTCAAGAAACATGATTATTTATCTAATGGCTTCCAAAAGAGGGAATTGGTCTTATTGACAATCCCGACAAACAGAGGGCGTTTTCCAATTTTACAGGTAAGTTGAAAATGTTCTCTCGATAAGACTTGGCAGGTATAAATAGAGAATAACACAACTTTCTAATCAGTAACAGAAGTTAAAAGAGTCTTGCTTTCAGAGAATACCCAACCAATAAACACTCCCGAAAAACTTTGTAATAATTATCTAAAATTCTTGACGGTGTCTGTTTAGAAAAGAAATTTTCTCGAATAGTGTTCGTTTGAATTCGATTTTAAATACTAGGATCTTAAAGGTTTTTCAAAATTTCCCCAATTTCGTATTATTTATCAACTAGTTATTTTCGCGTATCAAATTGCCGAATTTGTATCATGAAAATTCGGCAGCTGTCAGACATTTCTGACATTTCGAATAAATTTGAGAATGCGGATAGGCCAATACTTTAAAAATGTTTTGTAAAATATCAATAGCGATCAAATTCCATAAATACTGGTATCAATTTTGACCGAGGCACTTTGCACAACTATGACTTTTTACAATTCGATTCTAGCGCAAGACAAGACATACGAATTCCAAATCCTCTACATTGACGTACTTTCAATTAAAAGATCTTGATAATCAGGGGTAGCTTCTAATTGCCCACAAGGGTATTTTAAGTACTCTTGTCCCACCCCAGAAATTGGTCGTTCTGAATGAAAGTCGATTAGATCCTTAAGGGTACGGTGTGGTATTTGCTGTGTTCCAAAAAACTGGTACGTATTTCCACTGGTGTCAACTAAAAAATGTTTGCATTTGTTATCATCCTTGTATGAAACTGTGTATCCCCAAATTCTCTCACTCACCCGAACCAAAAATGCACCCTTCTCCTTTTCACTTAACAACTTCTCTGACTGATCCCGTGATATGATTCCTGAAAGGAAAAGTGAGTAAAAGGTGCCGATGAATATTTTCCTGGAGAGAAAGATCGGTGTCAATGAACGAGAAAGACCTTATGAGCGAAGGGGATCTCAACAATTCTATACAAAGACATATATCTGAGGTAGGCCAGACTTACTTGAAACACCTAGAAGTCTCTGTTGACTGCATATATTTTTATTTCATTTCCTAAATACTAATGCTTCCACCCTCCTTCCCTCCAGAACAACTCTGATTATTTAAGCAGATATCAAGTCAGAAGAAACGTAATTTCTTATCACCTACGCTATTTAATAGCAAACCAGTATTGCTTTAAGGGACAGACAGGGTTGCTGAACTTGAGCATGAAAACTGAAGTTAGTGCTCCAAGACTTTCAGTAGTGATTGTAAGTAGCAAACATAGAGCTGGCTTCATCAGCAATTAAGTAATAGGAAGACGAGAGAAGAGTTATAAATATTTTAGAACTTTTCTGATTATTCATGATCTTTTATAAACTATACACAAATGGAAATGCGCCGTTTTTTATTTTTCAAAGATTCTTAGAGCCCATAAATCTTTCATTATTTTTTTAGTTGTTTCTACCTAGCATCCGAAGGTAGTTTTTAGGACACTGAGAAGCTTATGCTTATCGAGCAGTGTCCTGGTCCTTCCTCTCGATGTGACCACACCTCATGATTCTTATGCCTGGAATTACAGAGAGCTGGCGACTTTCCTCACTCTGGGTGAAAGTTTGGTCATGCCAGGGACCCTTGGCCAATTTTGGCGGAGCAAAACCCACGAGGAAAAGAACGGAAAACCATAGAAGAGCGTCACGTTTGGGACTGTTCGTGCGCATTTGATGCCATGTTTAAAAGGCACATTCGCACAATTGTGTTTCTTCTGATGGCGTCATTAGGTAACCTGCTAGTAAAGTATTTCCTGTTATACATCACGCTTCAGTTCCAGAGCTGTAGGAAGTTTGACGGGAATAAGCAATGCTTTACAAAAAACTGGAAAAATGCCTAAGAGGCAACAAGTGGAAAAAACCAAGGGAAAAAATACGAATAACAGAACTGAATACATACCATGGAACCATTCTAAAAAGTTGCCATCCTCGTTAAAACCAGAGCCTTTCTCATACTCAACCTCTCTCCACCATTGTGCAACAGCGTCGCGATCTGCTGGTCTTCTTGCCCGCGTGGGCCGCTCTGGATTGCCGTCGGGTGCATTCTGGGAAGCCACGTTTAAAGCAGCAGGCGGAGGTGGGCGTGTAGGTTTTGAAATTTGCCTTTTAATTGGAAATGTTTTCTGTTTGTCTGCTATTGGTTTGATGGGAACAGGACCCGAAATCTCTAGCTTCTTTGGTAGTGGGGGTCTTTGAGGCGATGCACTTTGCTTCGATTTTGCCAACGAACCTTTCAGGGTGTTAAATTTGTCTCTGAAAATTTAAGAGTTCACCAGCTAAGTACAGAAAAAGCAACAAGTTTTTTTAGAATACCCAAAACAATTAATCTAAAACTAAACTCAGTAACAATAAAAACATTTTTCGTTTCTTTAAATAGTACTAGATTGTGGTTCATAGGAAACTGCAATTATTTGTAATCATGCTTCGATGTTTCTGGAGGCAGGACTCTCAACGCTCTTGAAACGCAGTTAAAAAGGACTTTTGGCTACCTTGAAGCAAACAGTCACAAATCAGACGGAGTTCAGGAATGGCAGATCAGCATGTATCACTAGCAAAATGATTAGAAGATTAGAAAACAACACAAACTCACGAAAATGACGTTCTCGGTTTTGGAGACTGAGAGCTTGAAGTGTTTGGATCTTTAGTTGGCGATTCTTTATCAAAACTTGCGTTGAAGGTCAACTTATCTTCATTCCCAAATTTCATGCTTGCTGACTTGGCCACTTTAACCGTCTTCTCCTTGGCAATCTTCGCAAGCCGCTTCATTTCATGTTTTGCTTGGTTGAAAGAGTTTTTCCGATCTCTTTCAGCTTCTTTGGCCTTCTGCTCCCTCGCTAACCAACTTTCTTCCAATTCCTTCATTTCTTGCTCTTCTCTGCGTCGATTTTCTTCCTTAATTCTTTTCATCGATTCATATAGTTCCTGCTTTCTCTTCTTCTCCATCTCAGCAATTTCTTCTTCTCGTTTCCTCTTTTCGTCTTCTTCTTTCTGCCTTAGCTCTTCTAGCTGCTTCTGTCGCTTTTCTTCCATCTCTTTCATTCTTTTTTCCAAAGCTTTTCGCTCTTCTTCTGCTTTTTGCGCTCTCAACTTTGCTTCCTACATAGGAAATATCAAGAGATATGAAAAAGAAAAGATAATATCGGTTACAAGGCAAAAAGATGTTCCTGTACAGAACAAGAGCATAAACTCCACATAATCAGGGCTTCGTCAGCCTACCCCTTTATTAAAATGAAAACAGTTTAGCTCATTAAATAAAATGCTCTCTTCCATACAATGAACATTTTAAGTAGCTCCAGATGTAGAATCATTCTACGGTCTGGTAAATGTTATTCGTTTCAGACATACCAGTATGAAAAACTAGATAAAGAATAAAATGATCTTATTAATATTACTCAAGTAATTGATATCCCATGGGCAACAACATCTAAATGCTTCGAAACAAAAGTTTCAAGACATAAAAAAAATTCACCCAGTAAGTTAATGTTCAGGAGAGAAAGCAGTTATGTATGAGATCAAACGACCCTGAAGTTCCTGGAAGTATCTTCATGAGGCACGTGTTACAACAACTTATATCTAGCTTGTACAGCTAATGTTTACATCCATTTTTTCATCTTTTCATCTTGCTGTTAATTTTCCGTTTTATTTCACATAGCTGTGCAGCAGGGCTGCAAAAAGTATAGGAACCAGGGAACTAGATTCTCAGAAAATGTTTTGGCTTGGTAGAAAATTTTCAGCAAAACTTGATAAAAAACAGCTGTTTTTTGCGTTGACAAAATAAATTTTCTTGACATTTTCACAACAGATCAAAGGTTTATACAAATGTGACCTTAATGTCTGCAGATTGTAGGTTTAATGATATAAAGAAGTTTCACATTTTCTAAACCGTTATAAAAAATATTACTCATTTGTCAAATATCACAAAAGTATTGTATAACTTGAAAGCAATCTTCAGTTTCCTTGTCCAGGAGCTTTTTAACAGATAAAGCTGCAGAACTTAAGTAGACAATTCACATGCTTTGAAAAGTGCTATTTTAGCTGCCTGATAAGAGGCTATGTTTTGGATGTTTCAAAGGAAAGAGCTGCGAAAATTACATGTATCCCAAGTTTTTTCCTGCAAGCAATACAGTACTTGACTTGAATCTTGATGGAGGTCTAAGATAGACTTGGCAAAGTGTTGAGACTTGATTGACATCTTGGCAGACTTGGCAAAATTTTTGATTGGTATTCAGCATTTGATGTCACCATTTATTAATGTTAAAATATGTTGACACGTGCACTCATCACATAAAATGAAAGGCCAAAAAAACCAGCTGATAAGTATAAAAAGGTAACCAGATTCATCTTCCATAAAGCTGACATCTATTACCTTTCCCAAACACCAGGTAGTTATGAAAAGCATCAACTATTGTGAAGTTTTCTTCCAGTCAAAAACATATCGCCATTCGGCTCACAAATCACTTTCCTTTTTTCGCAAAGTCAATCTTTGCCAAAGACAAAAAAGATGCAATAAACAACCAAAATTGGGAATTTTCTTTAGGCCAAATAAATTAGAAGACCTTGCGTAAAACTTCTTGTGTACTATTGGTAGATCTATAGTACACAATACTTAAACCTTACAGAAAAACTTTTGTCCTGTTTCCCAGGTTTCCAAAAAGGAAAATATTTTTTGCAGCTATGCTGTGTAGTATGCTGAATTCTGTACACATTGCTGATTTTTTGTCTGCAAATATGTGGCAGTTATTTATGCAACAAAGCCAGAATCAAAATTATAAGCCAGACATCTAATATCATTTTTGTTTATATAATTGCATATTACCTTCACTTTTTGGTACATCTCTTCTTGCTCTCTTTTCCTTTTAAGTTCCTCCTCTTCCTTCTGCTTCTGTTCTTTTTCCTTCCTTACCATTTCTTCTTTTTCTTCGGCTTCTCTTTTTAATCTTTCTTCTTCACGTCTTAACTCCTCTTGTTTTTCTTTCTCGATCTTCTCCTGTCTAACTTTTCTTTCTTTCTCTTCTTTTTCTAAAGCCAGTTTTTTTGACCGCTTTTCCTCCTCTTTTCTTTTTTCTTCTTCCTTTTGCTTTCTAATTCTTTCCTTTTCATCTAGCCTTCTACGCTCTTCTTCCCTTCTTTGAAGCTCTGCCTCTCTTTCTTCTGCTTCCCTTTTAAGCCTTTTTTCCTCTTCTTTCAATCTTTCTTCTCTTTCCAAGGCTTCTTTACATAGCCTCTCCTCTTCTTCCCTTATTCTTCTTTCTTCTTCAAGCCGCTTTGCCTCTAGCTCTTCTTTTTGTTTTCGTTTCCTTTCCTCGGCTTCTTTTTTCGCCAATTCCTCCGCTTGTCTAAGAGCTTCCTCTTCTTCTCTCCTGTTTCGTTCTGAATAAAAAAATATTTCAGTCAATAAAAACAACTATAAACTTCGATGGTGTTTACACCCTGATCCTTATTTTATAAATAATAACTAAAGACTGTCAAACTCTCGATGAGCCAAACATAATATTTGGAGAAAACTTAAATTTCTTTCGTGGGCAAGTAAGGACAGGTTTCCTTAAGATGGTTGACACAAGCGAAAATAACGCTTGCTTTGTAATAAAACTGAGTTTATTCTTCTTACAAACCTTCCTCGTTTTCCTCTTCATGGTCTGGTATTATCAAAACTGCAATTGGGCCATCTTCATCATCGCAATCCAGTGTGAAGTGTACCCTTCTTTGATTAGCTGGAAAAAAATAAAGACGATATAGCAGATTTTCATAGGAGTCCATGCGCAAAGATGTATGCAACTTGTGATTTATGTAGTAAAAATCTTTTTGACGTGGCACTCAAGCTCTTTCCAACGAACAGTACTGTCATATGGTACCAACACTATAAAATCTTTAGATTTACATAATGTGAAATTACGTTCGTCAATATGACAGAATACTGTTCTTTTAATATTAACCTGGCAACCTTATGTACAAAGTTAAGGCGAAATTTAACATTGTAGAAACGTAGGTCATACTACCAGTTATGGGGGTAGTAACCTTTTTTCACAGAGACAGACCCATAGATAGGCCATAATTGTGAAGGGTCATACTACACTGTTGTGGTAGCTCCAAAAAGACATGCAGAAAGTGATATAACTATTTCTCAAGAATTGCTTTGATGTGTAGAGGAGGATGGTTCTAAGTTCCTAATCCACGTTTCATGCTTAACACAGCCATCAGTCAGGCAACTGCATGAATTGCCAGAAAGGTACAACCATTCAATAACTGAACTAATACAAGGTCTCCCACTAAATGGCAAAATGTCAACAAAGCTAGTTCCATTCAAACAAAGGGCATCAATTAAAATAACATTTCTACCTTTTCTAGTTGTTTTTCTGTCACTATTATTATTTTCTTGTTGTTCTTCCGTCTCGTCTCTCTCTTTCCATCTTCTGATCTGTTCTTCTCTCATTTTTAGAAATAGTATCTGCTTTTGGTCATCTGACAGCTCCTCCAGCAGTTCTGGCTCGATGTACATGTCTTTTAAAATTTGTTGAAGCATCTTGGCTCTGTGATTGCTATTGTTCAATGCTAAACTAATAAAAAATATTAAGTGTAAGACATAGTTAAATCAGCAATTACAACATAAAGACCTATTTGTGAAGAACCTTCTAAATATGAGGGGTAAGCTTATAAGAGCAATCACCCTCGCAACGATAATAAAAAAAGAAAGCCATAAAGGTCCTTAGGAATATATAAGGCTAAGCCCACCTGTTATGATTCAGGTTATATCTAGGCTTAGCCCACCACATGCACAAAAGTTCAACACAAGAAATTGAAGATAAGCTGAATGACAAGATAAGCTCAATACTTATGTGGAAAATTTCAAGCTGTAAATAATTTAATGTGGATTACAAGATATAAAGAAAAGTCCTGCAGATCCATATGTTAGTAAAACACAAAGATGCAACATAAAGCATATCAAGTGCTAATAATTAAAGCTGTTGCAGAAAAAATATCATCCCATTTCTTGTATGATTTTCGTCTTGAGAAATGCTCCTGTTGCTTAGTATTACAGCCAATGGCTAGTGGAAGCTTGATGGAAATTATTGGAAAAAAAATTGGGTATGGTAACAGGCCTATTGTATCCATGATGCATATGTAGATTTCTTTTATTTCCAAGATATTCACTTTCTAAGAAGTGTCCTTATGAATATGATCATTCAAAGAATACAACTTTGAAGTACTTGTTGATGCATTGACTGGATATCATGGATGTATTGTAGTGTTGATTATATGTACTTACAGGATCTAACACTAGGGGAGGGCATACAAAATGATTAGAGAGGACTCAGGTAAATAGGGTTTTGATATTCTGCCAGTGCTGTTGCCATATGGATATAACTAGCAAATAGTGTAAACATTAACAGACTTAGCATGGATCCTTGTGTATCCCCTTTGCTTGTTGGCAGATTAAGTGATGTCTTCTAATTAACAAGGGTCTATAAAGTTAGGCTGTCAAGATAACTAGAAAACAGGCCTAGGAACCTTTAACGCCATTATAAAAAAGCTTTTTAATAGCCTTTTGCTATGAACATGCACTGATAACATATTATTATTAACTAGGTTATCATAAATTGTGTCAAGCATGTACTGTTGAGTGACCCTTGTCAGACCCAAATTGGAGATTGCATAAAATCTTATTATCAAGAAAACCTATCATTTTCTTGGCTATGATGCAATTCATCCCTTTCTCAAACCTAAACAAAAGTGAGATCAGCTGACAGTTTCTGCTACCAACTAAATTTACTGGGAAAATGCTTCAACCAGGTTTTCCAAACGCCTAGAATAGCATCATTTGAAAAAGAATGTCATTTAGGTGGGCCAATAGCTTAAGGCAAGGTCTCTGGCTTTAGTGATCACCCACATCAAATGAAAAGGAAAGCATTAGATGTTGGAGTTTTTTTATGTTGACTAGATTCAGATACAGATGACTAGATTAAATATACTGATTCAGGTTTATCAACAGGACAGGATTTCAAATTTGGAATATTGTGGCACACATTCTTGAAAATTAGTATCATGCTTTCCCTGAGATTAGAAAAATTATGCCCTTAGAGGGAAATAAAAAGCTATTATGTTGCTAGCTATGGAGAATAACATATTAATTACAAAAAATAGATCAACAGAATAAGGAGTAACTAACATTAGATGCCAATAACAATACCTGTCTGAAAATGTTTGCAAAGAAAGCACATCATATATAATGACAAAAGATGCCTTTCTGTAGATTAGAGATCTGATCATTTGCAGCTCTTTGAGATTTGTTGCCAAGGGTACACTGGAAAGAATAATCTTAACTAAAGATATACATTCTCGGGTCCAATATAAAGGGAAGTGTCTTGCCTATGCACTGGATACTGTAACGATCATAAAAAATGTTTTGGTATTAAAACCACTGGCTTTATTGCATAGTTGTTGTAATCTTTAATTATAAGGTAGTCATTTTTGCTAATAAAATATTTATAGTGCAAGACTTTTACCTTATCGATTGTGCTTCAAAAGACTTCCAATCCAGTAGAAAATAAATGCAATGGCAGAGAGACAGGAGAAAAGGATGATGAAGGTTGCAATACAGCAAACTGGTAGTCTTTGAGGCATTGAAAGAAGTCTACCTAAATGCCATATCCAGTGATCTGGGTCTCTAAAAATCAGAATTGCAAAAAAGTGCTTATAACAAAAGTTTAAACAAGCTCAAAATGTGTAAAAAGTCTCAGTTACATATATGCCAGGTAAAACTTTTAGCAAAGCAACAAAGAGGTAAAGCCTAATATACTATATATTCAGAATCCAGAAACTTCATGACCCATTGCTTACTAGATTATTTATTAACTTAATGATGTTATTATTAACCCAATTAAAATTGCATGGAAGAAGTTATCAAAGCAGTTTAAAAAGCAAAAGACCAGAGCAATATAGCAACTTCTAGTAGTTACAATCATTGAATGGGTAACTTGACCTTAAGTCAATCTTTCAGTCTCCAGACTATTACAAAATTGTTTTCCAAAACTGCAAATTTAAATTGCATTCAAAATCTGAGATGATAGAATTTTATGGAAAAATAATTCTTGCATCAGTAAGGTTGAGGTAGCATCGGGATATTCAAAACTATGAAATGAAGTCTTATGTTAAAAAAATTGAATGAAAAATATAACTATATAAAAAAATGATAACGTAATATGCTAGAGACCAATGATTATTTTGTTGCCTTTCATTGTGTTGGCTATCATCAGAAAAGAGAAAGATTTTTTATGCAAACAGAGAGGGTCAAACTACTTCATGTGGAATTGAGTACAGTCACAAAAATTCAGTGAATACCCTACATGGTGTTCCATTAGTCAAAAATTCTTTCTTTCACAAAGAACTTTAATTGCTAGATAGAATAAAGGCAAGATAGGCTGGAAAATATGCAGCATCCAGCCCAAGAATTGAAACAAAATTAGTCTCATTTTAGGTTAAGCAAAAAATTAAAAGACATTAGAAACTCTGGAGCAATGAAGCTTCTTCCAGAGCTGCAAAACATATCAGAACCTGGGAACTAGCTTCCCAGAAAAACTTGGCTTGGCAGAAAATTTTCAGCAAAATTTGATATAAACAGCTGTCTTTTGCATTAACAACAATTTTTTGACCTTTTCACAACACATCAAAGTTTATACAAATAAAAAGTTTATATATACAAAAGTTAAAACATATATTTTTGAAACTTTTATCAAAACTAAAACTCCTTTGTCAAATATCACAAAAAATTGTAAAACCTGGAAGCAACCTTCAGCTTCCTTGTCCAGTACTTTTTTAACAGATAAAGCTGCAGACCTGAAGAAGGCAATTTATGTGCTTTGAAAAGTGCTGTTTTAAGTGTCTTTTATCAGGCTAGGATTTTGGATCTTGATAGACTTGGCAAAGTGTTGAGACTTGATTGAGTTCTTGGCATACATGGCAAAGTTTTTGATTGATACTAAATTACACCCTGAAGTTTTTTCAAGGTCATATTTGTCCTCTGAATATTGAGATGTCACCATTTATTAATGCAAAATATCTTGCTGACATGTGTACCCATCATATGAAATGAAAGGCTAAAAAAGCTGGCTGATAAGTATAAACAAGTAACCAGATGCATCTTTCCTAAAGCTGGCATCTATTACCTTTCCCAAACATCAGGTTTCTCAAACTTCACCATCCATGTTGGAATTTTTCTGCCAGTCAGTAAACATATCCCCATTTGGTTCACAAATTAGTTTTACTTTTTCACATGGTCAATATTTGCCAAAAACAAAAAAGATGCAAACAACTGAATTAGATATTCTATTGGAAATTTTCTCTAGAACCAATAAATTAGAAGCCTTTGTATCAAAATTTGTGCATATTATTGGTAGATCTGTAATACAAAATACTTTCACCTAACAGAAAAATTGTTCTCCTTTTTCCCAGGTTCCCAGAAAGAAAAACATATTTTGCAGCTCTGGGCCTTCATCAACAAAAAAAATATGACCTAATTCTGTAGAATCATTGCAAAGGGAGTTTACATATTTGTGCATCTGTATTGTAAATCTAATTTGCTAACAATTTACACCAAATATAATAGGTAGGCTACATATAAAGATCTATGAGGGTATAGTCCTTGAAACACTTGGCTGTATAGTGCCCTTGGACCTTACTTCAGACCCAAGCATGTCAGATATTTCACTTGATCCACAAGAAGTTTTTCATTGTAGTTCCTTGAAAAATCATTCAAATGCCCTTCCAACTTTAAGTTGTACTTGAACTTTTGGCTGTTAATAAATCATTATTCACAGTCTGCACATAATATGTTAATTTCTTAATTAAGAAGAATAGAAGTGACAAAACAAAAACAATTGGCATTTGTGGCTCATTCAACATCTTATCCAATGCTTGAAAAGTGTGTAGGGCTAAGAAGCTATACAATGCAGCACAATCAAAGCGCAGAACATGCAGTTTGGTGATGATTTTTTGAAAGCAACCAAGCCTAATCTGAAGTAGTCTTAAAGTAATGAAAAAAAGTGTCATTAAATTGTCCTACTAAAAATTCCTGCAAGATCTATACATTAAAAAGCACCGCTTTTAAAAACCTTCTTCAAATTAATTTGAAAAGTGCCATGTGAAAGACTTACGAGGCAAATACTGTAACAAAAATATAAACAGTCCTGTACTTTAGTAAACAAGCCCATGCATTAAAAGGCAATAAAACGGCAGAGAGGCTTGCCAAGCTTGGCCGCTCCAAATCTTCAACTTGCAAAACAAACTGAACTTGCATAAAGCTTTCCAAAGATAGTTTTCAAGACACTAAAGCAAAATTAGGCCATATCCACAAATTAGGCCATGATGATAATACGCAAAATCAACTGCGCTTTTGGGGAAGCGAACCAGAATTTGTTTGTCTCTGCATAGCATACAAAGACTTGGTAATTTCCATACCTGTGCTCCCAATTTCTGAACATCAATGCCAATTTCACTAATAAAATGATGCCTTCAGTGCTTTAAAGAAATTGTTAAAAGCGCATAAGGAAATGAGTTGCTCCAGGAAGTGAGAGTGTCATATTTCAAATTAACAGAGGAGTCGTCCGACGCCATCTTGACTCCGACTATTGTTTCTTAAGGAGATTCTCGCACTGTCTCCATCGCAGAGGGAAGAGTTTTGTTGTCATACATATATACATCATTTATTTTGGGCAGGTTGCTAAAATAGGCAGAACAAGTGCTGATGTGGACCTGCACCTACTTCTAAGTTATTTTATCTATATTTTTTACATTAAGAATCTAATATAGAACTAAAATCTAAATATAACACACAGAACTATTTAAACAAAATTAATATTATCTTACTGAAAAAAGTGTCAATAAATGTTGAGAAATGAATTAGGTAAAAACCATCTGTCAGTTAAAATAAATATACACTAGGTGAGCAAAAGTATTGCACCACTTTCCCACAAAATGGCCATATCGCCGCGAGCTATTTATAGCAAACCGAAATGCAAATAGCTACAGCAAATTAAACAGCGAAAGGCAATTTTACACCTTTGACTTTTTTCATAGCTAGATTTTTCAGAGTTCAGCATTCCCTTGCAAATGCCCAAATTTCCTTTTAGCAAGAAAACGTCCTTCTTGTAAAAAAATATTCTCCCTCCAAGTGGAAACACTGTCCGCAACCGCTCTACATTTCAAGTCATTTTGGTTTAAATGAGCTTGTGTGGTCGGTCCATCAAGGTTTCTGTCTTTGAACTGCCATTTAATCTAGCCCGAACATCCACTCTTAAGGCTAGGTCTGCCCAGCTATTTTTGGCAATTTACTCTATTGATGAAATTATTTCACATCAAAGATATAAACTCAACTGGGCTTTGATAAAATAGCTGTTTCTATGCCTTTAATAGCCTTTAATATATTCAAAACGTAATCTCATTTCTGCTTTAAAAAGCTTTCATTTAACTGGTTTGAATTTAAAATCATTGGTTGCAACCCCCCTCCCCCTCCCCCAAGATTAACTGCACTACAGAATTTCATATCTACAGAAAAGTCTCTCGATACTCAAATACTGCAAGATCTTTTCAAGTAAATAATCATATAAAACATTAAATATTCACAGTCATCTATTTACATATATCATTAAAATCTCACTGTTTACAAACGAACAATGACTAGCAACATACAGATAGCTAATCAATAAAAATTTGAAGCAGTTTGACTGCTTTTCCAAAGTAGCCCTCAGCATAGGAAAGTGATAAATAAGGACTAAGTAGCTATGAGCCTTGCATTTAGAAAAAAGAGGCAACCAGAAAAAAGGCAGATGATACGAGGTGGGATCAAGGGATACTGTTAGATATACTGATCTAGCTGCGTGGTTCTAAGGGTAAGGCTTCGACTGTTGTTCTCAAGCAATCAGTGCTTTGACTCGAATTGTAAAAGTACACTTTTAATTGTGACTAATGGTGAATATCGAGCAAGAACCAAATACTATTGCCATATACAGTTGAGTGACGTTTATTCTGACCTTCAATTGGGGGTAAGGAGGTGGTCTAACATATGAATGACTGACTTATTCAGTGTACAGCTTTGACTTGAATACAGTAGAAAAATCCAATTGGAATTGAAAACTAGTCCGTCTTCGTGAGTTTCCGAGTTATCCGGGGCACGATTTAACTGGATTCAACTATGGTTATCAGTGTTTTCCAACAACGACTGGAGAAATTCAAAATTTGTTAATGGATCGCTAAGCCAAGTAACTTCTCCAGTGTTCGCTGTGATAGTCTTATTAGCCTTTAATACATGGAGTTTAAAATTATGGCTCATTTATAATTCAAATATATCAAGCCCTATTTTCGCTCAAATTTTGATTGGTACAAGGTCACGTTAGCTACGGAGACCTTTATAGATCAATACTGCGTCCAGCTCCGTGGAATTTGCTTGAAAATTCTACTAGCAAAAATTGCAGTCTGTCTTAACTAATAAGTATGTTTACCATTTGACAGATTCTGCTTCAAGTTACATTCACAACTTCTAACAAGACATAAAATAGCTGAGAAAAATTACATTATCAAGCCAAGCCATAGAAAAATGTAAGACCAACAAGGCCGTTTTGACATCGACAACAACAAAGGAGTTAAATTACGCCTGGAAAATAATGCAATGTGTCCTTGTTGATCAACAGCTACTATTTCTGGTCCACCTCATGGCCGGATTTTATCACAGCAATAGAAAGACTGGCGCAGAGAATACCATTTCTAGCCATTTATGTTTTGGATTGCACTTTTCGGCATCTCTCACTGTAACAAGTGAACTTAAGACTCCGAACGAGGACTTCTTCTAACTTTTATTCTTATGAGTTCTTGGTTTCCTTCTCTTCTTTCGATCTTTTCTTTGTCTTCGTTTGTTTTTCCTGTTCCTACGCTTCCATTTCTTCCCTTCCCTTGAGTTTTTTTGTGACAGAATATTTTCATTCTCCTCTGGAGATTTGCAGTAGTTTTTCTCCACCACGCGAATGCACTTTTCACAAGCTACTTTGCAACACCAAATAAATTTGCAATTACAGTTCACTCTTTCTGTGACCTTCAAAAAGGAAATAACGTTGTTATTTAAGAGGATAAACAGAAGGAACACGTTACGAATATTATTCGTCAATATCCAAAACCCTATTCTTAAAATCAGGCAGTTTTCATTTTGAAGAAAATTCTTATATTTTTAAATAGCTGTCTTAAAGAACATCATTACAGAAGAGGAGAGCTTCCCCAAAATTGTAACATTCCCAAGGTTGCCAAGTTTTGGAAAATAAAACCTGTGAGACTTCATGAGCGCAGCTAGTGAACAATGGAACTGGGGTCCAGGGTTGGGGGCAGAAGAATTCCGAATTTCAGTAGATCTGGAGTGCTCAAATGGCTTAAAACTAGACTATTCAGAATGGCTAAACATTTGTTTATTTCACATTTAAAATATTCCAGAAAAACACAGAGGCTTTTAAACGTAAGAATATACAATCGGATGTGGAATGGAATGTGTTCAGCAACCTTTGAGGCGTTTGATCTGAATTGAAAGAAGAATGGGGCCCAGGAAGAAATCCGTGAGAAAAGTAATTCCCGTAGTGAGACTGTGAGAAGAGGTGAATATCCGTGAGTCTCGTGGCCAAACCGAGAGACTTGGCAACCTTGCATTCCTTGTTAACGTCTCGTTTAAATGAGACTCTAAATTGGAAAGGAGGCTTTGATTGAAAATATCATTATATCAAAAGCCTATTTTGTACGTGCAAGCTAAAGATATCAAATTAAATGCAGATTTTTTAAAACATCTTACCATTTTACTTTTGTAACCATGCCCACAGCAAAGAATATCACAACTGTTCTCAGACAATGACGATTTATTGCACTCTCTCCCGGCTGTCCCAACGATTCCTTGAGACAAATCTCTGCGGCAATAATTTGGTGACTGCTCTAAATATACAAGGTCATTCTTTCCAAACTTACTAACTATCTTGTCAAGATTAACGAGTTTGTTACTGGACTGGTCCAGGGTTACAAGCACTGCACTTCGGTACTTTTTATGCAAGTATTCACCAACTTTTTCTAGAGGAGGCAAAGATCGACGGCAGTATTTGGTTGTGCAGGAGCCTGACATTCCGTGGCACTTACAGGGCATCTCCATGTTCTTTTGCACAGCCTAGGCAAAAAATGGAATTCAAAATTAAGAAGATAATCAAAAGGCCATGCAGCCAATCAGTACTACACAAGATAAAATATAATGCATCATTTCTAGATTTGAAAGTGTATCCAATGTAGTGATTATCTTTCGGTTTTATTTAATCGTACCCTTTTATTGACCATCAAACGAGGCTGTACCAAAAGGGGTAAATAAAAACGGGAAAAAGATTGTCAAATATTCCCTTTGCTTGAAAATACCGCAACTCCCTCCCTTTCTGGACCCGTGTTGCTGTAATGTTAACACCCATCCCTTCAAAAGAACGTAGGTACGTCACATAATAGACGTCTTTTTGGCAAAAATAGTAAAAGCTACAAAATTGCCGTGCTCGTAATCAAAAAGTGCCGCAGCGGCTTACTCTTATTATCGCAAAAATTACCGCAACATTGAATGTGCGTAGGTTTCTCAAAAGAACGCGCTCTATTTTTACTCTGCCAATACGTGGAGGACTAAAATATAACACAGCCTTCCAAAAATAATTCATATGTGAAATTTACGTACACACGTAAAATTAGGCCACTAATAGCCTGTTAAATTATATTTGCGTAGGAAGTAAAGGAGCGCGCCGCAAAGAGGATTTCTTTAAAAATGACGCAAGAATTAACTAAGATTGGAAAAGCATCTTTAGAAAAAGAGTCATCAATTCCCTAAAAGGTTGTTGGTTCTTGGCTTTCAATGCATTGGGTTTACCACAAAAGCGGTGTACATAAATGACTGAGTGAGCGGGTTATTGCACTTTCAATCAAAGTTTTAAAAATAATGTAACAAGTAAATGTAGAGGGATTGATTCGATAGGCCTCTAATATTCAAACAATAGCCACCATATTTTGACTCCCTTATCTCTCCTAATAACTACAGGCAAAGGGAATGGAAGGGGAGAAAGGATATCGAAATGAATGTAAAATTTCTACAGGACCGGGAAATCGCTGCAGATATCCCCGTTGTGCTGGCGTCCTGCACCCCTGCAAATGTCGAGTTATGGAACGATTTTAAGTGCTTGTCGCTTGTACAAAACTATAGTTACAAGTTTTATTCAACGTTCGTGTCATTCTACCTTGTTTTTCTTGGTTTTCTTGCTTGTGACCTGAGCATAACAGAGACTTTGATATGGTAGAAAAAGGAGCTATATATCTTACGTTCTTCTTCAAAATGTTCCTTGGTCTTAAAATGAGAACATACAAAGAGAAAATGTTTCTTTGTGTATTTTTCCAGCTTCTACTCGGAAACTCAAAAATTTCAATACTTTTTGGCTTGACTTCTCTTCAGTTGATTAAGGATTTGTGTCGGAAAATTTGCGCACACTTGAAAGGGTGCCACACCCTACGCCCCTGCTTTTTAGAGAAGCATATCTGGTATTCATGGTAACCTTCTTGATAAAAAATTTGTTTTCGGTTTTGATAAATTGAAAACGGTAATTTGAATTGATTGAAAACAAATAAATTTTCTTCATGGTGGTCTATCATTAGCTATAATGAGTATTTGTTAATGCTTCGATACATTTCCGGGATCAATTTCTTTAATTTGATAAAGTATTCAGCCAAATTATGACGTGTTACGGGCGAGTTTACTAATGACGCAAATGGTACATACCTACCGCCAATTTAATGTACGCAAATAATAAAAATGTTTTCTAGAAATATTGCTGGGGGTTCTTTTGGGGTTCTTTTACGAAAGTGTAATCGTCATGCAACAATTCTAATAGGAGAGGATTCGATGAGGAACTGAGGAATCTTGGGCTTTTAATAAAAGTGATTTCCCTTTGAGGTATAAAAACAGTTACCTGGTTGGTCTATGTTTTATTGGGTGGCCATCAAATAGGAAAGAAGCTGAAAACTTTCATATCTCACAATATGTTGTAAAACCTTCAAGAATCGACAAACATATTATCATTTCACTTACTTGACGGCCAGCCTCGTTGTTGTGTTTATTTAGTAAGGCACGAGCATCATTGACGACCTCTCTTGCATCCAAAAAAGCACTTGAAAATCGCATTCCAAATTCAATATTGTCATTGCAGGTGTCCCAAATGAAGCCATCGCCGTAGAACCCGCGCATGGACCTGTCACATCTACATTCATCACTAAGTTCACCTCTGCTACATGATCTGGTTACTTCGTGTACAACACCAGCAGATGAAACGGCATGGAAGAAGGCCGACTCTCGGTTTGCTGCAAAAAACATGCTCTATTAGCCTCTTGTAAAACCATAACGTTAATAGAGCCTCTTATAAAACCATGCTCGTGCACGTACACCCTACTAAATCCCCTTTGTGTCAAATCAAAATATCTTAAATTGCCGCAGACCAAGGACATGTAGCCTTTTGCAAGTAAACCCAACAATTCTTAGACCCGTGACAGAAGGAACAGACCCAAAAATATTACCCTAGACAAAGCAATTACACCAAAGACCGAGATACAGCTTTTTGTTTGAGGGGGGGGGGCAGCCCTGATAAACTAGTGTAACAACAGCCATATTTTACAAAATAAAAGAAATTTACTCATGTAGCATAGGTTTTTTTGGGAGGGGGGGGGGGCAGGGCCCTCCGGTATCTCGGTCCTTGAATTAACACGTAGATCCAAGTAAGAAAAGGTTTTTGATCGGACTTGGGCAATCCGTTAGTCAATAAGAATAATGAATTACTCAGCTGGTGACTCGTAGATAAGTGTTCCTTAGCATGTTTAGATGTTTCGTTGTCCTACAAAAATGTTTTACAACAAGTTTTGGAATGCGGCTTGGGTTGCAATTAGGGCCCCCCAGTTAAAGTCAAAGGAAACGGTTTTTAGTAAAGTAGCAAATGGTGTTGCAAACAAAGGGTTTATACCCGTTTTGAAGCAGCAGGGGCATCAAATCAATGCAAACTGGACGACTCCAAATTGTGCCCTTTCCTCTTACATATCCATTTTTCACAGTCAAGGGTCCTTTTAAAGCCTTTATTTTCGACATGTTCAAGTATTAGAAAGTTGAAAGATAAGACGCAATTCAGAGATTAAGTTTTCAGGTAAATATCCAAAAAATCTTGCCATCGTAGATGATTAATCTTGCACAATGTGTTGCTTTGTTCCAGAATTACGATTAACGCTGCTACACGATATCTTTTCGTCTGTTTATTTTATAACATGTTAATTGCAACTTTGTGAATGTTTCTACATACTTCAAGCATAGATTTTATTCCTCTCAAAAAATCAATATTTTGATACCGGTGCATGCTGTCTAAACAGAAATTTCCCACAATCAATCTCGAAGTGCCTCATGAGCCTTGGCTGGATACGAAGATATCGCAAACCATAAATCATTCAAAAATATTAATCAAAAAGGAAATGCTCCAATAGCAGAAACAGCAAATCCAGCTTAGCTGAACAAAAAATTTGCGGGTATAATGTAGACATTGACTATTGGTTTCATTAATTGTAAAAGCTATTTAACTCCAAAAAGCAGCATTGTTCACGATACCCAATTACCCATGACGTGCATAAACCCTCATAAAAGGACGTAGTGGTTAGAGATCACAGGGACATGTGCCTCTCATCTGTTCTTCGCGTCAAAATTATGCGCTTTTAAATTTTCAAAATCTTTATTTATCATTTCATTTATCACTTGAAGTGGCTAGTAAAAGAAAAATTGTTGTCACAAGACATTTTTCAGAAATTGGTTGTGGAATTTCTTTGTTTTGAGCTTGGTTTACATAGTATCTCATCCCATCACTGCCCATCTTTAGCGTTGCATTTCGATCACAGTCAGTGAAAAGAAAGACAATCAATAGCATGATTAAACTAATAACAGAAATGCCCATTGACCTTCACATTGTAGCGGGTATGAAAACAAGCAAGCTACATGGGCTCCGACACAGGTTGAAAGTGGGGGGGGGGGCAAGGAGAAATTTAACACCAAAAGCCAATTTTTTTTTAAAAACTCTATTGTTCTGCAAAAAAGTGGGGGGCCAAGGCCCTCCGGCCCCCGGTCCCCCTTTACCAGAGGCCCTGAGCTATTGTTGCGATAATGCATTTATAATTATCTCGAAATAAACCTGAATGCTTAGAAAAGACTCAATTTCCTAATTGCAAAGACAAAAGCTTGTTGATTTATCTAAAGAAAAAATTGCGATTTCAGTCGGAAGCTTCAAAGATTCAATAAAACTTTTGGGAATTTTTTATTGGAATTTCTTTACAATTAAGACCATTCATTGAACCTAATGAGAAATCGGCATAATTACATCGCAATGAATACAATGACCATAACAGATATTAGGCATTAGCAACGCAAAATTAATAATTAGAATTGCGCATAAACAGATTAAAACTAATTTTTTCTATTCAATGAAGTCCGTGTATGGAGGGACTCGTAAGTCGCATATATAGCTTGTTTGTTGCAGAAAAACATTTGGTACCTACCATGGTGATTTCATGAGAACAGAATATGTTCGAAAACAAAAAACACGCGGTAATCCCAATATTTTTTCTAGCGAGATCTTGAAGGCCTACAGAACATTAGCAAGTCTTGTGAATAAATGCATTTACCGCTCCCAATCAATTTGAGTAAAGCATTTGTAAAATATTTCATATGGTTCTCTTTATTAGGAATTACGTCATCAGCCTACTTCGTTTGGAAAGGTTGATGATGATGACAATGACGATGATTGATGTTGTAATGTTGATGCTTGATCTAAAGATTTTTGATTGAAAATTAATCCTCAACTCAGGGAAAGCTAGATGAAATAAAGAACTTTATTTCAACTTGGTGAAAGTTTATCTTGTGAATAGAGTATTGAAGTCCATAAAGCACGGGGCACATCCTGTGGGGCCCCAACGGTGTTAAGAAGCCTTCTATCTAAGCTGGAGAAGCGTCTGATACCTGAGATTGCAATAATAGTTTATAGCATTTAAGATTACATCTTCAATTAGTTCAATTGATGACGGATTTGTTTCTAGATGCTTTGCGATGAAACAAATCTCCTCGAAATCCAACAGAAATCTAATATTATCCCGAAGGTTATAGCATGATTTGATAATAGCCAACAGTGATTGGATACTGAACACTGACTAAGCATTGCTTTATGTTTTTCGCTGCTTCTGTTAATTGGAAACAGGCTTTATCACAACGAAATCGGAAATCTTAGCTTTAGTGGGGTTCAGCAACAAACACGACGAATCCTTTTCCCTGTTCTCACTAAAGCAAGAGTACTGTGACCGGAGCCAATCTTGTTCTGTGGCTTCTTTCTGGGTCTCCGCCGTAGGAAGAGCAGAGATAAATTATTTCTACCATATGTTAGACATGTACCCACGAGCCCCAAGCCGAGAATTTAGAAAAGATCCTCGTTTATCAGTGCCGTCGGAACGAAATTCATATTGGGGGGGGGGCTGCCCATTGTTTTCTTTCTCATTCAGTACACTGTTATAAAGGAAACATACTACAGTTTGACATTTTTCGGGGGGCTCCAGCCCCCCAGACCCCCCGGTTTCGACGAGCCTGTTTATCGTGGTATATGGCCTATCCATCCCTGTTCGTCCAGAGAGGTTTCCCCGGGCATACGCGGGGTTTCTCAGCTAAACAAATGCGTGCAAAATGAATTTTCTTGGAAAGGGGGATCTAGAATTAAACGAAAGGTTTAAAGTCAAAGTTGTCTTGTAAAATGCTCAGAGATAGGCATAGTTTTTCGGGTATCCCACGGGGGAGGGGGTATTGGGGTATTACCCCCTCCCTTATTTTGCCAAAATGTTGTCTACATACTCTTTCTAGAAATTGATTGGTAGGGGTAAATCATAAATTCGTCTTATCATAAAGCACTGAAACTAGGCAAAAGGGTGTCATTACTCTGGCCTCAGAAAACAGCGCTTACACTGCAGTAACTGGCGCCCTCATTGTCCACGTCATCATCAAACCACTATCAGAAACCAGAGTCCAGAATATCAATGACTGTTTCGTTTTATAAAATATGCTTAAATGCTTACCAAGTAAGACCTAGGTATAGCTCAATGTGCCTGTTTACAAGTTCAGCAACTAATGTGAATGCTTATGATTGCGTATATAAAATGAATTCTTTATTCCCAGACAGAAGGGTGTCAGAATGATCGATCACCATAAAGTTATTACTATAACACAGATGTTGTTAGTAAATGAATAAAAACGGTAAATAACCCAAAATTGCTTTTGTCATTGTTTTTGTCAAATGCTGCATGCTTTCAATTTATCCTGTTTATGCGGGAAGGAGAAGCTACACAATCACCATCGAATGCAGAAGAATTACAAGGTTACCGCTTCCACAAACGAGGTTTGAAATTCCAAAAAAAGAACACTAGTTCTGAACATTATTAAAGGTCCCTTGCTTAACAACTGCCCACAGCACAAACAGGGATTAACCCATAATTCATAGAAAATGTTGTTATATTTGCAAAAATTCAAAATATATCATGGTGGATTAATAATTGGTCACTGTACTGACACCAGTGCTTTTACGGGAACCCATAGTTTGTTATCCGCGGCATCAAGTTAACAAAATTTTCAGCTCCTGAGACAACGTATAGATGTATAAAACTACAACGCATTCTTTAATCCTTCGCAAGAAGAATAAACCTGATTTCACAAGCAAAAGAATTGTTTGCATAGCCTTTTAACGCCAGATACATTTTATCAGTCAATCTAATATTTGCTGTAACAACAAACAAAAATTACATCGTGTTTGCATGTTATGTTTTAAGACTGTGTTTTCAAGTATCGTTTAGGACACAGACCATATATACAAACAGGGAAGATTTCTGCTTTCTTCGTCCCTTTTGAAAGCTGAGCCTCAAAGATAGCAATCTTAAATGCTAAAAAATTTTGGATGCCAATTTTGATAATTAACTGCAAACCATATATAAATTGGGTAATCAATCATTTTTATGAAGTATGCATGTCAATAATTGTAAGATAACGAATTTCGTGTGCCAGTTAACTTCGACATAATGATTTTTTTGGATATTCTAAAGATTCATCAGAATTCCTGGAAGACAGATGTAGAAGATTAATTATGGAAGGTCATATATTATTTTGCGAGTTTACACAGCCTAATTTTCTTGATGCAACCGCTATCAGAACATTAACTTTGTATCAGAAATCGATGCTATAGTTTATCAGCGTGTCTCTGCTATTACTGACACCTGCGAGAAACGTGTTTCTAAACTGGCAGTTTTAATTAAAATCTCAAAGACAATCACACAATACTCTGTACGTGCAGTTGGGAATTGCCGAATTGTTCGCTAGAGGAACATTGCACCAAGCACATTTGTGTTGTGCTTATCAATTTTCCAAACACTTCTATTTCAACTCAACTTCCCATCAGAAGAATTTTGATAGTTTAGACAAATATAAATATCATAAAAGTCACAAGAAGAACACACTCCATAATCTCTTACGTCATTTTATAGCAAACCAACCTTATTCCCAGGGGGAGATGGTGATGGCTTAATCTGCCCTTGAAAAAAGGACATGAGTGTTCAAGGACTTGTTTCAGGCATTGTGGCAGAGATTGTAGGTACAGGAAGAGTGGCAACCTTTACTATAAAGGCGCTCTTTGAATAATTCAAAAAGGTGAGTTTAAAGTCTCTTAAAGAGACGTACTTGGTTCAGTGGACACTTCTCTCAGAGTCCAAAGAGGGGGGCAATAGGGGTCAGTCCTCATTGTCGGCCGTGGAAAGAAATTTTCAATTTCTAAAGCTCATTAATTAGAAGTTTCAACTGTAATTTATATAGAATGGCAAATAATCTGTTATTATCTGAAGTCGGGAAGCCGAGCTTTCTCCCTAGGTAGCTAGAGTTGCGTCCATTTCTCCAATGGTTTTATGATTCTCTACCGGTCAAGCACTCGCTACTACTCATGGCCTACGTAGCAACAGCATTCAGTTACTCTGTCATTCAGTCAACCTACATGCTAACTGTAATCAGTGATATTTAAAGGAGAGCATCTTTGCTTTCGTTAATAATATTCCCTTCTAAACTTCAATCGAAGCGGTGAATGAACTTAAATACTCGCACATACCTTTGCTCATGAGCTTGCCAAGAATAGGCGATGTTCCATCGGATACTGAACAATTCCACCGTCTATACGCAAACTGTCTCTGACACTCCTTGAGTGCGTTCGATGCGCCAACACCAACTTTAAGCATAAGCTTTGGATAGCGGGAACAGATTGCCCTCTGGCTTTTGACGAGGCCAGCTATATTGTTACAGCCAATTTTTGAGCCAACGGAGAATACCTGGGAGCTCAGAAGCCTAAAATGAAACGAATTCGACATTATTATCAGTATTATTATCATTATTATTATTATTATTATTAGGAAACGTTTAAAATATGCTCGCCTTGTCTCAGACCTAAGACAAAGTTTCAAATCTGCCATTTTTGTAAAACTCTCCATCAGCTCTCTTGGCATCTTCAGCGACTCATGCCGCTCATTCCTTGAAATGTGTGGCTCTCTTTCCATCGACGATCGACACAGACGATATCTCATTTCTAAGCTTTCTATGATATCCATTCGTACCATCTACTACATCTTTTACTGTAAGAACAAAGCTTGGACTAACCCTGAACTACTCCCCTTTTAATTACATACATAACCATTTGTGAATTACGCTTGTTATCTATTTTTATTTTGTAAACCTAGGCTAGCCAATTGCAAATTACCTTGTAATAGTGAGATTTGTAATTGTAGTTTCCATTAGAAAATAAGGTCCTTAGCAGAGTAGAACATTCAGACACGTCATTATTTTCCCTGAAAATGCCGAATATCTAAACTGGCTAATTGAACATTAAAACCAAAACAGTTTCTTTATATTTATTGATTTTTAAATTTAAACAATAAATACAATATCATGAGGGAACTGGTCCTTTAGATCAGTAATGTGTCCCTTCATGTAACATATATCCAAACAAAGGCACCTAGAGGATCGTGTAGTGACTCATAAGGTCATTTCAATGCTAGATACGATACCATGAGAAAAATGAAGAAACTGGTAAAATATTTCAACATGAACAGAAACACTCTGTAGCCACATGAACATTTCACAAAAACTGTGATTATCTATCTCCATTAAAAACGAGCTCTCTGGTCTGTGGCTTGTAAACATTGGATACAGATTTAGGCCCAAAGTGAAACTCTTGGTTAACTCTGAATCACTCATTATATCATGTCAAATACAAATCGATCGTCATCATTATAAACGACGTCAAATGAAAACCACTTTCTAAAGTTTCTGGTAGATAATTAGATTGACAAAGCCCTTTAAATCATGAAAAACGTGGTGCAGTTGTAAAAGAAGAAAGCAACCGAGATATTCATAAATTTTACAACTGTATCATTCACTCGACGTGAAAATAAGGTTTGTAAGACATGAACAGAAGATAAACAATATCAACTCGATAGATGTCATGGTTAGGGCTTTTGTTGAGCTAAGATTATTGTTACCTTTATTCAAATTAAAGTTTTAGGAAAAAAGAAGAAAGTGATACCAATAAAGGATTTGAATCCTTGATAATCCAAGAGGTACAAGAGTTTAGACGGGAGTTTCTTTTATGATGTACAATGTGGTCACCTTAAACATCCTGTGTCAGATACAGAGAATCATAAGGGCAGCCCCTCCATGAAGAACCAGCCATCGTTTAAAACTAGAAGTATGATTCATCTTACATCGTTGACTTACTTTGGCACCTACGTCAGTACGGAAAGCCAATTCTTGGTTCCACATCAAACGAATAAACTTAGGAATTGCCTTGTGGCCAAAAATACAAAAAATAAGAGAAAATGTGTAGTATAAAGTCTAGTATAAGAGTAAATTCTTTTCTGATACTTTCGAATTCTCTAAAAAAATGCGGCGTTCGTAGGTTTGGTCAATTCAAGCACGTTGATGACATCCCATGTGATCCTAGATCCCCAGACCATCACTTTTTCTTGATAAAACACAGTTGGTCCAACAAAGACAGAACTTTTGACAGAAAATTTATCGATAACAGTATATTGCTTCTTAGAGCAAAATGTTTTCGAAGAGTTTCTAATCTGATTTATCTCGGTTTTCCTTGCGATGATCTTCCGGAGATCAGAAGAAGTCTCGCCAGCATTCGTTAAACAGAGACGGATATTTTAAGACGAAATCAGTTGTGTTTTGGGAATTTAACTTAAATTCTCTGGCAAGAGAAGCTCGCAGAACTGGCTTATGAAGTTGAACTATGGCTTTTACAAAAAAATTTGGTATCGAAAACCGGTTGAGATGAAGATTGTTAGCAAAATAGACAATCAGTTTGGGGGTAGGGGAAGCACCCAACTTTCTCTGGTAAATAACTGTGAAATTTGGGATAGTCTAATTGTTATTCAGAAAAGAACATAGAGGCAGAGAGAATTTCCCTCGTCTATTGAATTCAGAAAATTTCATAAAGTTGTTTTTTCTCATTTGCCAACTTAACCAAAATTGGAGTTTTACTACAGTACCGGATCATATGGGGGTGGGGTTAGCACATTAGGTGCCATTATCCTATCACTTCCCCGTTTACTTTGAAGCATTTGAGTCAGTAAACTGCCAAAGTAAAAATTTTGGAGCAATAACCAGAGATTGACTTGGGGTACCTCCATTGTTGACCTTTAACTTTGATTTCTTTGATTTGAGCTCTTTATAATAGAGGCAGATACAAATATTGCTATTTGGTCACCCTTTTAAGCGAGAATAATGCACTCATGAAGTAAAGACCTTGATCAATATCAATGCGTGTCTGGAAAGGAGGAAGAAAAGAAGGGCAGGAAATACGGTCATTTCAATAAATTTGTAGTTCTGAAAATGTTAGCTCTTTCCTATTGGTGATAAATCTTACTCGTTAATTGGTCAAATCTTGAAAATGACACAAATAAGAGATTGCTAGATAAGGCAATTACTTGTGATTATTTCCATGCTTTCGATATGTCTATTTTGAGTTTACAGACACTGATAAGATAAAAAAATCAGCAGAACGTCTGCATGACAAATGAAAAAGTTGAAAAAGAAACGCGAAAAGTTGAAAGATGAGAGATGGCCCTAAAAAGAGGACTTGTCCAACAAGCAAAAGCAAGCCAACAAAATCGTTTTATTACACGAAATATTTTGCCCTAAAAATCTCTATGGACCTATTTTCGAATCTTTGTAGTAGTCAATCAGTGAGCACATTGTATTCAAAGAGGGATCGTAAAGAACTAGCCAGTCCAGACCATGTGGTGACTGACAAGCAACTGGCTATGTCTTCAGCCATAAATTACAACGAGAGATAGTGGGTGGGACATTACAACGAAACGCTTTCTGAATTGCTTCCACACCATGCTGTCTGCAAACTTGAAGTCTTATTAAGGGTTTTTAAACCTCCATGTTTTCGTGCTTTATTAGCAGTATAGCCATAGGTGGGGATTGGTCAAGATTCAAGAGATTGCTATCCCATTTCTAACAGAGGGTAGATGCCTCTAAATTTTAGAAATAGTATGTAGAATTTTGTGTTCTGTGCCCCTTTCTTTTGTAAGCAAATGGGTGCAGGCTTCCAGAAAAATTTTCGACAAATTTTTCAAATAAAAATAAAATGGCTGATAAAGAGAGATTGGTAAAATACAAATATCGATTTATCATTCTTTTATCGTCACAAAAATACTGCAAAGACAGAAACATTCCTTCTTCGTAAGGTTCTAGATTTTGCAAAACTTCATGTGCTGAATTTTAAATTGATAGAAAACAAGGCTGCTGTGCATTCAAAAGTCTTCACAATGAGTTAAATACCAATATTTGTTAACAAGTAAACAGCCAGTTGCAAGTAAACTTTTTGTCTGTGGGATTTTCCTATTAGAGAATTGATACCGTAAGTTTATTTGTGACACCCACACTGAGCAATTCAGGTCCGTTAAATGATTGCTTTTTCCGTTCTCTTGTATAAGGGAAGACAAAAGACAGACATCCTATCACAAATTCAAAAGACACATCAAACATTTGCTTGTATCGTGGAAATGGATAGAAATAAATCATGTCTGTTAAAGCAACTTTTCATCTGGTTTATTGGAGGAAAAATAAAACAGGTAATTTGCTAAATAAAGTTCTTACTCACCACCAGTGGCTCACAGCTCTTACTGATAAATTCGTCAAAATAATGAAAGCCACTAAGAGGTATTTCATCGTTGTAGAGTTGAGGCCAAGCTCTGTACTGTACCTCGATTCAAAATGAATTGAGCCTGCGATGCAAATGATTGATTTGTAAGGCCTTTGAAGTGTTGACAGAAGCGAATTGACAGTTAATAGATAGCTGATGTGACGGGATAACGATGTCTCTTTGATCAGCACCGCGTGATCACAGTTGGGTGTGCTGAACGCTAAAAAGTAAGATATCCGCCATATACAAATTTGCAGTAAATATCTGAACAACACGATGATCAAGCGCTTTTAAACAACTCCAATCATAATGGATGAAAACTGAGCCGGGCATTTCAAAAGCGATTTATGCGTATTGTTTGTTTGTAAACCATCCAGATTGTTTGTCTTAATGATGACCCTCCTCAAGGAATTTGTAATCGATCGCTTTCCGCAGGCAATCAGTTCCGCCGCTCGACGCACCGCCTCTTGGGTATGTAAACAATCGCCAGTAATTTTGCCATCCGAAAGCTCCTATAATCGGCACCGTCTGACGTTCAGAGGAAAAACACGCCGCTAGTATGGAAATTTGGTCGAAATTACGAAGAGTTTGGAATCCCAATTATCTCGAGAACTATTCCGTTATTTCCCGGCTTAATTGCTTATATTGCAAGTGATATCGCATCCCCGCTGGGCTTAGACTTGGGAAAAATTTCAAGTAGGCCAAAGGGCTTCTGCTGTACACAAGTAATCTTGTACATTTGCATTACAAACTTCCCGCCCCTGGCCCAAGTTCAATATTCAATAAATTACAGCGTTGCTGACTCCACTGCAACAGCGAGATGTTCATCCTTTTGCATGCATTTAAAACTACTGTTTTAAAACTTAAAGTGCTCATTGCAATACACAAATCACGTAAGACCTCCAAGAGGGCAAGAGAGTCCAATTGAATTTCTTTGTACAGCGACGTTTCAGTTTCAAACGAACATTTGCAAAATAATCTAATGCGATGCGAGCTGTTTCAATGTACCCCTCCTCACTCAATATTGAAGTATAAAAAGAGGGAACCAGATATCTCATAGCAGGGCCCATGCCACTGAGGGGGGAGGGGGTGGCCATGGCCCCCCACTTTTTTGCGAAGCAAGTAGTTTTAAAACTGCAATAAAAGTGGTAAGAAGCCTTGACCCCCTACATTTTTAGCCTTGGCTCCCCCCACTTTGAAATTCATGGCGGGGGCCTTGCATAGCCTAACGCTATTCCAAAGACTTTTTAAAATCAAGGGTAAAAGGGCGTGGGGTTCACAGAAACGGTAAACGAAACACCTGAAAAAACATAACATTTTATCACAGGCTAAGCAATAGGGCCTGGGCATATTGCCCCCACAATTTTTAGTAAGATAAATTGTTTATAATTGCAATTTGTAAGCAAGCTCTTTTTTGTCTATAACCCCTTTACTTTGATGCTCGGGGGCGTGGCAGTTATGGAACTTCATCCTCTTTGATAATTGTTATAATAATAATAATAATAATAATAATAAAAGGAATATTTATACAGGGTAAAAACTTGTCAATACTACGAGTATTGTTATCGATAAGGGCCTTATCAATAAGATCAATAAGGGCCTTCTAGGCTGTGCAAGGCCAAGTGATTCGGGAACTGCTTTTTGTTGTCGCAAAAAGTTTAATTTTTTCTTACACATGTTTTTTGTAATAAACCTTTACAATGAACGGCCGAGCGGACAGAAAACGCCCAGTTCTAGCAAACAATGGTAAGAAAGATTTCCTATATTTTTCAGGGAAAAAACTGATGCCAGTTTTTTTAATGCAATGCTATGGGCTAATTGTCAAGCTATTATCTCTTGATAGGACATTGATAAGATAGGATAATTTGCTGCACTATTTTGATTATCTACCGCCACCCAAAAATTCAACTCGTACATAAATTTAAGAGCTTTCAGTACTCAGAATTTTTAATGAAAAAGTCGTGTACTTCTTATATGCTGCAAACTTTTTAAACGAAATATCGCTAATAAAAAATTCTAATCACCTTTTTCTGGAATTTTAATCTTCAACTAATTTTTAAGCTTAAGGTAGGAAAAATTTTAAGAAACTGCCTCTGTTTTGTCACTTACGTAGCCTACGTGCGACATGAGACAATCCTGCATGAAGAAGGTTTGCACGAAAGATATCTGAACTCGCTGTAAACACTACTTATTCTTCATTAAGTCTGGATTGATTAAAGTTAAAAAACTCTAGAAAAAGTTTCACAACGTAAATCTACTCAAGCCACGAGCACGACACGAGAAACAAACAAGGCAAAGGGGAAAGTATCCTAACGACCTTGGAAATGAAATGGAAATAGAAACGATCCCATTTAAATAGAAACACTTAAAGAATTACATGGTAATTAGCAATGAATCAAGTCATAAAAAGGGGTACAATTAACGAGTTTACGAATCAACACCTGGAAATGAGTTGCCCAACGCCGGCATTACTCTTTGAACATAATAAATTATGCCACGTTTTCCCATTATTTCTACAAGTAGCTCCATCTGTCAAGAGGACTGCTTTACAAAAGGTCCTGCCACACTCTAAAATTCTTTTTCATTTCTTCTATAAGAATGCTAAGCAAGGGAGCTACACTTTATGTGGGCATACCTAAGTTTTTATGGAGCTTAAACATGTGAGTCTGACAGGGGCGTAACTTGGCCAATAGGTTTGGGGGGGTGAAAAGGGTTTCTGCCCTGCAAAACTGAGTGATGCCCTGCAGACCTCGTAGCAACGGTTTGTCTATAGGTTACTAGTGAAAGCTTTACCAGTGTACACTGGTCTTTACCAAGGACAAACTTCTAAGCAATAAAAACAAACTTGAAACTTCATTGCTTATGGAATATCTATTTCTCTACTTGAGCGTAAATTGTTTCTTTTATATTCACTTTTTTTAAGGTTGGTTTGCGAAATACTAGCTAATAAACAGCTAATTAGGGGGGAGGTAGGGTACATGATGTAGACAGTGCAACGAAATTTAGCCCAGTGGGGCTAAGAATCAAGTTTAGTGAGGTAGGAGGACCCACCATGGTTGGGTCCGACGTGAAGAAAATTTTTGAAATTATACCTTGTAAAAGGGCTAAAAAGCATCTTTCAGACAAAAATTTACATACTGTATAATTTTTGTTCTGCACTACTAACAAAAAACGAAGATTAGCTTTCAATCATCTGGTATTATAAGCGTCTGTTATGCCAAATTTCCGTCCATGATATTCAGCTACTGATTTAATTTAATTACATTATTCGCCATTCTAAATATGTAAAAACACTTAAAGACAGCCTATCTTGTTACGTCAATTGTTTTGAAGGTGAGCATGCCCCAAACATGTGTGGATGTGTCCATTATTATTCGTATTTTTCTACTGGCATTCGCATATATTTTTCATCACTTGCTTTATAGAATGTAAGCGTTTTAGTCTTAAATCTTTGCCTCTAGCACCACCCCTGATTT